GACATTTTTCTAGGTGACTTGGGGCTGAAAATATTTCACAAGGCACTTCTCATGCCTACTAACACCATCCTAAAGAAATAAACAGAGGTCCTATTAGACAATGATGTGAAACCCCCACACCTTTCTTGCTCTATGCAAAATGTATTTTTACCAGGGACTTTTCAAGTTATACCCAGTGACAATCTATTTGCTATCATGCTATACTTCAGGCATTGTTTAAAAGACATCCCAAGTCTCCATGGATTAACTCAAAAGGATGGTAGCATTTTTTCTTCTTGCAGAAAAGAAGGACCAATGCTGTAGATACTTGTTTACTTCCAGAAAAACCCTGGAAATTAGCTTCTACAAACATTATGCAATGTTCATTTTAACATTTCTACCTACCTTTTGTATTATACACACTACAAACATTAATAGGGAGTCATTTTACCTCATTCCAACAAATATATTGAGTGAAAAATACATAAATTGACAACAAGTACAGATTTACATTTTAGGGGAGGATATAGAATTTTCTAGCCCAAAGTCTTTATGAAGCTCATAGCAATAGCAGGGCGATCCAGTGTTCAAAATATCTCTTCCTCAAGTTGTGAATTGCTTCCAGTAGGTTGCAGTCATTCAGAATTTCCCACTTTGTCACATCCCATTTTTGGGAGTTGTCACAGTCAATGCCCTGCCCTATCCTGAGTTTTTATTTGTTCATCCCCAGACTTGGTATATACAATCTACACCTATTTAGCTATGTTTCATGCACCAGAGTTTAGTTCTTAAAATGTCTGGTTCTTGTGTTATAGCACCAACTTTGTCCAAAAAATCATGTGACATTACTTTTGATCAGTTAGTGTCTACAAAAATTGTCACAAAAATGGCCACTGTGAACACCCCTAATGTGTTGGTTGAGAGGGGAGAGTATTTTATATGTAGCATGCTCAAATGTTGTCTAGTTAGCTTGAAATCCATGTTCCACAGAGGATTGAGGCCAGAGGCTGCTACATCTGCCATCCTCATGTACATTCAATCTTTAGCCAGAAATGGAATTTTTCAAGCCTGATCAATACTGATGAATAGAACTTTTGAGGACATGAAGAGATTTTGTTGCTTCAGAAAAAGCACACTCATATATTTCCTTACATTGATATTGAAATTTCTAAGAGATGCAAGCAAAAATAGTGGGGCAAGACTGTTTTGTGTCATTGACCCAGCTGTGGTTTATGCCTGTACTAACGTAGCAGGCATTATACAAGTCTTGTCATCACCATCATATTACTAAAGTCCATCAAGGTCACAGATCTTTCCGCTGAGCTTGAACACATGTCAAGCATTTCAACCATCCATATTGGACACCATTAGACGAGGCTCTAGCGATGATATAAGAGCCATACCTCTTCTGCCTTGATTTTCTCTTTGAGAAGGCCCGCAACTCGCTGAATATCCTTCATCATAATTTTCTTCTCAGGAAGTTCAGCAGGGGAGGCATCCGGGAAGAATAAGGCAAAAGCGTCCAAGCACGCCTGCCGCTGGTGAGGAGTAAGTTTCTGCGTGTCCAAGGCCTTGGTTGAGGGCGACAGTAATTCTGCTTTTCGAGGGCCGCCGGGCTTGCGACGAGATGTTTCTCCCTCAATGTATTCGCCATCGAGGTCGCCAGTTGTAGACTCTGCTGAATCATCGTCAGATTCACGGCAGGAGCCACTTTCTTCGTCGTCCTCCTCACAGGACCCTGGTATTTGAGCCCTAGGTAATGAATCTAATGGGTCCTCATCATCCCCGTCATCATGTTCAAGAAGGACCGCACACACAGCGCGCCAATCATCACGACTGACATACTCTTCGTTCCGGCGTATATTTGGCGAAGAGGAGCTCCAACCGGATGCAGCGTTTCGGAAGATTGAGCAGATTTCGGGGTCATCCGGTGGCAGGTCGAGGTACTGAAGGGCAGCAGGGATCAGAGTGAGTGGGATTTGTAGAGGGGGAACTTTGTCGCCGTCTTGAACGATGGCCCCTTCGACATCATTGACGACCTTCAAGTTGCCATCGGCGCCGAAGGCTGCATTACCCACGTCCTTGGATACGACGTCGAAAGCCTCGTCAATGCGGCGTTGTACGTGATTAGAAAGCGTGTAGAACAAGGAATCTGAGGATGATGACATATGAGAAGAAACGATCAAATTCCATGTTGTAATTTCGTTTATTTAGAGCCCTTGCCTCCCCCCACATAGCGCATGAATTATGAGGTATCCATCTCATCGCCGCCGATTAAAAGGGTCTGCTCCTCGACAATCAACTTCCTCACATCCTCTTTCTTCCACGCCGTTGTACCTCTTCTGAACTTGTAATCGCGCTCCTTCTGTACCCGGACGTTGGGCATTTCTACGTTTCGAAGCATCTCAGTGTTGTTGGCGGTTATGATGCAAGCGTCGATGTTGGAACCTGATCCAAGATCATTGAAAATTCCTGCAGCGATGGCAAGTTTGACAAGGTTGAGAGCATCTTCTCGCTACGGAACAAATGTGATACAGCACGGGATGGAACTAGGTCAAACCCACCTCCATATTTGGCTTCCAGCCGCTTTCAAAAACAGCCATCGCAGCCAAACTTCCAGAACCCATAGTAACATATGGAAGCTTGTCCGTTGAGCCATGAGGATGGATTGTAAAGAGGTGAGCACCGGTGGCATCAACGCCGCCCAAGACCAGTGCGGCTCCAACTTGCCCTTGATATCTGAGTAGATATATGTGAGAAAGGGTGCATGAATGAGCCATTAAATGCATACCTAAAAAGCATCTGCTTCAACATGGTCATGGCAGTCACAACGCGAGGCTTGCGTCCAGTTTGTAGGGCGTGCATCTCCATGTTTGAAGATATTAGAGCAGTGGTGAATTCTGTATCTGCTGCCGTTCCTGCACCGCAGCATCGAATGGACTCCGTGATGTAGTGAATCTAAAAGACGAATCATTAGAATCAAGGTAGCACAGATGACGCGTCTGTAGAACCTTTTCACAGTTCTTGTCTGCTACGATCGGACCCTCTGTCGCCCGCGTATCTGCACCCAAAACAATGCCGTCCTTGAATAAACATCCTACAATGGTCGTTCCAGTGCTGGTCGCTTTTGGGAGGGGAAGGCCTTTCTGTAACATAAAATTATTCCTAAGATCGACGACGACATTAGCTTGACATTGAGTTGATGTTCCTGAAGTGAATACCGAAGTTGATTTGAAAAGTCGAATCCAGGAGGCGAGTATATAGATGAGGAGGACATTGTGTGTTGCAAGTAACGAATCCTCAACTCGAGAGTTATACTTACGCGTCGCCACGTGATTAAGATTAGATTAGATCAGCCTGCTCAACAACCACCATGTCCATCCAGACAACGATATCACCTCACAACCAGAAGCCCTATGTTTCTAGAATATACCCCACAAAGGACGAACTTGATGTCATCGTCAAGAACGCTGCCACAGCTCAGAAATTATGGAGTGGGGTTCCGGTCAACGAAAGGGTGCTTATCGGTAGGAAGTTCATGGTGCGCTCGATATGATCATCTCCTTGATCATTATCTGACGCTACCAAGGACGAGTTTAGGAAAATGAAGGATGAAATACCGTTGGAGTTGTCACTTCAGATGGGGCGGTAAGCACAATTTCATGAGCACAATCTTCACTAACGATCATCACCTGACACCAGCCCAGTCTCCCAAGGCGCAGGAGAAGTTCGAGGTGTTCTGGAACGAGCAGAGTACATGCTATCTGTAGCAGAATCATCTTTGGCAGATGTTTCACTAGCAGATACAGATAAGCCTGGATTCAAACGATACATCAAACGAACTCCGTTGGGTGTCGTGCTCGTTATCGCGCCTTGGAAGTAGGCTACTGCCTTCCTTGTCATAGCAACAACTCACCGAAAATCACTCTGCAGTTTTCCGTATCTCGTGTCGATCAATTCTGTTCTGCCCGCCATCATCGCAGGCAACGCGGTTTTGCTGAAGCCCTCACCGCAAACACCCCTAACCGCGGAGAGATTTGCACTCGCATTGACTCAGGCGGGTGTACCGAAAGACGTTATCCAGGTGGTCCATTTGTCGCCTTCTTTGACTACACACGTTATCCAGCATCCATCCATTGACTTCGTGTCTTTCACTGGCAGCGTGTCGGGAGGTCGGTCTATAGCGGAAACTGCTGCGAAAGCGTCCGGATTTACTGGTGTCGCTTTGGAGGTGCGTGCTCTCTCTGATTCAGTGATGATGGTCGTTCTTGGGGGTTTACCCCTTTTGAAAGCTTGGTGGGAAAGACCCAGCGTACGTCGCGTCTGATGCAAACCTGGATTATACAGCTGGTGAGTTAGTTGATGGTGAGTTCTTTCTTCTTCCTCTGTTATCTACCTTCACTTGTTTGACACCCTGCGCAGGTGCTTTCTTCAATTCAGGACAAAGTTGCTGCTCCGTCGAGGCGAGTTCAGTGTACCGTCGAAAGGCAGACACACTCAATTTTGTTCCAGAGGGTATATGTTCACGAATCAATCTATGAAGAGTTTGTAAAACGATTTGTCGAGATCACAAAGGTGAGTTTGAAATGTAATCCGACATGAATTTATCACAAACAAAAAAAAAACTCTGCTGGGTTTAGACATACAAACTTGGCGATCCTACGCTTTCGGAAACCAATCTGGGGCCCGTGGTTAGCTTAGCGAGTGCCGAACGTATTCGAAAACAGATTGATGATGCTGGTATGAATAGTCAATGACCGCGTCGTTCTGAGTTTAATATGTTTCTAGTCAAAGCGGGTGCCAAAGCTCTTATCTCAGAACAACTATTTCCCTTTGCGAAATCGTGAGGCTCTCAAATAAATGAGAGCTAGCTTGGCTGAGTCACATTTACAAAACCAGTGGTACCACATATGTCGCACCACAGGTTCTCGTCGACGTCAATCATTGTGCGTCCTCCCGCAACGAAATTTGATCATCTCACAATTTCCTTCTTCAAGCAATGGATGTTATGATGGTATACATTTCTTTGGATATCAGTGTCCTACATGCATAAAATTTGATAAACGCAGGAAGAGACGTTTGGCCCGGTTGTTGGGATACAGAGCGTAAGGATACCTCTGAAGATTATTACGCTCGCTGACTGTTGACCTAGGTTGCCTCAGTTGATGAGGCTGTGAGGCTCATGAACGATTCGCCTTACGGTTTGACTGCATCCGTCTGGACCGACGTCGAAGCCAATCCTCAATCTGAGGTCTTCAATAAATTTGTGAACGAATTGGAAACTGGGACGGTGTTTTTAAACAGGTAAGGTGTAATTGCTTAAGAAAAATTCAACTATATGTTGTCCTTTTTTAACGAGCAGGTGCGATTATTTGGACCCTGCTTTGGCCTGGACTGGGGTAAAAGATAGCGGAAGAGGTGTTAGCTTGAGTAAATTTGGTGAGTAGCTTGACTTTATTACAAGCCAGATACCGACCCGGACTTCAGGATATGATCAGGTCACACGAGCGAAGTCGGTTCACATGAAGATCAGGACAACGTAGAAATATAATGGGAGTTGGTTATGTAATAACATCATTCGTATCACCACAGTTTGTAACTTTCTTGGCACCAGCCATGATCAGATTCATTTTGGTACAAGTTAGTGCTTTCATCACTTAAACCACTCGGACGGTGGTGAAGTCATGCACGATAGAACCGTCAAGGGAAAACTAGATTGTCAAAATGGTACGTACCATATGACGACGAGGAGAAGGTAAGCCCCATCTTGAGCACAACAATGTCCGTATTGGTTTAACCGCTGCTCCAGGTACGACTTCGCGGGGAGGTTCATAGGCTCGTAGCTCCTAGAGATCAGAAGTATCAGTCAAACTTTGTGGAGGTGAGCCTCTATCAACCCTTTTCGACCTCCTCAACCTATCCGCTTCAGTTCCGCAATTACAAAATTGTTTATCGACGATACGCGGGACTCTTCTTCTGTCTGTGCGTGGACGGAAACGATAATGAATTGGCGTATCTCGAAGCTATTCATCTGTTTGTAGAGGTTCTTGGTATGCCACTCGTCTTCTCCGAGTCTGAGGTCATACTGATTGCCCGCAGACCAATTCTTTGATAACGTTTGCGAACTGGACCTGGTTTTCAACTTTTACAAGGTATTATTTTGAAAATCATTCCTAAGTATAACTATGATCTTCGTTGTTCACAGGTCTATGCCATCTTGGATGAAATCTTCCTCGCCGGAGAAATAGAGGAGACGAGCAAGGATGTGGTTCTGTCACGCCTTGAGGAACTTGAAAAACTCGAGTAGAATGGATTGAAGCCGTAACAGGAACTTGCTCCGAGTCCCCCTTGCCAGATGCTTCAAGGGGTCACACATGTCGACGAATCACGGTGGCAGCCTTGGCACCACGGCTTTCTATCACTGAGAAGCAGAAGCCATAACCATCCTGCCATGGTTTTCAGTATACCCAAGCCCTCAAGACCTTTAACGAGTCGCCTACGTCCTGTTTTAAGTTCTTCTCGTAGATAAAGTAACGTTGATGTGTTTGTTTATGCGTGATCTGTTGGATTTGGCAAGCAAGGTCAACTAAGATCTAATCTCTGCGAAAATAGAGTCTACCAAAACCAAGCTCAATCATGACTAGGACTAAGGTAAGTAATGCTACTCTTTGACAGTATGGCATATCTGATAGGAACCAAGAAACGGAGTGCAAGACCCAAAGAAGGTGCTCGGCGGGAGGAAAAGATGAACGAGGACAGGACAGACCTTATCGAGAAGGTTGACATGAATAATGAGCGCTTTTCATCTTATTACAAGACTCAGAAAATCGTTCCCGAGGATGAATGGGAACTCCTTCTCGACTCCCTTCGACAGCCTCTACCAACAACCTTTCGCGTTGCAGGCAGCAGACAGTACTTGATTTTCCGAGTTTTCTTCGTGAAACCATGATGAATGGTACCATAGGACGGCAACCACTCTGAACGCAACCATAAAAGACCATCACGTACCCAGCCTGAGCGACGTAACGTTTGAGGGCCAACGGATATCCCCGCCAGCCCAAATACCCTGGTGAGCTTGTTACCTAGAAGTGCCTACGCTGTTGCTTAGCTTGAAAAGGTATCCAGATGGATTGGCATGGCAATTCAACGTTTCAAAGAAAGCGCTTCGTAAATCTCCAGAGTTCAAAAAATTCCATTCTTTCTTGGTCTACGAAACTGAAGTGGTCTGTCTCAATTTCTCAAGGTCCTTCCTAGCTAATAAAAAGACTCAACTATCAATCAGGGGAACATATCAAGACAAGAAGGCGTGAGCATGCTGCCACCCCTGTTTCTGGAGGTCGAGCCGCACCACAAGGTGGGCAAAAGAATGGAAACACTGCTCGCAAGCTAATGCAGAAGTAGGTTATGGACATGTGCGCTGCTCCAGGTTCCAAGGTTGATCTACTCTTCACACTGTTTTCCAGCCTTTATTGAACATTGCAGACTGCGCAACTACTGGAAGCGCTGCACGCTAATGATACCATCACCTCCACGTCAATTCCGCCAGGTCTCGTGCTCGCAAACGACAGTGACAACAAGCGAACTCACCTCCTAATTCACCAGTCTGCACGTCTGCCTAGTCCAGCTCTAATGGTGACCAATCTAGATGCATCGAACTACCCTGGAATTCAAATTCCTGTGGTAACTCAAGACGGTGGCACGCAAATGGACCAATTAATGTTTGACCGAATTCTATGTGATGTACCGTGTAGCGGCGACGGAACCATGCGGAAGAATATGGGTATCTGGAAGGGATGGTCTACGATGGACGGAAATGGTCTTCACAGGTATCTCAGACGTTGCATACCCTGGTGATTCCACACTCAAGTCCATTCGTAGTTTACAGGTTCGAATTCTTCAACGTGCAATGAACCTCCTCGCGAAAGATGGAAGAATTGTTTACTCTACCTGCTCTTTGAATCCTGTCGAAAATGAAGCCGTCGTTGCTGAGGCCCTGAACAACAACCACGGTCATTATCATCCCCCTTCTCGATACTCCTGATACTGAATATAATTAAAAGATTTCGAACTGGTTGATGTCACACCCAAATTGCCTTCTCTCAAGCGTAGACCAGGACTAACGTCCTGGATACCAACTGTCATCATCGACAAGGTTAACAAAATTGATATGCCGTTTCCTACTTACGAACAGTTCAAAACCTCGGATTCCGATCAAACATTGAAAGACAAGATGTCAAAAGGGTGCTGGCCCCCCGAGAATGTTGATAAGCTGAACCTGACTCGATGGTGTGCACCGTTCGATAACGTCTTTTTATGCCACTCAAGCTGTCGCCCCACACAGTTTGCGTATCTACCCTCATCTCCAGGATTCTGGAGGTTTTTTTGTCGCCGTTCTCGAGAAGAAAGGCAAAGCTCCAGCTAGTTCCCTGATATCGTAAGGAATATGAGCTTACTGGGATACACAACCCTGATGTCTACTCAGGGAGCGTAAACGGGAGGCAAATGAGCCAGAAGATGTTCCAGAAGCTAAGAAGCCCAGATTAGTGGACTATGAACCAGACGAAACTGCTATGGAAGAAGACACCGAGGTGACCCTGGATGAGTCAAAGGCAGAGTCAGCGGATGCATCGACCGAAAATCCACACAGTGAAGGCAACATGAAACCAACGCCAAAAACTCTAACGAAGAAGGGAAAGAGTAAATCTGCTCAAGGGGGAGGTTCTTTCAAAGAGAATCCCTACACCTTCCTCTCTCCAGATGATCTCATCCTTTTGTCTTGCATGTAAAGTTTTCTCCTTTGATGCACCCAGGCCCCATGCTGATTCTGACTACAGGAAACGCCTCAATTTGAATAGTGACTTCCCCGCAAGCAATGTTCTTGTTCGAAACCCAGCTGGGGATGCCGTCCGCTCGTTATACCTAGTCAACGACCTTGTGAAGACGATCATCCAGCACAATGATTACGACCGTCTGAGGCTCAATGCTGCTGGGACTAAGGTGCTCTCCAAGCAGGAAGCAGGAAAAGGTGCTGAGGCACAATTTCGCGTTCTAGGAGAGGGACTACCTGTCATCCTTCCCTACGTCGACCCTGCGACAATTCTCACTGGGGATATGGAATCGCTCAAAACGCTAATCGAATCCTATTATCCTCTGTGCACAACATTCAATGAGCCTTTTAGGGGAATAGCGGAAGCAGGGAGTCTGTATTCCATCCCTCTTCTAAGTTAAGAAGTCATCCTAATTTTTGGTCAGCTTCGGGGAGCCATATCGTCAGATTCCCTCCAGGTCAACTAGGCGCGGCGTCGTAAGTTATACCCATACCTCCTCAAAGTAACCCTCTCAAATGTGAATCTAGGCTGAACCATGAACTGGTCCTCCCTGTATGGAAAGCGAAGAGCTCGATTGGGTTAATGATCGACAAAAAGGCCAAGAGGTATGTACTTTGTTCTTTTGGCCTGTTAGAGAACTGAGTAGGTGTTGATTTCAACGAAGTGCTTTGAGTTTACGACTATATGGCGAAGATCTGACTACGGCCGGAAACTTGAAGAACGCAGAAAAGCAGAAAAACGGCAATCCACTAGTCGAGGCTAATGAGGCGCCAGAGGGGTAAGGTGGGAGCTCGGACAGATGGCTGGGCTAGGTGCTGAACATGTTTAGTACGCAGGGGCTAAATATGACAGAAGTACCTGTGAGAAGAATGGGGATCCCTATGTAATCAACATGGAAATAGGACTTCTGATTGGAAGAGGACAGGGAAATCTAAGGCAAAGGGCAATTGGGAAAGCGAGCATAAGAGGGGGCTTCAATAAAGTCCAGAATTCCTCAAGCGAATTTTCTCAACTGTCACTGAGCGTGAATGACGTACTATGTACGACGCACCTTTTCTTGTTGGCACATCTCACCAGCAACACGCTGAGACCGGTAAGTATGTTCGATTGGGAGAGCGAACTTTATGACGAGCAATTCTTGCTGATCCCATAGAGACTGGCGTCGAGTCTAGCTTCTGGATAGAGACTAGAGTCAAGTCGAGGTTCTGGCCATGGATCAGGGGGACAGACCTACTCCTGCTTCCGATTGGAGACAGACGAAGCGAGGATGGCGGATTTCAACTTTCAGTAACGTTCATCTGTGTGTACTGTACGTTTTACAGTATATAAGATATTAAGCGATTCCAAAATTGACGAGGTCGTTTGGGATGTGTTATTATACAGAGATTTGTAGTACACTGAAATTAGCAGTACAATTTGAAGCGGACTCGAGACAAATGAAGGAAAGAGCGGATGACCCAGATGAAAGGCATGTGACGAGACCATTGCAGATGAAAGGGTCGTCTAGTCGGAACAAACGGAACTCAACAAATGAGTCGTGCCGCAACAGCTTGAGAGCGGAAAGCCAGAGGGCTGTCGATAAAGTCGTTTTGGCCATCCCAGCTTCCGTCTACCTATTGCGGGGAGGTACACCTGGCAATAGGTGTGCGCTCCGCTAAGGTAGCGGTTCCTGGCTGCTCGACAGCCGATTGAGATGGATATACACGTCCGTTCCGAATCCGTCCATAGATATCAGGCGGAGGTCGCCTCCAAAATAGCGGGCATACTGAACGCAAATCAGTGTGTGGCTGAGAGTATACAGGAAGAAACGTACCAATCTCGACAGGGGCAAACCATAGCCAAATCCAGCCATAGGAGCTTTGAAGTCGCTAGCCTTGAAATTTTGATCGATGTCCTGGCTCTCCATCGTCGTGTACATGTATGTCCAAATGAGAGGGATGGCACTCCGTGCAATGCCCCCACCCTCGTCAGAGATCTTGATGGTTATGTCTTCCTTGCCTTCCACAACGATCACTTTGATGGGTGGATATACCACACCAGTATCGTCGTCAACGCCATATCGCTCAACAACCGCACGCAAGGAGTTTTTGAGCAACTCAAAACAAATGTGTGACAAGTGGCCCGGGACGTAAGGGAATATGAGGTGTTTAGGGCAGATGAGCTGAACAGGAGGCCCTTTGAACATGGCGTAGTGCTCTTCACATACAAAGCGCGCGTTCTCGATGGCTTCTTGAACGATATCGTGTACATTCGCTTTTGTGCAGATTATCCCAACATAGTCTTCGTGTGCTTGGTGGGTGTTTAGTGCGACGTCTGATATATTAATTGTTCAGTAAGAAACTTATTCTTAATCCGGAGAAAACACGCACGTTGACCAATCAAAAATCGGATGCCTATACGAGAGAGATAGAATCGGTCTAGCCAGGCTTGAATGTCCAATCCAATGTGGCGTGCATTTTGGCTTCGTTTCCATTCCAAGACACCTTGAGCAACGGTAGTGACGGTGGGATCGTGCCTACTCTTGATATGCTCTAAAACTTTTGTGAAGCGTTTGTTGTAATCTTGTACTGCTGGTGGCCATGAGATGTTATTCGTATTGGCATAATATCTGCGGCAACAATTAATAAAGCCTATCAGTGGAGATGCTGACGAACCTTCGCTCCATTGGCACACGTAGCTTCAACTTGTTAAACCCATTTCCGTTGCTATTGCAATATCCGTGAGTGTATTGAGTGGAGCCATCGGCGAATTTTGTGAAGGAGGGATTGGGCTTTGATTCTGGGAGAGCAATATCGTCTGAACGGGGAACCATGAGAGCTTGGCGAATGTCTGGAGGCAGAGCTATCGGCGGAAAGGTGATAAGTTCCTGTAGATTCACTTCAGTCACACGAGTGAAGAAGGAGTGGGGGAACAGTACCTCGAAGGATTGAGCATACCAGAGCTTGACCTTCTGGATGGAGGGCATGGCGCTGAGGTTGTGAGGCAGCTCATCAAGTTCCTTGACACGATGGGCCAGACGCACAGGCAGCTCCTCTGCTAACTTGTTAGATCCCAATGCGATGACCAGCGACGGAGATCATACCTGCCAAGAATTGGCTCGCCTTCAAAAGCGTTCCTTGGCTCGGATTTTGGCCGAATAAGACCATTTGTTGCAAAGAAACTGATGCATGTTAGTTGGAGAGAAGAGAGACGATTCAAAGCACACGACGGACCCCCGGTTTGAGGAAAACTAGCAAAATGGTGGATCTTGTCCCATAGATGTGGGGTTATACGAAAAGCTGCAGACATTGCAGAGAGAAAGTGGGCAGAGCTGTGTCCGCATAAAAAGACTGGAAATAAAGTACTTGCAAAGTAGTACAGGACCACAAGTAAAACGGATGTACTTATGACTCCAACTACCGTTACAATTCACATGTTTGGTCTAGATTACCCCGGCTATGTCTATCCGGCCGAAATCTGCATTTTTATCACAATGCAATCTCTACGTCAAGTCTAGCTAGGTAAGAGTATACATCTGGCGACATGCGATACTTCAGAATACCAGCAAAGACCATCAATGACCGTGACTTTCTCCTAACGGAAGACAGTGTCTTGACGAGCCAGATCAGTATCACAGGTAAAATATACAGGTCGGGAAGCCTTACCATCTGTCGCGTGGTATCGCCAACCGCGGAGGACTTGACTCTCTGCTGAATGGCTGCAAGGGCGTCCATTGTTAGCGTGAGGTACGTTTGCAAGTTTCGCTGCAATGTCTCATGCAGATCCTTGAATTCTTCTGCACGTCGTGTCGTTTTTGCGACATCGCCAGTGAGTGGGATGAGATCCGTCGACTCCATAATCTGTACCATGTAATAGGTCACCATTAAGAATCGAACAAGCAAAAAAAGAGACGAACCTCAAGCGCAACATCGGGTTTGCCAGAGTTCTTTGCATTCAGAGCCTCCCTAATCCTGAGTAGCTTAATCACGGCTTCGCGATTCTTTCCAACGGCTCGATTGGTTCTTTCATAATGTCGCAAAATATCAGCAGCAGTCTTCTCGATTGCGCGGGCCTTTTCGTCGGGACTGGACTGAGAGATGGTATTACCGAGCGCTTGCGCAAGGCACGAGACGACAGTGGAATAATCGCTAGCCAAATTGTACAGCTTTATAGCCTCAGCGATGCGATCATTCTCCTCCGAATGCTGGGCAGCACGAATGATAATTTCTTGATTAAATTGCTTGCTGTCCTCCAAACGCAACAAGGATGCCCCTTGTTCAATGACGCCGCTCTAAAAAACAGTCACAGAATTAGAATCGGCGCACTTGAAGGGGGGTGGCTACGAACGAATCGAGAACCATCAGGTCTGAAACCCCCAACGAGCTCTTCCCAACCTGGCCCGCTGTTGGCTTGAACGATGATCCGGCGGGTAAGGTCCCATGCACTCTCAACTTGCTCCTTTCCAATACTATCGCCTTGATCCCCACATAAGCAGACACAATATACATATTGGAGAGCCTCTTTGGCATCCATCTTGACGAATTGACGCACATAGCGCCAGATGAGAGTCGACATGCTTAGTGCAGGAAGGGATGCCGGTGACAGTGACACTGCAAAAGACGTCAACCGATTATCCTTCAGGCAACTCACGAAAAAGACGAACAAGGTGTCATGTCAGACGTCTCTGCCCGTGATGGGGCTCGTAAGAGACCATGATACGCCAGGGCAATTGCGAGATGGACAGCTTCAATTTCCGTCTCCTGATGTTCCCAAAGGGCAGCTACCGCCTGTCGGGAAAAAGAATTAAATCAGCAACAGGACTTCAACAAAACTTGGGTCAACGAACACGCTCAAATTGGCCACACATTAATAACACACCAGCCCATACACCACGGTGAGATCCTGGTTGGTTGGCAGGACCATCAAAATGGCGTTCGCCGTATCCAAGAAGAACGTCCGCTAGCGCGCGTAATCCGCCGTCTTCTTCTTCTTCCACCTAGGTGAACGCATCAACATGATTTCTGGGAATAAGACTCCTCGTAAACTCACCATGGCAAGCTGATACCAAAGCCAATCTTCGGTGGTGGTCGTCACCTGCGGAACGCTTCTTCTCGAAGGCTCAAGTCTCGCCATAAGCTTATATAAAGCTAGTTTGAATGGATCTGCGGTGGAGGAATGTAACATGTGAGCATTGTACACGGCTTGTAGATGGTCTCGATGGGGTTTGGGCAATCTACGACCGAACTTTGTTAGAAGAGATCAAGAACGGTTACAAGCGTTACCTTCTATCTAAAGATTCGGTCCAGGCTCTAAAGTGATTCACAAAGCTTGGTTCCCGATGTTCAATGGCTTGCTGGGCCGACATTGCCTCGTTCAACGCCTCTTGCACGTGTCCAGTTCGGACCAGATAAAACAGCTTGGCCCAGAGGGGCTGGCCAGCGAGAAGCTGGAAGGGGATTGGCCATAAATACATTATCTCCACGAAGTCGACATACCTCAATACGATCCTCCCATTCTCCATTACGATAATACCTCACAAGTAAGAAAGCTCTGACTTTGTTGGCGATGCTTGGGTCTCCGCCAAGCCTGGCTTCCACAGGGCGGGCCTGGACTGTACGTTCCACGATATCCCAGTACTGTTCCTCAAGTGCTTCCCTCGCCCCTCTAGCAATTTGACGCCTTAAAGCAATGGCATCTCGAGATTCAGGGTCTCCAAGGTAGACGCGAGCATATTTGCGTTCGAAGAGGGGAGCATTGAGAACGTGGGCACCAGCATGCTCTATTGGAGGAAGCGCAGGCGGCTCTGCGGTGATTTTTGAGAGAATGTGGAAGTTTTGCGTTATCTGACTGGAGCGTGGCTGGGTGGTTTGATTAGAACCTGCTGAACGGTGAATGATCTACTCACGTCGTGAGAAACGGCCAGAGATGCTTCGATTAGAGCATGAACGACGGGGAACGACGTCCTGCGCAACCTCGCGGCATTCAAGTCTGATATCACTCGATCATAAGCCATCATTTTGCTTTGCATCTGCAAAGAAAGACTTGGTGTGACACTTGACTGACACGAAGTTCAGAAAGATTAAGGTAGTGGGGTCGAGTGATGGATAACTGACCAATAGGCTGCTTTTCCCGTGTGTACTGCTTCTCAATTCGGATATGGCACGGTTGTCACCACCGACGCGACCCCCAAGCTCCTCGAAAATATGCTTTTTCTTCGCCTCCCAATCGCGTTGACTGCGCTCCTCGAGGACACGGTAAAACTCTTCCTGCGTCTCCTTCCTTCCTTCCTCAATTGTAGAAATGAGATTTTGCTCGTGAGCAACTCGGAGGTAACCAGAAACATCAGTGTCTTGAAGAGGTTGAAGTGGGGAAAATGTGGTGGAAGTATTCAAGTGAGCGATCGAGCTTGACAAATGGGAGGCGTCAACCTGAGCTTGTGCCAATAAATAGTTTCTGTCGCAAAATAGATTGAAAATGGAAAGTAGAGGAACACCCAAGGAACACGCACGCGCGATCGGCGTCACTAGACGTGCCAGGTTGTCGGGAAACAAGGCGTCGCGAAAGAGCTTCGATTTGATCGAGGGATAGATTTACGGAAGGCAAATCTGGTCGAGAGAGGTGGGAAGTAAGTCCCCTTGACGAGGCTAACAACGAAGAAAGGTCTGCCGACATCGTTTGATACGGCGAAGACGCTCAAAGAGAACTCGCGAAAGACAACATTGTTTACCAACGCGATCCATTATAAACAAACACAGCGGATACTAAATAAATGCTTGTTAAATGCCAAGTGCAACGTAGAAATACATGAAATGTGACGAGGACGGTTGAATGTCCCTAGTCGTATGCGAAATCCATTAAGTGATCGTTGAATCTTCTTTAATCCCAATCAAGTCACCCCCGTCGTACAATCCCACCCACAACTCTGACGAGCCTATTAATACTCATGGAGACCCTCAGGCTTTTTCAGCGCGGAGACATCCACACCAGGGAGTGGGAATGCGCTGGCGAAAGATTGGACCTCGTCGCGCAGCTCCTTCACCTTTGCGTAGCCCTCTTTGCCCGCCTCCTGAGTAGTGGCTACGCGGACGAAGTCTTTGAGGAGCTTCGATCCGGCCTCTTTTTGGAGGAGCAGGGAGAGTTGAACGGCGCGGTGGAGGAATTCAGCGACCTTCTTGATATCAGCCTCCTTCATATCACGAGAAGTGAGGGCAGAGGTGCCAAGACGGATGCCGCCTGGCACTTGGGCAGAGGCGTCACCAGAAACAGCATTCTCTGACAACATGAACGTGAACAAAAAGATGAGAGGGAAACAGAGAAAATCATACTGTTGATGGTGATGCCCATGAGATCGCAGACCTTTTCAACTTTGCTGCCCGTCAAACCAATGGGCCGCAAGTCCCACAGGACGAGATGGTTGTCGGTGCCACCAGTTTGCAACCTGTAGCCATGCTCGATGAGCGATGACGCGAGGGTCTGGGCGTTTGAGATGACCTGTTTGGCATAAGCACGGAATTCGGGTTGGGCGACCTGGAGCAGGGCTGTGGCGATAGCAGCGATGGTCTACAAGGGGCACGTGAGCTTGACCATAGATGTTCCAATCAATAAAATAAAATAACGTTGTTGTGGGGTCCACCCTGGCAAGCAGGGAAGACGGCGTCATTGACGCGCTTCTCGAGGTCTTTCGCATACTCGAGATCCTTCCTGAAGAAGATGAGACCAGCACGAGGACCACGGAGAGTCTTGTGGCTGCGATCGTGTTAGCACCAAACAGCGAGATGTTTAAGAGAGGCGCACGTTGTCGTGGTAACGACATCACAGTATTCGAACGGATTATTCAACTCCTGGGCAGCAACAAGACCACTGGTGTGTGCAATATCTGCCATGAGCCAGGCACCTTCCCTTGTAGCGGTATCCTTGAGGTTCTTGTAATCCCAGTCACGAGGGTAAGCCGAGGCACCACAAATAATCAAGCGGGGCTTGAAGATCTTGGCTTGTGAGGCGAGCCCAGCATAGTCAATCAAATTGGTTTCGGGAGTGATGGCATAAGGGAAAGACTGGAAGTAAATTGACGACGCAGTCATCTTCTTCTTTGCAGTCTAAAAAAACACGTGATCTTGAGACGCGAAAAAATAAAGAGGAAAAAGAGGCAACATACGTAGTATCCGTGGGTAAGATGTCCACCGTCGGGAAGGCCCAGACCCATGAGACGGTCATTGGGCTGGATAAGTGCGGTGAGAGCCGCAAAGCTGGGAAACACAGTTAGTCAGGGTCCACACACACACGTGGCGGTAGCAACGTACTTGGCGGTCTAAAAGTGAACGATGTTGAGAGAAGATATGATATATAAGAATGGCGACGTACACTACCAGAATATGGCTGAACGTTGACGCCCCATTTAAGAGGGTCAAGGTTAAAAGCTTGGAGGGCACGTTTGCGGCAAAGAACTTCAAGTTCATCGATATACTCGTTGCCACCGTAGTACCTGGCGTTCGGGAGACCTTCGGAATACTTGTTGGTCAGAATTGAGCCATTGGCCTCCATGGTAGCCCTGCTGGTCAAGTTCTACGTGTAAAATTAGACGCGACCGTAGTCCAGATACAAGAAACATTACTTCGGAGGCAATAAGCTCGAGGCCAGTGAACTGTCTCCATGTCTCCTTATCGATGATATTCTTGACCTCTGGGTCGATCTCCGCCAAAGGAGTGTAGAGAACCTTGTTCTACAGCAAGAGTCAGCAAATGGTCAAGAATAGAGTGATTTGATACACACGAAATCTGGGGTATTCGCTGTGGCCATTTTTCTGAAAACTAGTTGACGTGAGATGGGCGTGCGGAGAATGGGTCGTCCTAATAATCTCAACATCGCCACTGACCAGTAAACCAAAAAAAATGGCAGGTCGGCTAAAACCGAAATCGATCGACATCACGGGATTAAACTCCAACGCTCTTGCCAAACATTAAAGATAAGATAGCAACTGCAACGACTCGGATTGTCTTTTCTTCTCTTCATATCACTCCCGATGACTACAAATACAATTTTCCCTACCATCGGTGCTGTCGCTACCCAAACAGAGGTAAGCGATGGCGGCGACGAGAACGTCGTGCAAGAGGTCGAGTCCCTATGCATGAAATGCGGGGAACAGGTCAGCAGCTACCTCACCCATCTCGCAGGAACCTGAAAACCTTTACTAGTAGGGCACCACGCGTCTCCTTCTCACATCCATTCCATTTTTCCGCGAAGTTATCGTAATGTCCTTCCGTTGCGAGCATTGCGGCGCGACAAACAACGAGATACAATCCGCTAGTACCATCAGACGTACGTCCTCCTGCTGATTTCAATACTCGATTTCCGCTAATTTTTATTGAAGCGGAGGGCACTCTCTATACTGTCAAGATCCTGGCTCGCTCCGATCTAAATCGCCAAATTATACGATCATCTTCATGTGAAATCGTCGTACCAGAACTGGAGCTCACCCTCCCCCGTACCGAACGTGGTCAACTTACGACGGTGGAAGGCCTCCTTCGCGACATTGTTGCAGACCTAAGCCTCGATCAGCCCTTGAGGCGGATACAAGACGAAGATGGATACCACAAGATCCAATCTTTAATCGACAACATGAGGGAGATCCTCGGAGATGACAAGGACGAAGAATTTCAAGCCGGAACAGCTGCTGAAAAAGGATCTCTTCCCATGCCCGCATTTACAGTCAAGCTGGACGACCCAGCAGGCAATAGCTTCATCGAATTTATTGGGAGTATGGCCGATCCCAAGTGGAATCTAAGAACCTATCCTAGAACCCTGCAGCAAAATATTGCCTTGGGCCTCGTGGCAGCTGATGATGCGACGCAGACCACGGACGAAGAAGCTACTAAAACGATTGAAAACCAAGAGATAACGAATGACGAAATTCTGGTCTTCCCCGGTGTATGTTCTAGCTGTGGCCATGCGCTGCAAACTCTCATGAAGCGGGTCAATATCCCTTATTTCAAGGTATGTCTGTGTTATAAAAGTATAGGACTATCACAAACCACATCTCCAGGACATTTTGATCATGTCTACGAACTGCGACAACTGTGGGTATCGAGATAACGAGGTCAAGTCCGGATCAGCAATCTCGGAAAAAGGGAAACGGATCACCTTGAAGGTGGAAGATCGAGAGGATCTGAGTCGTGATATTTTGAAGGTACCCGATTCCCTTTTCCCACTGTTGACTCTCAAACCACAATATTTTCTAGAGCGAAACCGCTGGCATGACAATCCCAGAGATCGATCTCGTTTTAAATCACGGAACTCTCGGTGGCCGATTCACCACCCTGGAAGGTATTCTCGACCAAATCTACGAGGAGCTTTCCGAGAAAGTTTTCGCGTCTGGAGACTCCTCAATAGTTGAGGATAGAAACGCCTTTGAAAAGTTCCTGACGGGTCTCAAAGCTGCAAGTGTTTACTTCACTAATGCAAGTAGTTGGGAGGCTGATTACCTGCAATTATAGATCAAAGCTGCTCAGCGACCTTTCACAATCATCCTCGACGACCCATTGGCCAACTCGTACATTCAGAGCCTTTACGCGCCAGACCCAGATCCAAACATGACCACGGAGACTTACGAGAGGACTTTTGAGCAAAATGAAGAACTGGGTTTGAATGATATCAAAGTTGAGGGATACGAAGAGGACGCAAAGGATCACCAAGAGGAGGCAGTGACCAAGGACTGATGAAAGGAAACCATTGGCGTGGCTTGATTGTAGTATCTGAATGTTAAATGCAGGAACTCATATTGTACACGAATAACTCGGAGGATTGCTGAACATTTGAAATGTAATCCACATTAATTCCATAGTAAACAACATCATAACGCATAGTGCATGAACATAATAATTATACAAGATTTTCGTAAAAGTCATTTACGGCTTCCAAGCAGGTCTACTGCTCGCCTGTCCACGATTCATCTCCCCAATACTTCGTACTCTCTTCAACTCCACCGGTTTAGCGTTATTCTTCTTCAAATCCTCAAAGCCGCGCACCAAATCCTTCACGCTTCCCCCACTACTCCTCCTGGGCCTGGGTATCGGCTCAGGCGGAGGCGGCGGTGGGGGTAAAGGATGCAGATCCACGAGTCGCTGGGGTTTTCTAGCGCGAGGGATCAAAGAGGATTTGGGCTGAGGCTGGGGCGCGGGGTGAAGATGAACCATTTCCTTCGGGTGTCTAACTTTCGGAAGCGGGGGACGAACAGGTGTTGTGATGGGACCACGAGACTTCTCAAGAACCTCCAGAGGGGGGAGAGGTAAACCAGGTTGTCGAGGAACGTGGCGTTTGTGAACTGGAGGAGCCGTTTTCGACAAGGTCGGCAAATAGGAAAAGAAGAAACCTTTGACCCGGTTACCAATGGTCGCTGGTGTTTGGGGTTGTTCGAACGACTCTTGTGTGTTTTCCTCCTCGTAGGCATCTGCGGTATGCTCTTCTTCAAATGACTCCATAATATGTTCCTCTTCGTATGACTGGTCAGCAGCTTCGCCTTCAAGAATATTTTCCTCCACACGCGAAGTCGACGTCAACAGAGGGAGATCCTGGCTGATAGCAATAGCTTCTTCGAGCAAATGAGAATACCTGGGAGCCAACAGCGAAGCAGGAACCTTCCTTTTCCTTTCCTTCTCATGGGCTACATTTGCGAATGGAGCACCTTCTACTACAGGCGATGGGAACGCAGGACGAAGTGTCCTCGGCGGAGGCGCCCGTCGGCCAAGAGGGGTGAAATCAGGAACTTCCATGAACGGTATCCGGGTACCACCTTCCAGTGCGTTGAAGCCCGAGGTATTGGGCACATGGGGCGTTGTTGGCAGGGCAACCTTACCAGAACGTTGCTTATTCTGTAATGCGTGAACACGCTGCGTAAGACAATCCCTGCGAATGGTGCTTCAATATTAGGGTGCAGCTGAATATCAGGGGGGGAAAAAATGTACCTTTCCCATGCACCTCCAAACGTCTCAACAGCCTCAAGGCCTCCCATAAGAATAAAAAACCTCTCAACAACGTCAGAAACTTGAACCATATCAACAGGTGCCAGTCCGTCTTGAGTAAATTCTGCAGAAAGCCGGTGACCGATGGCAAGTCTTTCATCAGTAAAGCAACCATCCAGCTGCTTCCAATCCTCCTTTGTCCAGATCCGTTCTCGAGATTCTTCATCATTGTTGCTGTGCTCATCAACTTGCTTCCTCGAACCAATTGATACTTTCTTCAAGTACTCAACCCGACGTGGAAGGGGTGTCTTGAAAGGATCTCTGTGGCCAACACCATCAAAGCCCTCCCTAACCAGAGACCCTTTGACTGGCGACATTCGCACCACCTCTGCCTCTGCCTCTGCCAAAAGCTTAGGAAGTGTGGTCGCAGGGCTCCCAGGAATGAAAACCATATCCCCAAGAACACCCATTCCAAGCGTCGACCTTCTTCTCTTCTTCTCTCGGGACTCTTTGCCGACACCAGCAGCAGAGACACCACGCCGCCGTGTCTCCTTGGCCAGCTCATCGACAGCAGAATGCGAGTCGCGTCTCCGTTTCATTTCAGAGTGACGTCTCTTCATCGTAATCTTTGTATAGCAATCATAGTCATGCTACAGTATAATCAGCATGAATAAAAATTGAATTCCTTTTAAACAAACCTGTTTGAGAATCGCAGCTGCCCTAGCAGCTGCGCGTGGATCCGTGCTTGAAATTTTAACGACGCCAACAGCGTCTCCATCGCTACTATCGTCTTCGCTGTCCTCGTCGTCTGAATATGCAACTTGTTGTTCAGGAGAAGGCTCAACATCATGCATAAAAGTGTCATCGTCTCGTAGTGCCGCCGCAAGATTTTCGTCCGGTTGTGGTTGGTGAATTGTCAAGCCTGCTTCAAATGGAGCCAAAGATGGGAAAGGAATGGACGAGTCGACGCCAAGAATTTCGTTTCGAGGGCCATCGGCTGGTGAAGCATGGCGAAGAGGCAGGGCACCCTCCAAAGAAGAGGGAACAGACGGGAGGGCTTCTTGAGCTTGCTCCTGGGAAATAGAAGCAGCAGACAAGTCGTTCTGATTCTCTTCCTCTTCAGGATCATGCTCAACCGACATTTGGCGAACTTCACGTTCTTCTTCATCCTCTTCTTCATCAGCTTCCTCAATCGACCGTTCCTGAGACTCAATTGAAGCCCCTTCTTCTTGAGAATGAGAGGTGTCTGGGGTTTGGTCCTCGATATGCTCCGGATGACTTTCGAACGAAGAATCAACGTCCAAGGAGACATTCTGTGGCTCTTCAAGAGACTCATCACGTATGTCCGGCTCGACAGACATCCGCCTGACCTCCTCTTCCTCCTGGCGTTCTTCGTCTTCCTGCTCAAAAGACGTTTGCTCAGGTTCCGGCAGGAGTTCCTGTTCCTCCTCCTCTGGCTGCTCTTGAGGCGCTTCTTCAACAGCAAGAGACGGCTGCTCCTCCTCGACAACCCCACCAAGCCAGTTCACCTTCTTAACTTTAGGGAACGGGCTGATAGGCCTGCCCCACTGCTCCATTCTCCCTCTCGTAGCGCTGCTCGGCGGGTCTGCCTTGGTCCTCACTTTCATCATCCTCCACTTGCCCGTATATTCCCCGTGGCCTTCCATCTTGTCCTCATTTTCCCCTGTGGCATCGTCATCGCTGTCGCTCCATCCACCCGCATCGTCCGGGGGATTGAGATCAAAGAGTTGAACGGGAGGAACATCTGCATCGGCAGGGTCCAGCTCCATGCTAAAGTCTGTTGAACCCTCAGGCTCGGTGTGATGATTCCAGTCAAAGTAATTGACTCCTTCCGTCGCGCCACCCTGCTCTTCATCGTCCATGGGAGAAGATGGAGGGAGGTTGTCAAGCTGAGCCTGCACTCCATGAGAAAGCATCCTCTTCAGAGGGGATCGGCGGATAGGTGTAGAACGGGGTTCAGGCGGGCCCGACAACAGCAGAGGATCGTCTGTAGGGCTCGCAGGTGGCATTGGCGCCGTCAAATCAATGTCCGGGAGTTCTTGTTTGATGATGGAAGGGGCAGTGAGGATCTTTAAACCCTTTGCCTTGGTAGACGCGGCTGGAGTTTTGCGTTTCGACGACTTGGACACCGACTTGGGCACATTAGGTGTGAGAAAGACCTCCCTTGGTGGTGTAAAGACGTCTTTGGGTGGTTCGTACGGGGGAATAGGGGTGGCACTGCGCCTCGAGCGAGCTCCCAAGGCGGCTCTACGCTTCGGAACAGCAGACAATACCAGAGCAGGCACTGAAGGGATGTAGTCGGCATCTGGGTTCTTATGATGGGGTGACTTGACTAGTATACGGTCCGGCCTAGATGGAGTAGTGCTCACACGAGCATGATTTTCTACACGCGTAGGGCGAGTTGGGGAATCTATGGATTGCGTGCGATGTCTAACTTGCTTCCGGGGTTTGGGATTGGGGGTGGCTTCTACAGGCAGAGCCGGCTCTTCTGAAATATAGGCCAAATGGGATTCCGTGGGGGATAATTGCGAAGACGATGCCACAGCGGGTTGGGTGCGCTTTCGCTTGGAATTAGCTGGGGTCGGGGGGTTGGCGAGGAGTGAGGGCGTAAAGGGTGTTTGGCGCTGTAAAAATAACTATTAGCAAGCTTAAACATCGTTTAGAGTGCTCTGACCCACCGAAACACGCCTGAGAGTTTCTTCTGGAGGCGGGCTTATAAGTTGTACCCTCTTGTCAACATTGTAGTTCCTGTCTGTAGCCATTGGGGATTGAGAGACTCGAGAGTGCCTTTTCTGTATTCTATCCTTGCTGACTGGTGCGAGGTCGACTCTGGGGGAATTCAGAACGGGGGCTTGTGGCCGTTGGTTTTCCGCCATGAGAAGGTTGAACTTTGGATTCAGGTTCAATTGTTCATGACAACCACACGTGATCGCGACAACTTTTCAAATTTAAGCATCGTATAATAGCGTCGTAAAGCGTCGTAAATTCTCGTTACAGTTCGTAAGTAATAAATGGGTAATAAATACTGCAAAAAAATGCTCCAAGGAGAACGTGAAAAGGTCGTTAGGAGGCAACAAATCCCGTCGCGCTGGGCGGTCTTGACTTGCTTTCGCTTTGGCCGCGAGGGCGGCCTTCCACTAGTGGAGACCGTTTAGGGAGAATGAATAGATCATCCTGTGATCGTACAAAAAAGTCGTCTTCGCTTTCATAGGGCGACGAAGACGCGTTTATCTGACATATGTCAGACCGTGACGCGTCAAGATAAAGTGGCACCTACCCATTGCCCAAGAACATCCGCCACCCTTGACGCCTCCTCTGCGCTGAATTGACAATTGGTGCCTCTCTCAGAGTGCATCTTCATCAGCTCGCTTAAAGTGCGCTTTCCCTTTCCGTCGACGCTCCCATCCCTCCTGTGCCCACATCCTCCTGTCTTGACCATTCTTCCTGGTGTGTCGTCCGCAGGGAATACGACAGAATTGCGCGGTGTAGTACGCGTAAGGGGTGACAGAGTGGTTTCCTCGTCAGTTATTTCCAGGGATCGATCCCAGTCTTCGTTCTGGGAATCTGAACCGGTGGAGTTGAGGGAGAGAGTTGAGAGCGAGAGGTCGGTCATTAGAGAGGAGAATAAGATCGTAAAAGAATGGGAGAATAAATGGATTTGACTGAATGGCTAAAGATTGTATTGCTTGGATTGTTTCACAAACAACAGAGTCACCCAACACGCACAAATAACGCGTCGCGACCATTTACCAGTTTCTCGTTGTTTCTCGTTGTTTCTCCCAGTTTCTACCTCATCGTTGCCTCGAGGAGCCTCGTGGTGACCGTCGGGATCGAGGGCAAGGATGATAGACAATACCGCGTTTTTTTTGCACACAATGCAAACCATAAATGGTATGAAGCTGTGCTATTGGTGACTCATACAAGGTATGTAAAGCATATCACACTTTCACAATAGTCAATTTACAATATCATAAGTACAAAATCCGATATCTTCCTAACTGCTTCCTTCAACAGCTTTTTCTAACCATGTCTCGTTCACAATATCGTCCAGCACCTTACAATCCATACGCAGGAGCCTCATGGCCTGGTCCTCCGCCTTTCTCAGGTGCACCCCCCATGCCCAACGGTCTTAATATTTCTCAACAACGATGGCAAGGCGGTTATTGGTACCCAAACGCTGCCTATAATCCTGCTTCACAACCAGGCAGGTTCCAGCAATGGATCCCAAGCCAGGCCTGGCAACAGCCCCAGCCCCAGCAGCAGCAGCAAGCAGCGTCATACAATCCTTACAAGCGTGTTCCTCGCCCACCCAGTGCTGAATACTTGGCCTCGAAATTGTCCGATAACCCTTTAGGCTTGACAAACATGATCCCTGCGTACGTCTGTTCCATCGCTTTTTAATCCACTGATATACTGACCGTTATCGACAGAGAGAACCTCTACGGAGACGAAGAGGAAGATAAAACCGTCGCACCTCAGACCCCCTGGATATGGAGGCCTCAAAATCTTGAAGGAGAAGGTGCACCTCCAAACGGTTCTGGACCTGATCCGTCCTCCTCCGCTACCAATCGCAATCGCTCAACATCTCAGACTCGTCATGCCTCAGACCCATCACCATCCAACACAAATCGCGACTCGGGCGTCTCTCGACATTCTTCAGAGCCAGCGCCAGGTAGGGTAGGAAACATCGATGATTCCCATCCCTCTTTTGTCGGTTCTCTCGACCGACCCAAGACTTATCCACGCAGCACAGACCCTGCGACGCCGGAACGACAACAATCGGGTCCCAAGGAGCCAGAGACCTTCACAGCAAAACGAGAGTTAAAACCCACTTTTTCCATGAACATCATCCGCACCCCAGAGCATTACCAATCCTCCCCGAGCCGCAACTCCTCCCGCAATTCCACGGACTCGCAGCTTTCCTCCCGAATGTCCCAGCTTAGCACAGGCAGCAGCAATGGATCCGGCTCACGGCAATCCTCTGGAAATTCTCCCGAATATATCTCTCCATCCTCCTCCACCTCTACAGTCAGCGGCGTATCAGCCCTATCAGACGAGCCCGTTAGCATACTCAGCCCACTAATGATGGTCAACACTCCCAAGCCATCCAGTAGATCCGTCGCTCGGCACTCTTCCGTCCCCGTAGTGGGCTCCTCTTTCCTTAGCACCATCCCTGAAGCACCTTCAACCTTTACTCCCCAGCGGAACGGCTCCCGTCACACATCCTACGTTGAAACCAGCACCACCCCATCCCCAAAAAGCCCAAGAAGCCGCTCCTCCTCTCGCCCTTCCTCTCGCCCCTCCTCCCGCCCCACATCGCAACACACCTCCCCCGTCCGGTCATCCAGTTTCCCCGACTGGCATACCCCCCCAAGCAGTGCCCCAGCCACCAGCAGCAGCAGACTGTCCGGCGGGTCCGGAGACTGGCATACTCCGCCACCACCACCACCTCACAGCGCCAACTCCACATCGCAACGCTCCAACCCACTCCCTGCTCCACCCCAAGAAGTTCGGCACACCACCATTCCACCAACACAGACGACGCCCCCACAACACTGGCGCGAACGTGTTCGCAAGGGTTTCTGGAATAGGCGTGGGGATCACCTGACTATGTCCGGCTATGTAGTCTACGCGCCCCCGGAGAAGGCTTATCCCCCCGAGTTGCGTAATTATCCCCAGGAGCGGGTCTCCTACCGGGATGAGGTTGGGAATGAGACTCCATATGTGGAGAGGCCCGAGTTGCCAGAGTCTTTACCACGTCATGGAAATGCTCCTGAGCAGCCTTACGAAGTTGTGAGCTATTCTTTCTATATTTCAATCGTTAGTTCTGACTAATGTCTTTCTCTAGTTCATTGTCTATGAATATCGAGTTTAAAAATTGTGTTACCTTTTTCAACATACCCATGATACCGAGTTAATCTCCTCTGATACCACTTTTCTATCAGTTCTCCATACCATAATCTCCCCACTCAATAACCTAAAATTTTGCATGTATATCTGTTTTCCGTGAAAACTTCATATATTCAGTACAGCATGACTATAAGGACTACATATAACCCATACACAGATAATGATCACAAGCATACAACAAGAATCAAACCCCACTTGAAAAGGATACAAGTACACTATTTGAAGAGTGAATAAGGACTAGTGGACATTTATTGGATCTCAATAAATGTCCACTCTTGTTCACAGAGAACGGCAGTGTATAAATTTCTTCTCAGCAATGCACCAAACCGAGAACAAGTGGACATTCATCCAAATGAATGTCCATTTGTTCTCGACTTGATCGCAGAGAACAACACAGGGGCAGCAAGCATAAAAGAAAGTATAAGTATAAGAAACAACAAAAGGCGGGAAAGAAGGATACGCTCAGTCGATTGGTCCCAGGCCAAACCCTCCATGAATCTGTCTCATATGGCCATAGATCCCCTCGCCTTTCGGGAACGTCTGCATGCACACCCAGCAAATGTGTGTTTGACACTGGGTGCACATCATATGGTTACAGCCCTCTGCGTGTTCGATGGGGATATTGCAACCAGGACAGCTCTTCACATCGTTCTTCTTCATCCATTCTTTGAACAAAACCTCACCCCCATCGACCTCTGCGCAAGCCAAGCCGTCGTGAGCCTCAGAGTGACAATTGGGGCATATGCGTAGGAGGCAGGATGGGCATTGGAGAACCGTCCCCTCTGGTGCAGACCGATACACCTGACTGCAATCTGGCGTTGGGCAGAAATGGAATTCATTTGGACGGGTATGGATATGTGCAGAGAACGCTGCATTCAGCACGGCTTCAAAATCATGAGCGGGCAGAACCTCCTTTGCAATGCCCAAGGAGATTCGTTCAGGACAATGAGCTTCGTTGCCCAGACACGTCAACGGGAAGAAGTTCTGATCAACTGCCGCAGTAAGGTACTGGGCAATACATGTACGACACCAGCGATGACCACACTGAAGGGCGATGGGTGAGGTTGCTGCCTCAAAGCAGACTGGACATTCTGCTCCAGTCGTTTGTCGTTCACCGCTATGCCTGGATCGAGCACGGTTGACAGCTTCTCTGGCTCGGTCGAAGGCCTCTTGGTCACCACGAATCAGGAGACGCCTATTCCCCAGATCCAACACTACGTTGTCAGGCCCGAGGTCCTCCTGCAATTTGATAAGGTCTGCACTCATAAACAGCCCCACAAGCCGACCATCAAGCGGGATGATCAACGTTTGTCGACAACGAAGCTCTGCTGCCTTCTCCACAATTTTTTTATGCACGATTTCCCGCAGCTCGGAAGAACCGAGAAGCCGTATTGTCCGTCTACCCCGCTCTTTCGTGATTGTGAGAGGGCGATGTTCTCTTTCAAGATCTAGTAGGAAGAGAACTCCAGCAGGTCGAACGAAGAAATCATCCCAAACAACCTTTCCATCGTGTTGGACAATGACGCCGGTGAGGATCTTTTCCAATTCGAGTTTCAAACGACCCAAGTCTTTCATGTCTTCGCCGCATATTTTGACCGACACAGAAGGGGGCCTTTTGACAGCAGAAACTGAAGATCCATTACCTCGCCTCCAGGCCGATTCGCCTAGTGCAAGTATGTCTGGCTCAACAACGTTGAATGTCTCATGAGACACGTTGTATGAAATGGACTGCAAATGCCGTGCAAATATTCTTGTGTGGCCGGTGAACCAGGGCTTACGGTTATGCAGGTCGTCACAAACTGCTTTGGCTTCACCTGGAGTGGCAAAATGGGCCCATGCCCTGACCATGCCGTCCTTGTAGGGCGGCGGCAACACATGGAATTCAAGGAGGTCAACGTCCTTTTCCAAGAGCATCCTTCGAATGCCACTGATCGCACAGGGCAAGTCTGTGTAATTTGGTCTCTCCCACATGACATCCTTTGTCTGCGCAAACCACTCCATCCCTTCTTCAGTGGCATCGACAGGAAGGCTATGAAATTTTACAGTCGCAACCCCTACAGCGGGCAACCCCGAGTGAATAGATGCCTTAGTGTAAGAATCACCAAAAAGCAGGTCACGAGTGGCTTCAATGGCCTCTGTAGCCCGTTCAATGGAGGGGTAACCCCCATATCCGACTTTTCCAGGAGCCTCCCATTGAATACGAACAGCTGTGTCACGGGGTATGCTGGAAGTGCCATCGGGATTGTTCACCGCCAATCGTACCCTTAATGTTATGCCAAACGCCTGCGTTCCGTTGAGCGCTGATGAAGCTCTAGATGCTTCTGCAGCTGAAGAAAATCGCGCTTTAACGGTCATAGCCAGAGTCAAGGCGTCTGACTTCATCCTTACTGCTGTGATTTCACCATGAGGTCGCAGCAATCGAATGATATCATCCTCCGTCACTCTCTTTGGAACGTTCACGATGTATACCGAAGAAGTTTCGAAGCCGGTCACAAGATCCTGAACCTCGAAACCTGCGCCGAACTTGACTTTGATGTGCTTGTGAAAAGTGAATGGAAACAGTTCTGGGACTTTCGAAACTGCATGGAACGGGGGCCGAGTGGATTCCGGAAGTACCCCTGCTCGAGCCTCTTTTTGAGAGCCAGGGAGAGCGGTTTTAGGTTTCTGCTCAACTAAGTCCTTCTGCTTCAAATCGCTATGCACCCAGGGGCACGTAGCTCCTCTAAGGCATCGCCCGCTCGTCCAGTCCCAGCACACATCAAAACTTCGGGGCCCTGTCGGTCGGTTTGAGGGGCTTGCATGCCCGACCGTCGTGTGGATAGCCTGCGTATTGTTGGAACATGAATGTAATTGACATGGCATTGCACACTTACTTTATGAAAAACAAGGTTCTCGTGCAAATATGGACATTGGTGACCACGACTGCATCGACCGCTACGCCAATTTTGACAGACTTCGGAGCGCCTGGTCCTGTCGCTGTCAAGTTTGAAACGCGTTAGGTCCTTCCCAGAATGTGTGGGTAATTTTGGATCGTATCGTGGGACTTCGCGTTTGAGAGGCTCAGAGTCCGATCCAAGAGGTTTCTGAGGAGGGCGCGGCAATCCAGGAGGAACCAATTCGGAGCGAGTGGCTCTATCGCTGCCATGTTTTGAACGCGCCTGACCTTCCCCAAAGACAGATGATTTTGGATCCTGTTTGAGGGCTTCGCGTTTGGGGGGCTCCAAACCAGGAGGTTTTTCAGGTGGGTTCGACGATTCACATCGACGAACTTCAGGCTTGGAAGCTTTGACACCTAGTCCGGGAGGTGCCGATGGGGCCACAGGTACTTTCTGCTTCGATAGCACTCCCAACCCGGGAGGTTTGGCTGATGACGGTGAGACAAGCCCGGATACAACACCATGCACATGATGAGGGAGTTGACGCCGTGACTCGTCTAGACGGGATGTAGAAAGGCCAGAAGGCTTCTCCATTATGGGTCAATTAACAAAAAATCCTTTTGAGTATTGCCGACCTACCGATTCATCGTCGTACTCGAGGTCTTCGTGCACATAGTTACAGGAATAGCCCCAAAAGCACCGACCGTGCAACCAATCCCTGCATCTTTCAGTGGTATGTGGACGTGTCTTGCGGACGACCGTTTCATCGCCAGCAAGTGACGGAGTGGAGAAAATAGTACGAGAAGACGAAAAGAACTATTGAGGAGGGGTCAGACCAACTTGCAGAAACAAATCTGAAGAACAACCTTACTGATGGACCAGCACCACCCTCGTCAGATGAATTACCGCTATCGTTCCAAAGTGTGTTACTGAGCCCACTGACCCACTGACCCGTTTTAGAGTCCCAGTCAGGTGCTCTTCGAGACTCGGATGAAGGAAACTTGACTCTCGGATCTGTAGGGCCGCCTGAGCTCGCCCCAACGTGGCCTGTCGTGTGCCCATGTTCTGAAGTCGAGTCGCTTCTCACCCCCACAGGAGGATTGTCAGCCCGCCGACGCAGATGCTCTTGATAATAGAAGTCCCGATTCACTGGATGAATTCGATGACAGAATTTCCCAGATGAACAATTATGATACAAATAGTTGCGACAGATTGTATTCGATCGCGCGTGAGTGTATTCGGCCTAAATATGTAATTAGGAAAAACGGGGTAACAAGAGGGTTGAGAGCTCACCTCGATACCAAATATGAACCGTTTCCGCTGAGGCTCAGGCGTGTTCGCAACGTCGCTTTCCTGGGAGAACAAGTATGAGTTCATAAGAAATGTTGAAGGAGAAAAGGGGGGAATAGTAGGAAGAAATTCTGGACAGATACGCTCGCATGCAAGGGACCAACTCACCTGAGCACTATACAAAGACTCTGACTGGGATTGCAAACTACCCTCTGATTGCGCAGTTGGCTCTCGATTACGAGTATTCTCATGAGTGACCTGTACCGAGTCGAACGCAGTTAGGTCACTCGAGGACACCATGAATACAACACTACTCACCTTTACTTCAAGTATGGCAGCAACATCGCTGTTCGACACCTTTCCGTTATGTGTTTCCCTCCGTTTTTGACCCTCATCTCCTGATTTGCTAACTCGAGTTTTAGACAGCTCAGACGGTCCTGTCTTGCCGTGATGAGCGTTAACAGACGCGCCTTGCACACGGTCAGAAGGGCGGATAGTGGCTGTAGATACTCCAGGCATTGTGTGTGACGACGAGCAGGAGCTCGGGAAACGAGGGTCCGGATCAGCAACTTGGAGCTATGGAAGTTGTAGATGAAGATGGGATTGCGGAAGCGCCAGTTTCAGGGCCCCATCCCACGACTCATGACTTCCTTTTCTGGAGAATCTCACAACACTTCAACAACACTTGATTACAGCTTCAACAACGCAATCATACAAATGAAGAAATTCATGAACAGAACGAGGCAAAAGCTAACATGACAATATTGATGATTACCCAAGGGTCGGGCAGAATAGCCTATCAGGAATACGAGAATACCGGGATCGACTGCGAGTGTAGGGATAGACGCGTGATGATGATGCGATTGTATATCGACTCGGTGCCGAACTTGAGGGAGGTTTAGACGCCAAGTAGTGGATGTCAGGTTCTTTCACTTGGGACGGCAAAGACCACCAGCTGAGAAAAGCGGCATCGTAGGACCGTCGACTAACCTTAATTTTCCAGACTTACCGAGACGCTGCGGCGGCCGTCCACGAAGGCGATTGTTTTATAACCCTGCGCGACGCGAAAAAGAGGATCAAGATTGTACTCTGGGTCAGTAATAGCGTTAGGTGCCTGATAAACCTGAAGATCGAGACCTACTGTCAAGGTAGCGAAGGTCGCTCGAAATACGATCCACAGGAGTGTCAGAGAAGAAAATAGAAATCGAAACAGAGGTATATGGAGAATATATTCAGGGGAAGTTCCCTCGGCTAATGTTGCGCCTTTTATTTTTTGACATTGTGGATCAAATAAATCGGCTCACCATAAAAAAAGTTCTGGGCAACTCTGATAAATAAGTCCTGCCACCATTTTCTGTCGTCTCTCCGGACAAAGAGTAGCTCCTGTTGTAGAAGATTAGAGGATGCGTTGATTCTTTCCAGTTCAGAATGGGTCGTCTCCGTTAGGAGAGAGATCGTTTTTATAAGCTGGGAAGTCGAGTGCGAGGCTTCAGCATGAGTTTGAGAAAGGGATTCGGCACTAGAGAGTGCGCCATCAAGGGCACTGGAAACCCTAGTTGCCTCGTAGAGTATATTCATTGTAGCCTGGGGAATTATCGTTAGCAATACGACTTGAACGTAAATGGAAGGGAAATTTCCCTACGTTGTGTGCGGAAATAAAGCTAACTTCAAGCCCAATCCACTTCGTTCGAATCTCATTCTAGCGGCACAGTGATGAGATAAAAAGGTATGAATAGTTGTGAAATCATGGACACCGTCACGAATAGCAGGTCTTGCTGCCGTTGAACCATGTGTTCAAAAACGGAATCAAGGCGTTGAATCAGAGAGGCTTCGAAAGTAGAGAGGGCGAAGTCGATTTCTTTAGCAAGCTGCGAAGGCGTAACTGGTCATGAAGAAGAGGGAATGATCGAAGCTGAGGTAAATACGCGGTGTAGGACAGGTTCAAGCGAGCCTTCCAGCTGCAGGAAAGCTGTCAACAATAGCCATTCCCAAAGTCGGTACCCTTGCCTGTGATAACGTTTCCCTTTCTGCCACTTGCAGCCGCTGAGTAGAGGAAAGCACGGCTGATTCGTAGAGCGACAAGGCCTTCATTCCAGATCCAACTTTAAGAAGTTTTTATCTGGAAGAAAATTTCTTACGGAGTTCAAGTTGTTGTCGACTTTCGAAGCTAAGCGGTCAGGAATAGCGTCGTAACTTTTTGTCGTTGCTTGTAGTTGGAGTAGTAGTCGCTCGAGCTCCTACGTCCATAAAACAACAATAGACAGGTACGCAGAAAGCTTCAGCATACAGTGAGTTGGACCTGCTTTTTTTGCATCAAGACCTCCTCTGATTTTTCGCGGTTGACAAGAGATCTCAGAAAATTGATATTCTCAATCGTCGCGTTCTTGTAAATATCGCGTGCCAGATCTGAAAAGTTATGAGATCAGAGCCGATTATTAAGAAAAGGGAGACCAACCGATATCGTTCCATCTCCGAAATGCGAAACAAAGTTGGGCTGCAGGGCCATGTTACATCTGCAAATGATCGCCCTCAACGTAAGAAAGACGACCCACGAATTTCTCGCAAATAACCAGAATAGCTTGACCAAAATTGAGCACTTCTTGAGAGTGCACTAAATGCAAAAAGTAAAAATTCAGCATTGGAATTGCCAGGATCCTCACTCTACGCATTCGCTTCGCGTGCGTGGATCTCGTGGATCTTTTCCTTCGGGTGAGAACGGGCGACATTCTAGCGGTAGGGAATAATGCTTCGCGGTTGCAATTTCGCAGAGGGTCATAGAAATGGCAGCTGAGCAGAAAACCATGAGACACTTTGATAGATTTGATAGCGCCTGTACCGTTTATTCGTTCATCTTCATCCATATCTAATTCACCACAGCGCGTCCTTATCGCACCTGCGACTCGGCGAAAGCAGTCCGGTCTGCGAGTGTATCTTTCTAGAGCATCTAATGCGAGTCGGTAAATTCCGTGCCGGTGCTTTCAAGTTCAGAAAATGACGCACCGTAACTAAGCTGTAAGTTGTTGTCCTGTTCATCGCCTGGGGACAAATCTTGCGTGGAAGTCTGAAATAATGCCGAGGAAGGGTAGATTTGTAGATACCGTAATCGGATTCTATGGGAGGTTCAGGTGAAGACTTTATCGGAGGTTTTGACCATGAGAACGCGCAGGGAGACCAGAAGAGTTGAAACCAAAAGATAACCAGAAAAAGCATGATTTTCCCTCGAACGAGTGATGCGGAGTTGGGCGACAACAGGGGTGATCGTAAGAATACTTTCGGAGCGCATACAACCGGGCGGAATCAAACTTTCTGTATTTACGGTGTGTATTGGCTTGTAACTAAGAGCATCGACCTCTAGAACAAACAAATGGAAACAATCCCGGGCTTCCTTTTGATTTTCATCATCATCTCATCATACAGTGCTTTGCAATGATAATGATCAGAGAATACACCGTTATCACGTGTCGCCACAACTAACTTCTTTTAACCGACCCAACCGCGGACCTTCGGTTGCTGTCGAATCATCCTAAGCTATGCTCACTGTGCACCACCTGAACAACTCTCGTTCCCAACGGATCCTATGGTTGCTTGTACGCGATACTGAAACATATCTTGGGCCAGTGATAATGTTCAGACATTCTTCGTGACAGGAGGAGTTAAACGTACCATACCAAGTCAAAAAGTACGAGCGAACCCCTCAACTCACCGCTCCAAAAGAGCTTCTGGAAATCAACTCTCTTGGAAAATCTCCTGTTATCACGGACGGCGATGTCAATTTGGCAGAGAGTGGAGCCATCGTTGGTAGGTGCTTGTACCACTGTCATTTGCATTGCTGGACTGACCCCGCGAAAGAGTATGTCATTGAAAAGTACGGGAACGGGAAAGCGACCCCACCAGAGTCAGGAAAACTTGACAACCTCTACTGTCAGTGTTGAGCAACCGTACCTGCATACCCTCACCGCATAACCCGTTACAGTTTCCCATTACGCCGAAGGCTCCTTCATGCCAGTTCTGGTCCAAAAGCTGATCTTCGATATAGTGCCACAGAGATCACCCTTCTACATCCGACCCTTCGCTAGTATGATTTTCGGCCAACTCAACAAGCAACTCGTGCAGCCGGAGATCACGAAACATGTGGCTTTGGTACTCACCGTTTTTGCCCATCATTTAATACATCTGCTCACCTTTTTAGATTGAAGCCCATCTAGCAAAATCTAAGTCCATCTTTTTTGCTGGTGGTGATGAGCCTACGGTGAGTCGGCTCTCCCATGACAGAATGGGTTGACATTCTGACAGCCATCTCCAGTCTGCCGACTACCAGATGGTTTTCCCACTAGAAGCACTAACAGACGGTGCTCCGGATCGCCTTGGTCCGAAGATCAAGGAGTATGTTAAAACTATCCATGACCGGTAAGTCTCCGGATCAGCATCAAACTGCTCGTTTCATTTACTCTTTGCTTGAAGCCCGGCCTACAAACGAGCAAGTCCTTTTCCAGATTTTGAGATCCAAGATAATGACCATTCTTGCAGGCACTCGAGAAGGGTGGGGAGTACGCATACGCAAAATTGTAGATACCCCATCAACACAAGGCGTTCGTTTCCAGCCAACATGTTCAGCGTTAGCCTTGAGAATAATATATCAAATGTTATAGCGGAGAGATCTATAGAATACAGTGGTGTCGTGACTCTCCTGGACAAGATGCGTATCTTGGTCGAGGAGAGTGAACGTCGTTCGGAAAACTCTAGTAATACAGCGGGGGTAGTGCGTCTAGTAATGTAAATGAGCGGAATAGATATGTATGAGAGGATGCAAGAGAAAAAAACGACTGTGGCTACAAAGGAAAGGATGGAATGAATAAATAACCTTGACCATATAATAGCTTTTGAGGATTAAGGGATGGTAAAATAGACGAAATAATAAATACCGACAATGCCACGCGATACCTGAGATGGCCCGGCCGTCAATGTATGGCGCACAAGAGAGAAGAGTATCAATGACGCTCGCTTTCTGGCCTCCTTCGCGCAGTCTGACCAGAGTGAGCCTTTTGTTCCCAGACAGAAGGACTCTCGCCTTCAGCCCATTCCCCTGTCGCAGTGTTGTGCTCGAAATCCCCATCCTTATACCCATATCGTTTCTCAAGGAGCTTCAAAAGAGGGTTGCGCAAGGCAGGGTCCATTCGCACAGTCTCTCCTGGATGGTAGCTACCTACACCGTGGCTAGAAAGGCTCTCTTCGAAAAGCGCTTCCTCGAATGTACATCCACAGTTGAGATATCCAGGAGGGGCGTTACGAGGTGGGTATGCCCGACGTTCACGCCTCGAGTCGTGCCACGCACAAAGTGCGTTCCCCGCACGGTTGAGAGAACAGTAAACCTTCTTGCGGGCCTCTGTGCGAGCCTTCCGTGACGCTTTGAAACTGGGTGAATGCGATGAGGTTGAGTTTGCAATGGACCCTCGCATAGCTTCCAAAGCTGAGCGTGAGCGACCATATTCGAGTTCTAGCTCGCGGACTCTTCGACGAAGCTGCCGTATCTCGTTTTCAGATAGGTCTTCCGATGAAAGGGACATGTCCATCGGCTGCTGATACGACGTTGGAAGGCATTGACCAGGGTAGCCAACAGCGCCACTGGCGGTTAGTTGGGCGCGAGTTGGAATGCCGTACTGCTGGTCGTTGAACGTTTGGAGATAAGGAGGTGATGGGGGAGAAAGAGATTCGGGGGATGCGTGACGAGCTGTTGCATAATCATCAAACGGGAGATTGCTGATAGAGGCTGACGCCATGTCGTACACCGGCATACTATGACCCGCAACACCGGGATATGTGGCGTTATTCATAGTGGTCGTTACATTGGTGGGATTGGTGCCCCATGTTATATCATGGTTTTGCACGTTAGAACCGTAAGCGCCAGGCGGAGACCTGGATTGTCGGGAATGCACGGATGTATTGGTGCCTCCCATGGCTCCTGTCAATGTTGACGTGAGACTGGAGCTAGACGATGCTGGTCTCAATTCTGATGATGGATCGTTCATCGTTGACAGATAGGAATCCTAGGGTAACGTTATTAAATTGTAAAGTATACAAGCGAATGCCGACTCACGTTCATGAATGGGTGGCTAAGAGTATACGTGTTATGTTCGTCTCCGTCTGATGACCGGCGCTCTGCAGGTTGGTGTGAATGTGTCCTAGTCCCGCCTCGCATACCGGAATTGGGCCAAGTTCCATAAACTGGCGTGGCGGTAGACATGATATTGAGTGCTTCTTCGTGGTATGAATGGTAGGGTCGTAGTTGTTTGATACCCGTCAAAGAAGACGTCGAACCTGAATGGAACGATGAAGGCGAACTTGTCACGGAGACGGTCGGTTTTGAAGGTGTGATGGGGGGGGATAGCAATGAAGATGTCGGCTCAGCAATCTCCTTTTTAATACCGTCGGTTTTCTCATCTGGAACGACGAATCGAAGCCAATTAACCTGACGGTCGTCGTGCATGATGAAGATGCGGTGCACGAAAGTCGTAACGACTGTAGTATGTGGAGAGGAAGGCGGGGTCTAAGAGATGTTGCGAAGGAGAAGTGACAAAACATGACAACTCGAGATCTGCATATAAGGCTGTGACTTGGGATACAGGCGCTTTGAATTGATGCGTTTTGCTTACATCCCGATGTGCACACTGATGAAAGAAACACGATCTCTGCACAAACCCGATATCATGAGGTTTCACGGAATGATCAATGATGAGGAACTCGGCGGAGACCTGAAGCCAACCTGAAGCACCCTAAAGCACCCTAAGTTGATCTCGGGACAAAAATCAAGATCGATCAAGAACGGATCAAACAACCTCCAGATTTAAACATGTACATACAGATAACGCAGGGCCGGAATCTATTAGGAAGCCCGAGCTTGCTCTACTTGCTTCAGCCAGATGGGTCCGTATATTCTTTGACATATCGAGTGATGTCTCTCCAAGTTTGCCCACGAATGGAAAGCTGACTGTTTGCAAAATGAATAAATTTCGAAGACACATATCACTGAACAGTGAAAAGGTCAGTTACCTTGATTCAGGCGGTATCTCCACTTCACCAGAGTCCATGTCAATCTTAATCAATGTGGTAATCTCCACGGAAGGCTGCCCACGACACCTGGAAAACTTGTGAGACCTCCAGGGAACAAATAAAGAGACAAACGTGCATTCGAAATAGCCGAGGTATTGGGAAACAGTGAAGTTGTGGCTTTCCTTGGCCGTTTGTCTCGAGGCCGCAGGTATATTGAACAATTTCTGCAATACGACATCCAGATCCAGCATCCTCTTTCGACGGGGTCGAGCTTGAGGACATTTCGCTCATAGACCACCCAGGTTATCGAAGTTCTTATACTTGGGCTATGGAACCATCTCAGTTGTGAAGCTTCAAAGATGTTTTCCAATTCCTACCTTGGGAGATTAAATTTACTCCAGATGACACTCCGTTGCAAGTCGGTCGTCGTCGTCGTCACTGTCGAAAGCAAGTCTTTACAACATCACGTGTTACCCTGGACTTTTCTTCCCTCAAACTCAAACCGAGTGATTTCGGTGCGAATTACATGTACTTGTGCAACACTGCAACGGTCAACTTTCTTGAAATCCTGAGCGTCACCTTTGTAAACCGGAATTCCGAGTTGTGGTTCTGCACTTTCTTATTTCAGACGACCACATACAGACCACGTGTCATGTCAGATTTGTCGCCATGACGGCGGCGTACATATCTGATTTCGAGTCAATTGTCCCAGCGATAATCAAAGCGACGATTTGAACCTTTTCCACCGAGACACCCGCCCCCCGACCCCTTTGAAGTTTGGACGTTCGTATTTTGAGCAAACCTTGAAAGACAGGAAGGCTGGCCATGGCTACAACCTCCGAAATATCTGTCCTAGGACCTATCGACCCTGCATCCCGACCAACGTTGAACGAGGAAGAGAAAGCTGCACCGTGGATAGTAAGGAAACTTGTCGGGGTGAGGATTCTGTGTCTTCCGTTCCGAAACCCAATCTCGTCAATCTCCTCGTCCGAACGGATCTGAGGCATCCTTAGATGCGAATCATACGAATATGTTTGCCCCGATGAGACGCGACAGGGATGACAGCGACTACCACGTTTTCATTGACGTTCCCCTACAACCCCCAAACTGATTCCCATTGGGATGTAGTCTATTACAGGAAGGATCGTCATGTCATCTTACGAGTCCCTTCGAGCTGCAGGCACCAGCGTCATCTGTCTATCCCCTGTAAGTGGGCGCTCCCCGAGGCGTTTCACCTGCTGACTTTTTTGTCTTCAGTGGGGTGACTCATCTCCCCTGTTATTGCCTTGCATTCGATTCCGAGATCTCGCTGTACACACTGTGATCGTGGCCACGGTAAGCTTTCGGGATGGTATAGAGCTGTCCTCAAGCCTCTAAACAAAAAGAAAATCTCAATAGGGTGGGATGGCGGCTGTCGCCGCACCAGTGTACGTTTGATCTTATCTTTTTTTTGTATGCTCATGAAATCAGGATGGGTCCAGTTTCCGATGCCGTTATCTCGACTCTCGGTGATTCAATTTTGGTGGAGCTTGGCCTCCACGCTGGCTTCGAAATTTCAACAAAAATCGCAAACGATTTGATCATTGATAAGTCAATTAAGCACGCTATCCCCATTCATTCCAAGAGGCTTGAAACGACAGGAATAAAGGTTCTTTTGATCACCCTCAAGTACAAGCACACGGTGGAAGACGCTGCTCTGGGCTTTTACCGCAGTTCAGTGCACAAGTAAGTGTAATCGCAGGCTGCATCGTCGTCTCTATAATTAGCCACACATCTTTGCACAGGGATTCTTCGCTTTTTGCCACTGTCAAGGATTACCTCTCTGTTGAGAAGGGGTGGTTTTCTCCGTACCTCTTCGCAAGCGGAAGACGCCCCATCATTCCGAGGACAATAAAGCCCGATGTCATCTTTTGCCACGGCCCATTTTTATTAGGTTAGGCTGATTTCTAGCGTCAACTACATTTTTAAACATGATACTAGGGGATTATAGAGTGGGTGAGACCCTCCTGGCCGAGTCCGCGTCCACCATCACGTTTTGTGACTCACCCCCACCGCTACCCGAAGTCGCCCCAGAAAAAAAGCCTTTTTCTTTGTCCCTCCCAAAGCTCTCGAACGTATTTGACCGCTCGCGCACACCCTCCCCCGAGCCGGCTGTCACCCTTCTGCCACCCCCGCCTGTGCCGAGACGTATGGTAATCCTCGTGGTCGGGCTCAAACCACACCGAAAATTATGGACCACCAGTGCCCGTCCATGCGAGAGTGTCATAAACTATATTCTGCTCAATGGATGTCCTGCGATTGTAGTTCCTGTCAAAGTGGGAGCACCTGTCGTTGCGTGGGACGGGCTTACACTGGAACAGCTTTGGAAGGTCGAGCTTCCGGACGAAGACGTCGAGAGGAGTACGAGTGGCAAGTTCGAGGGGATCGTGGATGTATTGTTTGAGTATCTGGACTTTTGTGTTGATTGGGAGAGGGTCACACTATCTGAGGGGCTCGGGAACGACGAGAACCCGGATACAAAGGGTATGCTAAAGGACGCGCTGGCATTGTTGGTTGCTGCTGGGATCAGGAGTGGTACTTCCAAGGAAGTTCAAAAGGAGATGGATAAGGAGAGGGGTGGAATCGCTATGTGGCGAATTCCCTAGTAATTAGTTCCCAGAATTCAATTATTGCAAGGGCAGACGGTCACGTGCCTGTAACATTTTATTCCTCCGACCATGTTCCCGACTTCCCTCCTGCAGCAAGTGCAGCAGGTCCTCTCTCAGCCCTTCAAACGCTCTCAGTTTGGCCTTTTCCAAGGAAAAAACAAGCAATACGGGAATAACGTCCCCTTCTCAAAGCACAAATCACGGAGGACATGGCTTCCAAACGTCCAACAAAAGCGCATTCCATCCGCAACTCTAGGGATGCCCATTAGAGTCAAATTGACGACAAGGGCGTTAAAGACGATTAAGAAGGTAGTTTTCAGCCCCTAACTCCTTTTTGGTCTAACATTGCTGCTCAGCACGGTGGCTTGGATAAATATGTTGAGAAGACCCCGGCCGTGCTCTTGGGCCATGAAGGAATGAGGCTACGTCTTATGTTGAGGGACACACGAAAGGAGGCGAAGGATGTTAAAGAAGCAAGAAGAAAACCGCCTCCGGAAGATTCATTGTTGGCACGAAGGCTGGATCTATTGAAGCAGAAGAGAATGCTAGGTGCTCGCAAACTCACTGACAAGGTGCAACATACGCTGGAGTCGGCTAGGATGGCGCGAGAGGAGGCTACCAAGGCTTTGGGGCTGACGAGTCTGGCAAGGTGAAGATGCACAGTTTGGTTGTGATGCTTCAACGGCGACTAACCCACGTTTCCCCAGTCCGGAGCAGACGATGCAGTATTTGAGAACGAAGAGGGTCAAATAGACTCTTGCGCTATCCTACTCCTGCTCAAACCCAGTGCGTTTTATCCACGAAAATAGACTTGTCACCTGGATTTTGCGAGCGTCTGATGAATTACAAGCAAATCGTCAATTTGACATCGCTCATATCGACAACGCAGGTATGGCAAACTCATGAGCTCAGCGATAAGCTTAAATTGTCGGCCCTGGTTTCCTGATCGAAATAAAACGATCTTTGGTACAGCGAAGATAAGTACATAGGAGATGGTATGGTGTTCATGTGGTTGAAAGAGGGCTAAGCCCAGAGGAAAAGAGCGCGTGGAAGCACAGATAGAGAACTCGTAAAAGGGTCATTGCGATGGGTCGACACATAACAAAGAAAAATGGAGCCAGTCAAGGTCTAATGAGCAAAGCGGAAATCAAGTCGTCTATTCCCGACGTCCTTCGTGTTCGTTAAATAGTAAGTCTTTTCCTTAATAAAGAAAGATGTTAGAATACATAACTATACGAGGAGAGATGTATAACACACCTCAGATGTCATCGCATCCCAAATCTTTGACTTTTGACGGTTGCGCCAAATATAATACGCTTTGGTGGCGGGGTAGAGAACGACGATATTAAAGACGCAGATCCCTATGAGGAAGTCGTTGCCACGACGGTCTTGAATCGAATCTGCGTATCAGACCATGCACACAATAGTCAAAGAGTGACAATACCCACACATTGGCGCATCATCTTTACGGTATATCTGGGCAGCCACGATGGAGGATGCTTGGACAAACCTGACGGAATGGGCAGTTGAGTTGATAGCTCAAGACAACGAACGAAAACGCACATATTATACAGAGGCGTTAACGGTGCGGCTGGCCACCGCGCCAGCATTCCGCGAGCACCAGCCCACCTGAATGGGATGCGTATATCTAGAATGACAACGCAATTTAGTCCCGCGTATGATAGGACTTAGCGAGAAAGAGAACGCACGGATACGCAAGTAATCCAGATGCTAGCCCAAAAAATATCCATGGGTTTGGTTTACTTGGAAGTGTCCTCAAAGCGATGAGGAAAGGAAGAGTCCAGACGTTCTCCGACATTGATACGAAAGACCGCTCGTTTACCGTTTCGGATACGAGAGTTACGGCAAACATGGTAATGATTGACGCTACCAGGTAAGGAATGGTGAGAAGGTTGGTTTGAAAGGTGTTGAAACTACGAGTAGCGAGTCAGATATTATGTTCTCATCATTAAATGGCAACGTACCCGACGTTCTTGAGGGACAGGGTTAGATATTGAGTTGGCAGGGAGGAGGGTATACCGAAGAGAAGGCCACTGCAACACAAGTTGATCAACATCTCTTCAGGGGCCTTATCTGGGATTCTCACATAATGTATAGTGGCCACAGATCGTAGTCACAGAGCTCGGAAGAGGCGTCTGGGGGTTAGGGCTTCTCTGTTATGCATGTCGCCCTGAAAGGATGATACCGTGAGGTTGAGCGTTTGGTGGAGGGTAATTGGGCACACCTTAGTAGGATCATCACGCAGCACGCGGTTTACAGCGATAACCTCTTCTTGCTCCGTGAACCAACCCTTCGGCCTGAACCATGCCTTGGTTTGAGTCGGCGAGGGGGGCATCTGGAAGAATGTCGCCAGACCAATAGCAAGCGTAATCAGACCCCTTGAAATACCCGTTCAGTCATGTCGCCTAACGTCGCCGATCGTTTGAAAAGGAATTGTGACGTGCTCGACGAGAAAGAGCCACCTCCAGCCTGCCTTTCCATGGACGCCACGCATGCGAAGAACACCGAATGCTACGAAGCCACCCACTATACTACACACATTCATGGACATCCAGAATAGAGCAAGACGGAAGGGAAGTTCAGATTTGGTGTAGAAGTCTGGTTGAATATGAGTTCCATAAATGGGGAATGATTGGGAGCTAGCTCACAAGACAGGTACAAGATAAGGTCTGGAATGAAGCTGGAAATTTGTTTGATTAGTTTCGGGTAAGGAAAGTGAAACACGCGTCCGTACCCTCCCTGGATAAAGCTATGCAAAAATCAACAATCAATCATCCCGAGTTAAGAAAATTACTTACCCTAGGAGAGCTCTTGCAAGCAGGAACGTGGAGCGCCCTGTGAGCCAGAACTGTGCCAACGTCACGATTGACCAGAGGCAAATTTGTATCGGGGTCCACCGATCAGGACCAAGCTGTTATCTCTCCCTATTAGCTACATTGAGGACGGAGCTTGACACACAAACCCTTTTGGAAACGAGCTGGGATGGTAGCTCTGCTATCAGGAAGCATAGGCGAAAGATAGTGTTGCCGAGATTATAGTCTGGAAGTAAAATGCTATTAGTGGGGAGGATGGAAAACTTCTGTGACGGCGAGCACACCATTTGTGGTCAACTTCAAGTCTGGCAGGAAGTTGTCGGTGTTTGCTTGGGTGAGGTTTCCACGATTGAGATTCAAAGCAGAGAAGCTGACAGCGGCTGAAGGAGAGTTAGATTTGTGCGGTAAGGAAGACAAGTACTCACCCCAAAGCATGACCTTCCAGTCAATTTTGTTCCAAATGCGCCCGCTTTGCTTCATGCCGTACAAACCGCGCTGTAAGCACCAAACCCAATCCTCCTTACCAGGCTCCTCAAAAGATTCAGGTTGCTCGAGGTATTGCGCTTCATCAGCAGGAAGGAGACCGTAAAGGAAAGCGGTCTTGACATCGATTTGTTGGATATCCCAGTCTTTAGTGGCAGCGATATTGAGAAGGAGGCGAACAGATTCCATGCGGGCAATAGGCGACGTGGTATCACCGTAGTCTTGACCAAAGATCTGTTCGTAACCCAAAGCAACGAAGCAAGCCTTGTGCCGGACGGGGTCGCCAAGTTCATCGCGCTTGAGTATCAGGACCCATTTACCACGCAAAATTTTGCGACCTGCAGGAATGTCAGAATGGGGGACAAGTTTATAGACACCCATCTCTTTGAGGCTCTTCAATTCATCCTGTATGCCAAGCGTCCACTTGGCGGAATCAGGGGACTTCATAGCCTCGCGGAAAGTAGGTTCATCAGGACAGTGCGTGTTAATAAGAGGGAACGCAAGCTCAGAGGCGTAGGCTTCACAGAATGCGATGAAATCTGCTTCAGAGTCAAGGTTAATAAGAGGCAGTAAGGTATCATCTGGAACAGCGTTAGTAGGCAGGGAAGGAGTCTGAACATTGTCGATATTCGTAAGTGACGCTCGGAGGTCGAGAACTTGTTGACGTCGTTCAAACTTGGCCTGAGTACGCTGTTCTTTGAGGCGTCGACCAGCCTCGCGTGATTCAATAACCGCTTGAGCAACCCGCGGAATGCTCTTGATGCCTAAGTTTTCAGCAGCCTTGGTGCTGGGAGCCGGGGGATGACCAGATCTGCATGGGAGAATGTCAGTGTTATCAGCAGGGACAGGAACAATGTCATCTGCGGGAACAGGAACGACATCAGCAGGCTTGTGAAGCAAGGCCTGAGTGGATGGGAGACATCGTCTTTTCGCTCAATAAATTTGAGAAAAGTCGGTGTGTTGAGGGGTGGTAAAGGCGATATGCTTTTGAATGGGGGGAGTAGCCAATGAGAATACATTCGAAAGAGCGTTCGTATATTTTGGGATTATGTTTGAGGCCCACTAAGAACCCTGACTAATGAATTTAAAATACAGAAGCGAGGTTTTGTTGACGAAGTCAACCTCTACTTAGTATAGTAGTGGTTACGTAACACGATCATCCTCGATCACGATCTCGGATGCAGACTTCAACATTTTTTAATTCTTGAACCCAATCCAAACACTGTCGAGCTAATGAACGAAGAGGTTGCAGGGAAACCGATATCTCCACAGATTTCGAATACCCAACTTCCTTCAGTATCCGAACCAGTTGCGCCTATGCTCGTTGACGATCTGGTACAACCCATCACTCAGAGGTCCAGATGAACATTACCAGTCGACCCTCAGGGCTACTCGCTAGATCGTCCACTCAACGCGATAGACGCTCTCAGCTATCTTGATGCTGTCAAGGTTCAATTTTCCGAACAACCCGATGTCTACAATCACTTTTTGGATATAATGAAGGAGTTCAAAAATGAGTAGTGAGTGCTAAAACATTAATATTGGAATGTTGTGCTGCCTTTTATTTTGTTCACCAGAATTGACACTCCCGGAGTTATCAAGCGCGTTTCTCATCTATTCAACGGTCATCCGTCCCTTATTCAAGGCTTCAATACCTTTCTTCCTGTCGGATATCGCATTGAATGCTCGACAGACGCACACGATTTATTACAGTCACCACTCCTAGTGGTACCACGATGCAGACTACGAATAACGGACCGGGAAAAGGGCCCATTTTTTGGTCAACCTCAGCGACTTCGGGAGGTCTGTAGCGGCAGGATGGTGGGATTGACTACGGTTCGTACAAGTCGGCATTGCATCCAATTCAAAGCCTAGGCTCAAAACGAATAGCCCCAGCCGTGGAACATGTGGCGTCGCCTGACCCCAGGTCGTATGGTATCGATGGACAAGCCATTGAGCCTGGAAAATCAAACAACGCTGTGATCCAGATACCTATCGATAATTTTTGGACATCCCCCCCCCCGTTATCACAACAAGTCTGACATAATTGATGAGGTGCCGTTTTCTTCCTTTTTATCTTTCGAGCCACTCTCTAACGTAAGCGGAGGAACAGGAAGAGGTTTCACGCCAAATCGCAAAACTTTTCAAGAACGCTTGTGACCTTAGAGCCGATTTTCGCGTTTTCATGCCGGATAGAAGCCAACAGTTGATGGATGACGGCCCTGCGCGTCCGCGGCCGGGGACTCCTTCAGACAAGAATAGACGCAAATTGGATATTGTCGCAAATTCATCGAGCACAGCATTGTCACAGAAGAGAAAACGGAAAGTCCCTGAAAAGGAGGAAGAAAGAGCCGGTTGTAACAAAGGCGGCTCCCCCTGCGAAAGTGAGCCTCGAGCCTTTGTGATGTCGATTCCTTTGTGTAACCTCTCGAAAAGAAACCCAAACATTCTAACTCGCAAGATTTGACCCCGCTGTCATACAATCCGAAGCACATCATTGCCGGCCCATCCTCGCCCCGTCGAACCGTTACCCACAACCAACCACCCCCAGTACCTATGCGAGCGCCTCCAGTCAATGACGACACACGCTTCTTTGACCGTGTCAAGAGGGCATTGGATAACGGAGATATATACAACGAGTTCCTCAAGGTTGTTAATTTGTTTGCACAAGACTACAAGGCGAGCTGATGAAGCAGTTTAAAGAGATTCTTGGGTGGGACGAGAGGAAAGAAAAGGAACACTTCTTGGCAGAACAACAATCGCAGAGCAATTGGAAGAAACCTGCTGTTACCGGTTTTCAACAACGACCTGGACGCATTGACTTGGGCGAGAAGTATGGAAGCTATCGCAAGGTTTCTGAAAAAGTACGTTTGCATTCTTCCACGCGCAACCTGCGACTGAGTTCATCATTTACAGGAAGCGAACGTGCCATGCTCAGGTCGCGATGATATGTGCCGTTCGGTTCTGAATGACGAATGGATCTCCCATCCTACTTGGTCAAGTGAAGACCCCTCCATAATTCCTCATAAAAAGAACATCTACGAAGAAGCCCTACACCGAACGTCATGAGTACGATTTCCACCTCGAAGCGATCGTGCGGACCATTACGATCCTCGAGCCTATCAGCAATAAAATCGCAGATGAACATAGAGGATCGTGGGAACTTCAAGTTGAAACCGAACCTCGGTCGTTCATGGAAACCGATCCACCAACGCATAGTTAAGAAGATATATGGCAGGGAAGCCGGTTTGGAGGTTATGCAAGCTATGCAAGACATCCCTGCGTCCCGGTGGTGTTGCAACGTCTGAAGCAGAAGGAAGAGGAGTGGAAGCGGGCGCAGCGAGAGTGGAATAAGATTTAGCGAGAGGTGGATGCGCGGAATTATTCCAAGAGTCTGGATCATCAAGCTATTGATTTCAAGGCGGCGGATAAGAAAGCCAAGTCATTCGTGAGCCAAATTGAAGCTGCGAGGGAGGATCAGATGGACAAACGGGCCTCTTTGATTGACCCCTTATTCGCGAGGACGAGGCCGAGACATCAACTGCAGTTTGTCATAGATGACGTTCAGATTCTAAGTTGACTTTTTCTTTTCTCGATTTCAGTCTTCAAGACTCGATGAAGTTGACTTTTTCTTTTCTCGATCGGTCTCAGGGACAAATCAACTTGACGGATCGCAAGCGCATTGAAGGGTTTCTCCGGAATTTCATTCCGATATTTTTCACCCTTGATCCTGTCGCGTTTGACTCTGAGTTTGTCGTTGTGCAAGAGACGCCGTAGAGTGACCTCAGTGATGCAGACGCTGCCAGCAACGTAGACGATGCGGAGGTGTCCAGCAACGGCACGAGCAGCCCCAGGACGGGTCGAGGTCGGAAAACAGCCAATGGGTTATCGTCAGGCAGCGATCTACGGAAAAAATTGCTGAAGAGCGAATAAGCAAAGTCAACTAGCCGAAAGACCAGGGCTCAGGAAGCCCTTACACCTTCTGTATCGCGTCTGGCTTCCCCTGTAATGGTTGAGGAAGAGCTAAAGGGTGACCCATCTGCTCGGCGGCTACCGAGGCAGAATATATTTTTCACGAATACCGTTTTTTATACCCTGCTGCGTTTGATTGAGGTCAGTTGTTTTTTGTATTTTTGTTGTCCCTTCTATTCATTGACGTCACTGCAGATGCTTTATTCTAGACTTCACCTGTTTAAAGACCTTGCTGCCGAAATTATTGCACAAGATCCCAGAACTCGGAGGCTCAATCACGTCGGTCCAACAGACCGCCTGCAAAATGGCGAAACTCCCCGCGCTGAGCATTACTACGAGTTCATGCTTGAGTCATGCGAGCGGCTGTTTGATAATGAACTTAAACAACATGCTTTTGAGGACCAGATGAGGGGTATGTTTGGAACTAAGGTATTACTTACTCGCTTTCAATTTGTTTCCACAGAACTGATGTTTGGACAGAATGCCTATCAGCTGTTTACGATCGACAAGCTTGTTGGGACGATCGTCAAGCAGGTAAGCTCGCTTACAAGGTAACGTTAACCCTTTGCTCACAGCACATCCAGGTGCAAGCTGTGTTCTTAGATTCGAAGAGTCAAGATCTACTTGAGATTCTTAAACGGGAGAGGTCTCTCAACTCTCGGACCACTCAAGACCAGATAAATAGCCGACGCAACGCGGAGAAGGTTCTTGGACCTGATGAGAACCCATTCCGTATCGACTGGGTAAGCCACCTGAAGGCGTTCATCTTGACGGCCGCTGACTACGCATATTTAGCTTTCGGATTCGAAGACGATCACTATTCAGCTGATTGGCAAGGATTTTTTTTCGTTCCATTCTATTCCATTGGGGCGAAGCCCTATGCCGGAATTTACATACAAGGACTGTCTACGTGCGAGTCTGGCCTAAATGATTGGCAAGGATGATTTAAGCTTTGATGACTCGGAAGTACTGTCAGGTCGTTGGCAAGCCTATCTTGACTCATTTGTTGCGGTAATGCGCTATTGCTTCTTACTCTTTGAAGCTTCTGGCTCTTGTTGGCCGGTCCGAAACTACGCCGGGTATATCTCAGACCAGGATCAAGCGCCCTTTCTTGAGAAGGTCAGCACATTCAATATCATCCCTGGCTCAAAGTTGACAAACTGCCTTGACAGAAACATCCCTGCTGCCGTTCGAGACACCCCTCCAGACGTCTCAACACAAGATGGCCTTGAGATAAAGGTCTGCGTGCGAACATATCGGCTATTCTATGTGTCAAAACAGAAGACTTCCTGTGGAAGTATAGGAGCAAAGAGGAGATGGAGAAGAACTCCCAGCGCTTGAAACCTAGGAACGCCCTACGGAGAAAATGGATAGAGGCAGCGAAGGCAAAGTCGTGAAACCTTGTTTTTTATATATCTTGTATCTCCGAGAGTATCAACTTATATCGTCTGGATTGTTGCCTTCTACTCTCCGCTCCTAGACCATATAATGTTGGCTTGTAATTGGCACATTACACTACTTGATTCTAACTATTCTCCAATCTAGGCAACAAATTCCATCTCAGAGAACAATGCAGCCGATTGAAGAATTCTGTCGCCGTCGAGGTGATGCACCACTCTTCGGCAAATTCGCACCCCAATGAAAGGCCAACGTCAGCGCTATCCTAGTACTTACTATTACCATTCACACTCGCTTATACGCAGTTAGGTTAACGTTGATAGCGATTTCCAGGCAGGCAGCGCTGAATGGGTAAAACCCTGGGCAGGAATGTGCCGAGGTGTGGAGAAAAGTTAAAACAATGCACCAGAGGGTATTTGAATACCCTGGAAATGACCAACTTGAATTTTCCCCTCACCATGTAGTGTTTCATGGTGAACAGCCACAATTTAGAAAATGTTACATACATACAGCTGCACTTTGTCCAAGAGTATCATAAATCGTAGTTTATAGGCTAAGCATTGTCATCAGCTAATTTCACCTGCTTTTCGCTTGTAGGTGAGTGCAACGTCCATCGGTTCGAGCACATCTACAGCCCCCTCTGACTTGAAATGTTGTCGTAAATCATCAAATCTAGTTGATGCCAGTGCGTCTTTTGAGTCGAATCCACTGATAGCCTTTTTGACAGACTTTGCTGTTGCGTTGAGATTGGGAGGCAATGGATAGCCTGCTACGAACCGGAGAACATTGTGTTTTTTCATCACATCAATGAGTTTCTGACGTTGAGGCTACCATAAGAGTTCTGATTAGCTGAGGAAATTGACAAAACTAACTAACGCACATTCAACTTAAACCAGTGGTCTGGATGCATAGATATGAGGGCATTACTGAGTGTTGCTGAATCTAAAGATTCTTTGTTTCCGGTTGTGTAGGATTTGTCTTGGCCCATCAGAATGGTGAGCGATGTTGATGATGATAGCTTGACCCTTGTTAAAATATCTGGGCCAAATAAGGGGCTTGGAATAAGGATAGCTGGGGTAGAATCAGGACCTTCGATCCAGTGTATGATTTCATTGATGCTTTCTGCATAAACAACAACACCAAGACCTGGGTTCTGTGGAGCCTTTCCTGTAATATCCACAGGTACACCAGCCCCATCAAGTCTTGCAACAAGGTGGGCCTCTTCATTTGCCCATGGAGGCGTGTGTTCGGAATGAAAATCAAAGACTGTGCTCAAGGGGACTGGATATCGCAGCCTTTGAAGCAAGTAGAGAGCCACAGCATGCTCAAAAGCATATCCGCGCGAGCCGGAAGAGTCAGCAGCTTCTCGCCGCAGATCTGCAGCCACACTGGTGGTGCTGTGGCGCTGGAGCCATCGCATAATTGACAAAAATGCAAGGGGCTCAACTATATGCCCATGATGCTCTTGACGACGAGGATCTTGACGAAGACGAGCTATGCCATATTCGACCAGACGGGCAGTCACAGGTCCATAGAGCGGAGATTGTCCTCTAGTCATGTGTGATCGGACAATGCTTAGTGCTTCCTGAGTCGCATTGGAATCTGCTCAATGTCAGGAGGAGGGACATAAAGTGAAATGACAAGAGCGAACCTAACTGGAGCCTATCCCAGTCAAAACCCTTCACTGTGACTTTAATATGGAGATCAGGTTCATCCGAAATGAAGGGGTCACCAATATCGCCTGGAAAACAATCGAGATGTTCATACAGATACTCATTCAGCAATTTGTGTGGTGAATGCAGCCCATTCATCAGGAAGCATTCTACAAATGACACGCAAAATCGGTATCTATTGCTGGTGAGACTCGCACAATTAAGCAGGACATGGGTAACTCACCGACCCATAAGATATTCTCGCATCCGTTGTTGGAGATGATATCCTGAAGCATTATACAAAAGAGACACTGGGATGTAGCGTTGAAGAAAGTCCCTAAATTCCGGCCAGGTCTCAAACATCCCAAGCTCATGAAACACTTCAATTATATGACGAGGTTTCCCAACTCCCGAGGCTACTACGCTATCCTCGAGGTCTGCAAGCGACACACCAGTACCTGACACAACAAGCTTGACTTGTGCCTTGCTGAAGGCTCTAACCATCTCACGGATTATGGATCGAAATGCTCCAGGGTTGGAGGATGACATGCCAGAACGGGGATATAGTCTGGCAGCCCATTGTGCTTCGTCAAGTCCCAAAATGAGCCGGGAGTAAGGAAAATACGTCGTTACGATGTTGCTTAGGTGAACAATCAATTTATCGAGTGCATCATCCGAGGCATTGCGGAGCTTGTTGATGATATAGGTAAATGGGTGCAAGGCCCCACCCCGAGGATCTAGTTGGTCAAACAACTGAAAGAGAAGCCAAATTCGCTTATGCTTCTCCTGCAAGCACCCATCAACCTGGATAGCAACCTGTAAAAAAAGCTCGAAGACCACTATCCTTGCAGCCAGGACTCTCCGAAAGGCCCTAGATGCAATTTGGTTATTTATGGCATCCTGAGCAGCACGATTATCGGCAGGAACTTGATGAAGGTCAGGGACCCATTGCCGATAACGACCAATTAATTCTAACGCATCTTGCAAATCCCTAATGCCAACACCGTTTGCATCCCGAGTTGTGACTACGTAAAACCCCCAGAATACTGTGAGGGCTTCCATGATGTGCCGGGTTTTACCCGATCCAGATGTGTTTACAATGCATCTGCACTTGGGCATGAAAGAAGGTTCAGAAAAGTTACAATGACATACATGGGTGTTTCATTGTCAAACGCCTCTTTAATTTTCTGACCATCACACTTATCAAGACCATGGAGTAAAAGACTTGGTTGGTGATTGCGATACATTGGTATCTGCAGCTTTGCCAGAAACTCCTGATAGTCTGGCACAGTAAACTGAGGAGGAACCCAAGCTGGTAACTCTGGATTGTTTAGAAATGACCTGACTGCTGGTTCAAGTATCAGAAGCTCTGCTTTGACTTTCTCCTCAATGTCATTGACAGTATCCATGGAGCTGGATGGCGTGATGTTCTGTTTCCCCTCGCCACCTAGAGGATGGGGGGGTAAGGATTGAAATGAACAGTTTCTTCCTCAGTAATAAGCTCACCAGCTGGGGCCGACGTTAGGTCGAATATTTTGAATTTGATGACTTTATCAGAAAGGTGAGAACGTCGATAGAAGTTCTGTAGCTCATCGTTCGAGGACAGAGTGATTTCGTCATTGTCGTTGTCGATGTAGGTAACTCCCACCTTTTCAGATGGGATAGCGTAAAGGGGCTCCAACTTGGATGCAAGAGCCTCCCAAGTTGGAATGTCTGGAAATTCAACAAGACGGGTCTGGCCGTTTAGCTGAGATATCTTGAATTGTGTTTCAGGCATTGGATGTCAAGGTGAATACTTCGGCGTCGTTTGCTACTATTACTATTCAGGAGTCATCGGGAGAAAAGAAACTCTCGCCACCGGATGAGAGACTTGTCATGTTTAGGGCCGTTGCAGGACGTGACATCACATGACCATTGACAAGAGTTTGCGCTACAAAGTTTGACATGAATTTTCTACTCATGAGTATCTGGAAAACAATGCATAAAACATTCATAAGAATTGCATAGACGACGGTAATTGAAGTTCTAGGACGCCTCACTGGCACGACTTCGCGTCCAAAAATCGATTCATTAGGTGCCAGCCCTGAAGTATCCACGTGATTCAAAGATAATCAAAAAATTGAGTTGAAAGACCTTTGCTCGCATCTATCATCTAAATCCTCAAAAATGTCTTCAGCTGGCACTCTCTGGACCGTCGAAAGGCAGTGGAAAGCAAAGGCCGTAAGTGTACCTCTTTGTTGCACTTCCAGATCTTTTCGCTCATCACTGGATCCCATGTCATTTAGATCAGGGCCGCTGCTGCCTTGGGTGGTATCGAAATTGAATTACCTGCCCAATATGAGCACTATGTCGACAACAAGAAGCCAGAATTCTTGTCAAAGTTCCCCCACGGCAAAATCCCTGCTTGGGAAGGAAAGGATGGCTTCAATCTGTTTGAGAGCCAGGCCATCGGGCGCTATGGTGGGTCATCTTATCCGCTATCTAATCGATCGCTGTATCACCATCGAAGATGAGAGTATCCACCATTTCAGTTATCCCTGTCTTAACATTTATGTCGAGATCTTGAAAATCTGACCTTCCTTGCATCAACTTGCTTCTGACGATCCCAGTTCTGACGTTGTTATTTTGCTTGCGACAGTGGCTGCTCTTGCACCAAACTCTGGCCTTCTTGGACACACACTCCAGGATGCAGCTCTTGTCGACCAATGGATCCATCTTGTGGAATCAGAGGTTGACGTTTACACTGATTTCATCCGTGGCATTTGCACCGGTGTTGTCCCTTACAATAAGCCTGTGAGTGAACAAATGATTGCTTCTCAATACAACGCAAATTTAAGTACCCTTTGCAGACCCATACCTTTTTTGTTGAGCGCCAAAACCGCGCCCTCGACACCCTTGAGGCACACATATCCACGCGCACCTTCTTCGTAGGCGAACGTATCACTCTCGCCGATCTCTACATTGCCGTCCTCATTCAAAAAGCTGTGGATGTCACTATCGATGCGCCACTGCGTGCCAAACTCCCAAATCTCATCAGGCATCTAGAGACCGTCTCCAACCAACCCAAGGTCAAGGAGATCTACGGCCCCATCGTCTACGCCGAGAAGGCCATTCAATTCGTGCCCCCCGCGAAAGAGAAGGCGCCTAAGCCTGCTGCCGCTCCTGCTGCTCCCAAAGCCGAGAAGAAGCCCGAGAAGAAGCCCAAGGCCAAGGAAGCTGATGATGAGGAAGAGGAGCCTCTCGTGCCTGAGGAACCCAAGGTCAAAAACCCTCTTGACGACCTCCCCAAGTCGACCTTTAACCTCGAGGACTGGAAACGCGCTTACTCCAACAAGGAGACCCGTGGTGCTGGCGGTGCTCTTGAGTGGTTCTACCAAAAGTGTGTCTGTTCTGCAGATCTTTTCCTATCCTTATCCTCATGATTTACACGCTTAGCTTTGACGCTGCCGGGTTCTCCGTGTGGAGGGTCAACTTCAAGTACAACAGTGAACTCACCCAGACGTTCATGTCGTCCAACCAGATCGGCGGATACTTCAACCGTCTCGAGGCGTCCCGCAAATACCTTTTTGGTTCCGTTGGTGTCCTTGGTCAAACCAACGACTCTGTTATCTCTGGTGCCCTCATCCTCCGTGGTCTCGAGGTGAAGCCTGTCGTGGACGTCGCCCCCGATTGGGAGTCGTACGAGTACGTCAAGCTTGATCTCGCCAATGAGCAGGACAAGGCATTCTTTGAGGCTGCGCTTGCTTGGGATCTGGAAGTCGATGGTAAGAAATGGGTGGATGGAAAGAACGTGAGTAGACTCTCTTGGCTCCTCGATAACACTCAAATGACGTTCACTTTCTGCTCTAGTTCAAGTAAACGTGCAGAGTTAATGTAGGAGCACCAATCACGATCTAGAAGTCATTTCTCATCTCTGTACTTGCATCATTCATTCATTGTTGTTTTTCAATCATACTTGTCGTCATTGCCTGGGAATAAAAAAAATGATATACGCGCTATAGTGGTACGTTAGCTGTCGTCATCACCGTTCACCCTCTCCGCGCCCCATCGGACAAAGGCAGACGCTACGAAGGAGGATAGAAATGACCAGTCGAAGAGGGACCCAAATACCTCGTATTCGGGGATGGTGGAGAAGAGGTTCGTGACGGTCGCGTCGGCGTCTGGCTTGGTGGGTGGTGGTGGGAATGACGAGCGCATTTGGACTACGGTAGAGAGGAGGTAGATTCCCTGGGAGACAGATTTGTGTTACAGCTTTTGAAGAAAAAAGGAAAAGGAAAGCTACCATTAGTTGGGCTAGTACCAGAAGCATGAGCGAGGCCCCAAGATTGCGACTTGTAACACGTAGAGCCTGTCAAAGTGAGGAAGTGTTCAATTTTAAATGATGGAAAACATACTCTTGTCACTCCGCGTAGAACGAGCCTTATGCTAGTGAGAATAATGACTCCTACCAACGCCAAGCTGATCTGCCTCGACAACGAAGCGACATCCTCCAACTTGACTTCAGACGACAAGATGTGGGCAAGAAGATCGGTGATCAAGTCTGGATAGGTCGTCGTCGATGAGGAACGGCGAGTCGGCAGGAATGTTATGTTATACAGTGACTGCATGAAATAAAGAAGTAGCAGAGTGAGCAGGATGACATGAAGAGCCAGTACTGACGCTGATAAACCGGACAACGCAATACACTGCGAAAATGCGCGCAGCAACGTTGAACATCTTCCCTCTGAAAGTTTTTGAGTATTTGGCAGCATCCCGTCTTTGCCGCAATGATTCAGTCTTGCGGCTCATCTGGTATTCGAGAGCTTCTAGGCCTAGTAGTTCTTGCGTCACTGGGACCTAATACGTCAGTCCATCTTGGCGTTGAAAAAGCAAAAGATGATACGCACGACTGTCCCCACCTCTAAAAGATGTTCCTACACGAGAGAACCAGCTCCCTTCCACCTGAGAGGAGGGTTATTATGAATCGACTGAAAAGAAGAGATGACGGGCACCTTTGATTCTGCTCTGCGTTCTGCTTCTGCCCTTCTCGTTCTCAAGTCGTTTCGGATGCTGGCAAGGGCGTATTCGGATGCGTCCACATCTTGGTTCCCTGGGACGCTCCTTTGGGGGATCTGGGTCAGCGGCTCAAGTGAGACGATGAGATAATGAAACCGAAACGTACTGAGCACGGGAAAGGAAGGGAAGATACTGCCAAGAACTACTGATTGCTCCGAAACCGGATAGTAAGCCAAGGATAATTGTGCCCAGCACGATTAAGCGGGAGAGGGCCGCTGTCGTGATATCTGAGGATGAGAGTGCTTCTGGCAGCGGGATGTAGGAGAGGGCAAAGAGGTAAAGAACGACGGGGACGAGACTGAATACGACACGTGGACCAAGTAGGCTTTTGAAGCAGGATCTAGAATCTGGGCATGGTATGTAGTGGCAATGGAAGGACGTGATGAGGACACACCTCCTCCTCCAGCACCAAGGGCGAGTAATAGACTAACGGAGAGTGGGATGATAACGAGGATGGTGGCCATCAAAAAGAACAGAGAAAATCTCCAGTTTATTAGACGTGTTCTGCGAGTTTGCTTAGTTTTGTTCACTAGTACAAGGGAAGAGCATCACTCACCGAGGAGAAAGTATGTCCAATCCTTGAAGCATTAGCAAGAAGAACATGGTGCAACTCTCCGCAAACATCCAGGAGAATATGGCTCTTGAGACGATTGTATGAAGAAACGTAGTACCCGCATTGAAAAACTTGCTCGATTTCGGAGTATGCGTTGTAGGTGGTGGAAGCGAGTCTAATTCTATTTCATTTCCTTGGTGAGTTGGGGTGCTCTCTCCCCCGCCCGGTGTCGAGTCTGCCGAAAGCGACTGCAAGTCCGAGTACAGACTTCGGAGAAGGTATTTCCGGCATGCAAAGAAGAGAAAGAATCTGTGAACAAATATGGATTGGAATCTGAATGCACAGAAAGAGCGGGACTAACCTAGCAAGACACAAAAGTAAGGTTTCTGTCACCAATCGCATCGTCGTTCTGATTTTGTTTGCTTCACGTGCTCGACTTTGCTTTCACCTCAAACGACGTCCGTACTAACTGCGTCGATAACTGATATTTACAGCGTCTTATGCATTTTACAAAACCCGCCTGGGTAATCCACAAAGATTCAGCAAAGGGTGACACAAATCCAAAACGCCTATCCATATTCTCCGTGCATGTTCACCCAGATGGTTCGCGAATCGCCACCGGAGGTCTGGACGCGAAGATACGCATATGGAGTACCAAACCTATCCTCAACCAATCCTCGGAGGAGTCGGGAAAACCACCAAAATCCCTATGTACCCTGACAATGCATACTGGCCCCGTTCTTACTGTGAGGTGGGCATATTCGGGGCGTTGGCTTGCGAGTGGGAGTGATGATGAGATTGTTATGATTTGGGACTTGGATCCGTAAGTCTTGCCATTTTTCGTCGAATTTTTTGAATAGTGTTGACTTTTGGCGCGTAGGAGCTCCAGAGGAAAGGTTTGGGGATCAGATGAAGTCAATGTTGAGGGTTGGAAACCATTAAAACGGCTTCCTGGGCATGAAAGCGGTTCGTTGCACTCTCATTCTGCCAATATACTGTTTGATTTATTCATAACCAGACGTTACTGACGTCGCATGGTCACCCGCCGACCGATACCTCGCGTCTGTTGGTTTGGATTCTGCGGTGATGGTTTGGTGTGGCTTCACATTAGGTGCGCCTATTCACTAATTTTTCTAGCAATATTTCTTATTACATTTCGTATTAGAACGTCTACGCAAGCTCGATCAACACCAAGGATTCGTCAAGGGTGTGTGCTGGGACCCCGTTGGAGAGTTCCTTGCCACTCAGTCCGACGATAGATCCGTAAAAATCTGGAAAACCACAGACTGGTCATTGGAGGCAGAAGTCAAGAAACCCTTTGAGGATTCGCCTGGGAGCACATTCTTTCGTAGACTCAGGTGCATCCAAATCCTCATTCGCATTTGACATTTGACTTAATTTTTATTTGTTTAGTTGGTCTCCAGATGGCGCTCATATCACTGCATCGAATGCCACAAACAACCAAGGCCTTGTTTTCATTGCTGCTGTGATCACTCGCAACACATGGACATCAGAGATCAGTCTCGTAGGACATGAAAACACGGTGGAAGTTGCAGTAAATGGGTCATCTTTATAGCATGAATAGCACTGACGCTCTAGCGTATAGGCATATAATCCACATATCTTCCTTCGTAACGCGAACGCGCCAGTCTCAACATCCAACATCTGTTCTGTTGTAGCGTTAGGGGCAGACGACCGATCCGTCTCGGTCTGGCAAACAAAGTCAGCAAGGCCGCTGATAGTAGCCAAGGAAGTTTTCGAAAGACAGATTATGGACCTCAGCTGGTACATTCCATTGAATCTAAGTACAAGGAACTAGCCAACACGTCGCTTTAGGTCTTGGGACGGTCTAACGCTATACGCGGTTTCGTCTGACGGCACCCTCGCTGTGTTCACTTTTGACACAGACGAATTAGAAGGCATTGCACCCCACTCGGTTCAAGAACAATACCTAGCCAAATTCAACTTCCAACTGCCCCCCGTACCAGAAGGTTACGCCCATGCGCCTGAAAATCCACAAGCTCCGCCTCAACCTCAAACCACGGACTTTGTCAACGCCGCAGACACAGGGAAAGTGAACTTCCTGCAAGCCAGGAGAGGGGGGAAGAAGAGGGCTACCCTCGTCCAAGGTAGTGGGGCATTAGTTCCATCCGCAAAAGCAGGGCCTTCGACAAACGGTATTATCTCTTCTCTCCCTCCAGCTGCGCCTGGATCAAGACGAGTCTCGCTTGTTCACATTCCGGACTCCCACCCATCACCCAAAGAAGCCTTCCCACCCTCTTCCTCACGCCTCAACAACTCCTTCCCATCCCCATCAGAACAACCATTCGATATCCCGGATTGGTCTCGACACGATCAGGATGTTGACATGGACGTCCCCATCGACTCTCTGGATACCAGTTCCCCAGCTGGCAAGGGGAAGCGCAAGGCTACGACAGATTTGAATGGGGACGATACGAAGCCGGCCAAGGCTAGGACACTAGGAGGCGATCGAAATCACATAATACCTGGGGCGGTGAAGGAAATTTCTGGGTGGTCTAGTGGGAGTGGTGGGGGTGCATGGCATGAGACGAAGTTGATGCTTCCTGTTCCCCCCTTGTTAAATTATTTGTCTGCTGAGGTGGAGGCCTCTGAAGATGTTTTTGAGGCCAGAAATAACGAGGAGGATGGTATGTTGTCTTGATTCATCCTCTGGCCTTCTCGTACTGAATTTTAGTAAAAGGTACAACCGATGTCGCGTTTGTTACTGGGAAAACTACCCAATGGCTTGACTATGTTCCTTCACCTGTTGTGGCACTGAAAGCGACCAGTCAATTTTGTGCCATAGCCATGCAGGACGGCTCGCTCAACGTCTATTCGCATACTGGAAGAAGGTACTTACTCATGTTGCTATGATTTTCTTGGGAATTGACGCCCAACTGGACAGGATGATGCCAACAATGAGCCTTGGGTCGCCATGTGTGACCATGGATGGGACCAAAGGCGCTCTCATGGTGATAACAGCCTCAGGCCAACTCTATTCATGGTAGGCACTGATAGTTCTTTCTACATGCAAATAAAATAACCGTGTTGCACAGGAACGTCAAGAAGCAGACAGCCTTCTTCCCCCCCATTTCCATCACCTCCCTTCTGGCGTCCTCCCCAAACCATACCCTCACATCCGTATCAGTGCGCCCCAATGGCTGTCCCGTAATCAATATCTCCAACGGCGTAGTGTACTCCTACGATCCAGCCCTTTCAACGTTCGTCAAAGTCGCTGAGCGGTGGTGGTCTGAAGGCTCCGACGTCTGGCAAGGCAGACAGCGGGGGAACAGTTCCACAGCCAACCGTGGCATCATGTCCTCCATCGAGGGAAGTATCGGAGGAACTCCCGACGACAGTGTTGATGATAAACCCAGACCGAAGTGGTGGAGCACGGCATTGACGCTGGGGCATTTGGAGACTAAACTGCATTCGACAAAGTTGTTGGAAAGCCCTGTGGAGTATAAGCAGGCGCTTTTACTTTATGCGAAGAAAATTGCAGACGAGGGGTTCCGTGCGAAGGGGGAAGAGTTGATCAAGGAGCTTTTTGGGCCTGTATATTGGTATGCTAACTGGTTTTGTTTCGTCGTTGGTTTGGACTTACGTGTGGATAGGCGACCGGGGAGAGATGACGGGTGGTGTCCGACTATTATCAGCATACCAAAGCGCGATTTGTTGAAGGATGTGTTATCAGTTTTCGGTAAGACTTATCCAGGACTTTGAGGAGTTTATGCTGTTTCTAACTTGTTTTCGCCCTTTACAGCTCGGAGTAAAACCTTGACGAAACTCGCTTTAGACTGGCAGGATACCCTCAAGAAAGCCGTGAATGATGCAGAGTGCTATTGAGCAGAGTTTTACTGATTGCCCGTATTACCCCTTCTTCCAGCATGTATTTAATCTAATTTATTCTGACGCCGATCTATGACTTGAAATATCAGGGCAACTCGGACATGAAACTTCGACGACCTTTGTCAACGTACACCGACCTTCGTGACCTTGATATATCATCAATGTTGAATGTTGCACGCAAATTGGTAAAGGGACGTCGTGACCGGGAACAACTACCCCGAGTGTACCTGGCCGCCACGAAACGCTACCTACTACTACCAATGTACTACTTATCGCTGAAGTTTTCTCGTTGAACTAAGGGCACACAACTCAGGAAAACATTTGTAGCAACAAACGGCGTGGGGAGTACCATTTTCTGTTGCTTCTCAATGCGCGAAATTATGACCAGTAATGACCTCGCCAACGATTATGATCGAGATTCGATCATATGTCGGCATCGGGGTTCATCATGTGATGACGTCACTACGCAACGCTGTATCATCATAAAGAGTCGCTCACTGCTCTCTACCTCTTTCCCACATCCCACTCTTGTCCCACTCCCTCATTCAAATATCGAACAAGCCTAATGTCGTCTGAGACCGTTATACGAGAGGTGCGCGTGACTTTCAGACAGGGATAACTATCTCGAGCTCACCGATATGTATTCAGGTTGCGAAGGGCGTCTGGACATTCTCTCGGTGCGCGTTTCCCAACCCCTGTTTCCGTTCGACAGTTCTAGCTAACGCGGTTATGTTTCAGGCCCTTTGCTCGCTTTGGCATCATTCCGTTTGGAGGGCGTTCGACCGCCATTAAGCTGAAAGACGGCGGCGTATGGGTCTTAGCCTCTACACCTCTAGACGAGGAAACCAAGAGTACGATAGATAACCTTGGTCCAGTCAAGCGAGTATGCGAGTTCTATGATTGAACCAAATTACTCATGTTCAAATGAAGGTTTATCGTGTCTCCGGACGCAGTGCATTATTTGTTTCTTGGTGCGTTTGATCTAATGCACCGTTCTCAAGGTGTTCCCCGCAGTTAGGGATACTCAATTTATTGACGTTGAACCAGGCGAATTCAAGAAGGCTTACCCTAGCGCGAAGTTGATTGCCCCGCAGGCAGCGATTGAACGCTCGAGCGATAAGTCCCTCGTATACGATGGAGGTCAGTGCAATGTTCGTGCTTCTCTTTTTTTCTCCCCTGAATTTGAGATATAGTCTGGGGACGTGATCCACCCGGGACTAAATACGGATTTGAAGATGACGTGCGTACATTATCACTTCCTCTACACCAGCATCTCACAGAATTTACAGGTGAAACATTGGTATTTCGCCTCTTTCGTCCCGATGACCCAATATTCAAAATTTTAATTGGATTTTGCGCATGGACAGCTACTTTTCTGGCTTCAAGAATAAGGATGTAGCCTTCTTCCACGAGGAATCGAAATCCTTGATTGAAGCAGATCTCCTGCTGAATCTGCCGTGCAAAGAGCAGGTGAAGTCCAATCTATTACGTTCATGCGGATTCTCACAGCTAACACCGCTGCTAGTACTCAAAGTCGCCAACTCCTCCAACGCTATTAGGCTGGGTTGGCGTTGGCCCGTATTCTTGGCTCCATCCAAGAATCACATGGAGACTGGGTGTTGATAAGGAGTAAGTTTCTTTTTGTCGGTCCAAGCGGCTACTAAAGTCAGACTATCAGAGCCATGAAACGAGACACCAAGACCGTACTTGGTTGGGAGTTTGACAGGATTATTCCGTGTCATGGAGTAAGTCAATCATAAGGTTTTGCCTGTCAAGTGTAAATATTTATGTTTTCTGAACAGGACGTCATTGAAACGGATGGAAAAGATGCATGGAGAGCGGCATATAAATTTTATCTGGACTGAAGGGCGTGGACATCTCGTATTGTACTGTATTTCGAATGGGAGAAAGGCTACAGGTTGTCTTTTTTTTTTGGATTCTTGAGATTTACGTGGAAGCGTAAGGCTTCCCTTAGGTGTACTTTGTGTCTAATGGTTCCTCACATCGACGAAAAACATTGCGAGGCGATCTGATGCGGGTGTTGTCGTAATATGTACCCCTGAATATCTTTTCAAGGGGGTGCCGGCATTGAAAAAAAAGACCCGGGGTCGATTTTTTTTTTAAGGTGACCTTGAGGTGGACTAACTAACTAACGTAATCAGGAACGTGTCTATATATAGTAATATGACATCATTTGTGAGCGCTCTCCCCACGTTTTGCACAAGTCGTGCAGGCACAATTCCGGGGTGCTTGCACATGTTCCACACTTTTAGATGGAACTAGGCATATAACGTGAGTTGGAAAATCACTCAGTTCTCATAATACAATGTACTTACCCAGTGTTTCTCGCACACCTTGTTTGCATATGAGAATTTGATGAGGATACACGGCTACCACAATCTGGACAGATTGCGAAGCCCTCCGCATCAAGAACAGCTGGCTCTGTCTCAATGGTGTGATACATAGAATGAAACCAATGTTAGACATACTGTAGATTTTAGGATATTGTTGGTCAACGGTAATTCAAGTAATGTCAAAAAAATGCCCAAATATGGCAGGAATTGATGAATATCTTATATCATGGTGCTTGATGGCCTCTATTGGAGCTGTATTCCTCCCAGTACATTCTGTAGTTACTATATTATGCTGCAAAGTACTCAACTTAATGATCGAAGGCCCTCTGCCCAAGGTGTCCTTTTTTTTTTTTCACAGCCTGTGGCTGGACTAACTAACCGGGTCCCGGTACGGGATTCCCGGGCCGGCACCCCCTTGTATCTTTTCTCCGTTTTTAGGGAATGCGATCTAATGCGATATGCTGCAATATGTCGTTCAATCTCGGTCCTGCTCTTTTTAAGTACGCTGCCAGGAGTTACATAAAGTAAATCGCAGTACCGATGTATGCCTTGAGATGTCATTTTACATGGCTACCGTTTTATCGATGTCTGTTTGTTCTGAACTTCCAAGTCTATGTGTACCACAACTGCGATAAGACTGTGCTCTTCTAGCACCCATCCCCGTAATCTGCCGAACATGTAAGCTCTTAGCCACAATGGCGTCGTTGAGCAAATGACGAAATTTAAGATTAGGACTCTCAGGGTTATCCATCGCCTCGTTTCCAACCCTGGCCTCGAGGTGAACGACTGAAGTTGACTTTGGATTCATACTTAGTACCTCAATGATCGCCGTTAATCAGATCTCTCAGGTATGTATTTTCTATTCATTCCTACGTCGATCACTTCACTGAACGTCAATCGTATTGTTAGCGCGGGACGCAATTGTTGCGATTCAACAAAAACATAGTACTCTACAAAAAAACATGCTGCAAGTAGACAACTTGTGAACACGACAAAGCCGCATGGCAGCGCATTGCCTCACCGTATAGATCACCCTCTACCCTTCCCCCTCTTTTTCCTTCCCCCATACTTTCCTCGTCGCTCAGAGCAGCGCCGCGGCGTTGTCCGCCTTCCTCTCTTTTTGGTACTGCGTCCCACTCTCCACTAGGATGCCCACCTGCCCCCAGTGCGAAAATCGATATTTTAGCAACAAGGAGGCCCTCCTGCAACATATGAAGACATCTTCAGCGTGGCATCCGTCTTGTTCAATCTGCGACAGAAGATTTTCATCAGTGCAGGCATACGACGCAGTAAGTGCACAAAGTCGGTATTTTCCCCCTTTTGAATCCAATCACTTCCTAGCACATGGAAGCGAAACATCCTCCAACATACGACTGCACTGTTTGCAACCGTCCGTTTCATGCGCCATTTGCGCTAGAGGACCACTACCGCGGATCTCCTTCTCATCCGAACTGTTCCCGGTGCGGACGGGGATTTAAGGACACTCCTGCCTGTGAGGAGGTAGGTGTATGATATCACAGAGTTCAGACTCAGCCTTATTCGTTGTGTTAGCACCATCGGACGGCTCACCCAAAAATTCCGTGTGCGCTATGTGGAGGAAAAAGTGTTTACGAAGAAGAATTAAACCGTCATTATTTCGAGTCACAGAATCATCCTTCCTGTACACAATGTGCGCAAGGATTCAAGAATGATTCTGCGCTCCGCGAGGTTTGTTCATTTTTTTGGCTGTGCCCCTAGGCTCATTCTCAATGATCCCTTTTCATAGCACGTCCAAGCGCAGCATCCATTGTCTTCGCTGCAAGGACCTCCTGCCGCCGCTTCGCCATTTCTCCCATCAAACACACCACCAATGTCACCACCACGGGTTGAAGGCCCTGCCCCCACTCCTGTCGCTTCTAGCTCGCTTGCCGTCTTTTCACAAGAACTCTCAAAACACAGAGACACCACTCTCTATAGCACGGGATTTACGCCCCTTAGTCCACACAATCGATTCAAGGTATTCCAGACCCACCATTCTTAACCATGTGATTGTAATCTGGTTTGCAGGACCTACTCCTCGGTGAAAGACGAATCGATTCGCCGGATCTCCGTCTTTCAATGAGTTATGCATCGCCGATCAACGAGGTACAACCTCCCTTATTCAGCCCCACCGGGCTGCCCCCTCCTGGGCGAGATACGGACAGATTTTGGGCCTCTCATCAAGTAAATAACACTCTTCTTTTACTTCATTTCTCACAGTGGTATTCGCTTCTTTCTAGAATATTCAGGTGCCTGCGGCATCTAAAATACCCCTCCGCTCGCCAGAGAGGACCATCACTCGCCCAAAGTCACCCACGCACTGGCCAAACATGAATTTCGGAGACTCGCCTCCTCGTGCTCAACAGGTATTTGACATTTGCAAGAAATCCAATTGATGTTCTGATATTTAAAGGTGTCCGTGATTCCCTCACGCTTTGGCATCCCGTCGCCTCCCTCTTCTGCACCTGCAACCTATCGTCGCGCTCCAGATTCGACAACCTCCCTCCTTGATGAAACATTTTCATCAACTGGTTATGTTAGCGATACCCTATCATCTTTCGGAGATCCAGCTCCGTCTAGAACAACGAGCGTCATATCTCCACGATTCTCAAGGTTTAATAGTAACGAGGGAAGGCGAATCGCGCCACCCCCCGAGTTCCACCCACGCCTTTACCCCGGAAGCATTCGTGCGCAAGGCTGGCGGAACGGTCAAAATCATAATCAGACGTACCCTGCAATAGGGATGCCTTGGCGTAGTCGTCCACAGTTTTCGGAACCCGCGTTAGATTCGAGGTCTCTGATCGTGAACGAGGATGACGATATCGACCTGAAGTTCGATAGTAATTTGGAGCTTTCATCTGACCTCCCAACGTCCAGGGGAGAGACGCCTGTGAACCGACCATTGGAGGACCCACCTGCTGGTACTTTAGAGGTATTACCTGCGCTTGAGATAATGCTCGTGTTCTAATGTGTCTACTAAGCTCAAAACACAACCTGCAGGCGTATCCTCAAACTTGCCCGTACCTCCAATTAGTTACAATATCATTCCGAGCAGGTACGGAATAGCATCGTTCAAATGTTATATTTAGCTGAATCTTCCCAACATCTAGCGAGTGTACGAGTCCGCGTTCACCTGATGTTTCGTCTCCTGCTGGGCTTGCGGTCCTTCCGCAAATATCTCCTCTGGCGGCCACTCCCGTCGATCTAATCAATTTCGACATCCCAGAGGCACAAATGCCTCTTCCAGAGTCTCCCCCAGTGGCGTCTCCAGTAACAGTTATTCTGGACATCGGTGCTGGAGGTCTTACCTCATCGCCATCATCATCTTTACAAAGCTATACGACGTCTCCACAGGAGCTTGAAATTTCTCGTTCATCGTTTGATGTCGAAGTTGGCACACCGCCACAGCCTTCACCGATTTCGCAGGTTCGCCCGTATAATAATAGAGCTTGGAACAGGGAGGAGACCAAATCTGATGGTCCTACGCCTTCAGCTACGAGAGCTGGGACTATAGAAGTCGAACCGTCAAGCAGCATTGCCTCTCACGACCAAGATTCCGACGTACCAAGGACCATGGAGAGCTCCGTGACGTCCCTTCCGACAACTTCATCCGCCAACCTTCTCCATTGCCGTGCCTGCAAAGCAGACACATGCGATGATATAACGGCCACCATGTGTGGCCATGTATTTTGCAACCGGTATGATTTCTGTCGTTGGTGTTTTCTTTGACACCCAGTTGATACTGGGTTTCAGGTGCATCGTAGATGCCGTTATCAAAACTTCACGTTGCCCGTTGTGCATGACACCCACCCTTCTGTACTGCCTCTTCCGACTTGACTTGAACACATGAGAATTAGTTGGCGGCGAAGAATTTGTGGGCATTCATATGATCTTGAAGTTGAGATCTTGTTGGACATTTCTTAATGACAGACATGCCTTGTATCTTGTATCTTTTTTTGACTCGCATCTTGTTACTCTTGTATGCAACATCACAATTGCATTAAGGATTACACAATTTGAATTGATTAATTTGGAACTTAGATACTTGCAGCATCGCTCCTGATTCTAAATCTTCGACGTGAGGCTTTTGATCCTTGAGATGATCTTCGACCTCAGAGGCCAATCGCAGAGAATCAGGAGAGTCATCGACAATGTCCAGTTTATGCATATTGGGGTACAAGGATATACTATAGCAGAAACTGTGAGAGAGGGAAGGGGGAGGTGGGAGAACACGATTCAACTACGTCATTCCTGCATAAAAAAATCGGAGATATCATCACTAAACTCTTCATGACTATGCTGGATCTAAAGTCCCAGTACTCAGGATCAGTAATTGTTCACAGCATAGTCACGTTTAACCACAAAACCTACCCAGTGTGCGATAATGGCTGTGATTAAAGAGGTTCTGAGGCGGCAAATACCTCCCTCATCGTCCATGAAGAGATTTATCGCATGTGATTGGAAAAATTTGCCGCCGTTGCCGTCCTCGTAGAGTTTCAGTATCAGGAAAATCCATTGATGACCGTTGGTCACCCCTCCGCGGACGACATGTTTTCTGGAGGAAATATTTAGAAGAGATTTGAAGCCCTCAAGACGACCTACTGTATATGCTTCGCAGCCACATACATCAAACAGATCGCCCGTGCAGGGGCCCTCAGAATCTAAAGGGGCAGGTCAGACGAAGACGAAAGGGGCAAAGACCTATACGGACTTAAGAGGTAGTTGAAGAGCTTGCAGCTGTTTTCGTATGAATGGAAGCGATCGTCGAGGTTGAGTTGGAGGCGTGAGTAAACGTGGCGGTAGCAGAGTTCGCGGTAGAGGACAAGGAATATGGAATCTGAAATTTGTGAGAGGGTTTTTTCCTGTGCTTCAATGTAGAATCGAGACCCACCGTCATTGATGAGGGGAGCAATCAACTCTGCCTCTGGCCATTCCGTCCTCGAGTAGATTTTTCAGTATATTTGTCCGCTCTCATAGGCGAGGGTAATCTCTGCAAGGTTATTTTCCAGAACAGGTTGGTGGAAGTGGACGATGAGCTTGTTGAGTCGGTCAGATGCAAATAAGGAGAGCGAGGCGAACGCACCCCTTTGACGACATCAGGAATCTGGGAAAAGGCAGCCTGCTGTGCCATGTGCTGCTGCATAGCTATGAGCATGGACTCATCGATTTGAGGTTGGGGGATATGTGCTGCAGGGAGACAATATCAAAGTCAACGAAAGTGTGAAAGTTCCAGGTGTACACACAGTCCTCGTAGTGGTCGTTCTGACCATAGTTTCCGATAACTAGCGAAAGCTAGACGTCCTCATGCAACAAACATCCAAAAGACGAAGCGCGTAAGGCAGAAGTCATGTGACAGTAACGATCGCGTTACCTTGTTTACAGTGCTTTGCATTGCCGTTTGCACACCGAAGTTTGTAAATCGTTGTTTGTGTGAGTTGATTACAGTCATCCACCTACTAATGATATGCTGAAACTGAGAATTTGCATCCAATGATTTGAAATACAACATTCAGCTATAAAAACTACATGAATATTTGAGATAAATTACATTCTATAACCCTACCAAATTTCAGAATGTTTGAACCACATGTCAGGAAGAAAAATCAAAATTATGGGTGTATCGTAGGGTGGTGTGACTGTATTGCAGCAATTTCCAGAAACAGTCCGTTTTGAAAACTTCACAGCAGCACCAATACTGCTTCAATTGTGCCCAAATTTTATACTACCGTAGATGTAAACTTGTAGTGCATGTTAAAATTTATTTCACAAAAATTGATGTAGTATTGAGTGAGATATTAGGTGGTCAAAAGTGTATCAAATGATGGTGGTGTATCATTGGTGGGTGGATGACTGTACTTTCTGCTGAAAACCTAATTCCTAAAAAGGAGCATCATCATGTGATGTTGGAAAGCCCACAACATCACATGCCAAACACATATCAATAAGTGTGCAAAGGTGTGAGTGTATAATTGCCTGAGAACATCGCTATCTGAGGTATAAAAGAAATATATTGAGAGATTTTGATGTAAATACATACAGCAATCCAACATATATATCTACTTGTGATACCCATGCTCCTAATGCAACCTTTCATAATGGCAGGAACATAGCTGGCCACATACCAGTTGCGACTCAGATCCCCAGCTTCTCAGCCCAACCATTTCCCACATGGAGGGGCATCATTTCACACCATGCCATGTGTATTGTGTCGTGGTCACTTAGATGTCCCCTGCGCTTCTTTGCAATTCACCCATCCACTTATGCTTACATAGATGGGGCTGTGTCCCAGTCCTGTCATGTGTGTCAGGCAGCGTGGCAGCTTCCATCGTCAATGATGTGGCTTGGCATTGTCGTTGGACTCATCGTTTCAGTGTTGCACTGCTGCGCATCCTTGCTGGATGTGGTTTGCATAGTTGGGGCAGGGTTTCTGTTTGTGGTACCGACATTGGGCTGATTTGGCAGGTTCATGCAGTACTTCATCATGCCCCACTGATTCCTGCAGGAATGGCACAGGAATCCACTGGAATCCACAGTAATGGACAGGAATGGACAGGAATGGCACTAGAATCCACAGGAATGGCACTAGAATCCACAGGAATGGCACTAGAATCCACAGGAATGGCACTAGAATCCACAGGAATGGCCTAAAACACATATTTTGGAGCCTAGAGTATATTATGGAAAATTCCAAGCTTAGCTAGATGTCATGTGACTTAATCAACTCAGACCTTATGCTCATAACTTCTAAGAATTCTTTATGATATTTAGACTTGAATAGGGAGAATCACAGTGTATTTGATAGAACTACATAAATCTATTCTACTACATTGTGTGTTAAAGGGAGGGGGGAGGGAGTGGTGGAGAGCGATGGAGGGGAGAGTGATGGAGGGGGGAGGGAGTGGTAGGGAGAGAGGGTGGTGGAGAGAGGGTGGTGGAGAGAGGGTGATGGAGAGAGGGGAGAGTGTGGTGGAGAGAGAGTGGTGGAAAGAGAGTGGTGGAGAGTGATGGACTGTGATGGAGGGGGGAGGGAATGAGGGGGAGTGGAGGGGGAGGAAGTGGTGGGGACTGATGGGGACTGATAGGAGGGGGAGAGAGTGGTGGGGACTAATGGAGGGGGAGGGAGTGGTGCTGGGCCTCGTCACAGTTCATGAGGCAGCCCTCGTCATGTTTGTGGTGGTGGGCACTTGACGTGTCTTTGTCGTCCATCATGTTGTCGTCCTTGTCATTTCCTCATTGTGTGTCCCCATCACTGGGTCCTCATTGTCATGTTGTCATTGCATGGCCTCATTGTCATGCCCTTGTTCCTTGTCTTTGATGTCATATTGTTGTCCTGTAGCATACTCACTGTCTGAACGACATGGCACATACTGTTGATGTGCCATGTTGTTGTTGCCACAAGCCGTTGACATGGCAAGAGGTCGTTCAGCCATTGGGTGCAGGTGACATGGCGTTGCCACCTCATTTTCATTGTGGCTGGTGTCTGCTGTTGTCATTGTGGGCAGCCAGTGATCATGGTGGGCAGTGACAGCAACGGTGATGGTTGTGGCTGGTGGTGGCCATTGGCAAGGGTGGTGATGTGGCATGCCTGGTTGTTCTCAACGACAATGGTGGTGGTTAAAAGACAAACATTGTGGATTGTTTGATGATGCCAAATCAAGCATGGGCATATTAATGTTTATTGATATTATTGATTAGTAATGTGTATTCTGGACATTGCATTCTGGTTGCATTCCTTTTTGTCCATTCCAGCTACTAATCAGGAATGACATCATTTCTAAGGAATATTTGTCCCCCGGATTGTCATTTTGGCTGGTGTCTCTGCCAAATTTGATTCCTCTGGATTCTGCTGGATTCCACAGGAATGACCAGAATCCGGCAGGAATCAGTGGGGCATGATAAAGACCTCGAGTTTTCAGGTGTGTGAGTGCCCTCAACTCTGGACACAACATGTTTGTGTAGTGTTTAAAGGTTCAGTTCAGTCCGGTTTTTTGCTGTGAAAACACGCAACCATGGACCACAACCAGTCCAGGACCGACCCAGATATTGAGGGAACCAAACCGAACCACCTAGGACCGGTCTTTTGCAGTCCATGATACCAGTTCAGACCGATCCAGACCGGTTTTTTTGTGTATAATTCATTGTACCAGTATAAACCATTACTACTCTGAAAAATAAATGGGTTATATAGCATAGTAAAGCATGTAAATACCTGTTGTTCTACCAATTATTAAGAGATTTAATGAAGATATGACATAGCTATGACTGAAACCGAATTACATCTCCTCAAGACTCAGGCAAAAGTTAATGTGGCAACTGTAAATTATTTGATGCATACCATACATTGATAGATGGTGAGCATATTTTCATATTTATAGCTTCAATATCCAAAAATTGAATCAAGCAAAATGATGAAAATTTGAGTGAGTTAGAATTAAAGTCATTCTGGTACAAGTTGCACAATACCAAAATGGATTTGGTTATATCTTTCTCAGTTCTTAACCGTTTTTGATGAACCAAAAACACAATTAAAGGTAATAAATGTGGTTACAATGCCATGTAACGCATGTGACCATTTAACCAGTTGCAACCGATTTAAACTGGTCTTTGAACAGTTTTAAAATATTTTTGAAATGAGGCAACTGGCAACTGGACCAGCCCCAAATTTGGGCAACTGCAACCGACAAAAAGACCAGACCATGGTCTGGTTCAGTTCAGTCCACCGGTTTTTTGTGGTCCTATGGACTGAACCTTTAAACACTATGTTTGTGAATGAGAAGAAGCACATTGTTGAGGATTGGATGAGGGGGAAAGGGAAAAGCTATCAAGATCGACCATTATTTATCCAAATTGTAAGGACACCCCAGAGTGGTGACGTCCATTTATAGAAAGTTGGTTTCCCAAATTGGCCCCTCCCATCCAATGGCAATGTTGGAGATGTAGGAGCAAGTTCAACAGAGATCAGGTTGAAAGAAAGCACATAAATTGCACATGAAGATAGTCAGGGTGATGCTGATGGTGACAGGAGTGGGGAGGATACCAACGGTGATAGTGATGATGATATCAATTCTGAATCCTGATGCTATTCCAGGCTGAGAAGAGGCACCAAAATGCATAAGAAGTGTAGGATCTGGAAGCCTTGAAGAGCATTGCATGACTCCGCCTGTCTTTGCATGATGTCTGAAACAAGTTCAGACACCATTATCAGTTCAGTCAATGAAAGGGATTAGATGAACGAGGAGTGTACAAGAATTGATTCCACCAATTCAGCACCTGAACAGGATGCATGAGAGACAAGTCAACTTTTGTAACAAAAATGTACCTTCTGTGTAGACTTGGTGGTGGTGGATATTAATGCCACACACTTTGTGGCAGTCATCAAAGACACAGCCCTTTGCCCAATTATTCCCTGTGCCAACCTCTGCATGGAGAAATGTATCTGGGGGGAGTAAACCCACAAAGGGCCACCCCTGATCTACAAGACCTGCTGGTTCAATGGTGCGTTGGTGGCAGAGGTGGGGTCGTTTGTTGTTATGTGTCATCAACATTGTTCATCCCTTCTTGTTGATTGTCATGTCCTGTTGGCAACATGGCCCCTGCTTCTCATGTGAACAATGAGAGGGGAGGGAGTCATGTCGCTCACATGTGAATGATGTGATGAGGTGAATGCACTGGAAGCAACTGGTATCCACCACCACAGTACTGGGTAAGGATGCTGCAGGCAGTAACACTATAAACCAAATAAGGGAGATGTGCAACACAAAGTGTAGTGAAAGACTTACCACTGCTTATATACGGTAATATACCATACACATGGATGTTTTGTAACAAGTAGCATTGGCAGGAACTCCACAGCAGGATTTTAATTTCCAACCAACTCAATTCTTCCATTCACCAAATACACAAATACACTGATATACATTATCTTGTCATTGATACCTCATATACGCTGTTTAATGTGCACAAGCATAATACATTGATGTGCATTTTTTGTCACCCCATGTATCTTCCTCAGCCTCCGCGTATTTTTTCATTCCATGTAAGGCAACTCTCATGAGATTGGGCAGTGCCAACTGTGAAATTTATTCAATTTATATTTGTTCAAGTTGTTTGGATGTAATTTTTTCAGCCCTAACCCTACATAATTTCCTTCTCTATATTTTTCTTTCTTTCTTCTGTGTTGTTTTTCACATGTCATATGTATTGTATTTTATTACTGACCCATGTCCAAAAATACAAAAATGTTGTAAGATATGCAGAATAAAAAATATGTGGAGAAGAATAAAAAATACATGGGGGAAGAGAAAAAACAAGGACATTGGCACTCAATATTCAATGATGACTTGATCAACAACTACTCAACAATCTTCAGCAGGATTAGTGGAGACAGCAGATTGCATGTTAAATTTCTCATATTGGGGCAAGGTTGGGGGTGGATTTTATGGTTATTCTTATATTCAACACATTTTAGTTTTAATTCATGAGAAAACACTATGGCTTGGCAGGAGCTCCATGGCATACATGGGAGAGAATTGGAAATTTAACCCTACCCTAGGGCTTATCACAAAAACTTCAAATTACAAAAGCGAATCCTGCTGTGGAGCTCCCACCAACCTTACAGTGCTTTGCATTGCTGTTTGCACACTGAAATTGTGAAAATTATGTTTGGTTTTGTATGTTTGTCACAGATTGACAAGATCTTTGAGAATTTTGTATTTCTCAAACCCAACTCTTGTTGCACCTCAGGCATCAGATGAGATGCATGTGCAGATCATCATTTACCATGATGAGCAACATTTTTCACTGCAGGAGATTGCAGGCCTTGTTTGATGTTGCGTCTGGCAAGTGATCTCTTACTTCCTGACTTGTGGGTCATTCCGACTCATGATACAACTTGCAGGAATGATGCCGAAGTCCATGCTCACAAACAAGCAACAAACCCAGAACAAACCAATCCTCACTGTATACCATCTGTTCACCCACCCATGAACCGAGGTCTTATCAGTGCCCCCCTAATTCCTGCAGGAATCCGGTCATTCCTGCGGATTCCGGTGGATTCCGGAGGAATGAAATTTGGCAGGGAGGCCTGCCATTTTCATCATTCCAGTGCCTTACCATTCCGGCGGAATTTGGGCATTCCGGAATTGACACCGGAATGATCCGCAGAATGCACAGGAATGGAATGTAACGGAATCCGGTCCTTTGTTTGTTTATTTTAGTTCTGTTACCAAACAAAGGCAACGTTACCAAACAATTGCAACACCCTTTCCTTTCACCCACCACCAACCATCCTCGTCCCCCCACTTCCATTCCCTCCCACCACCCACGTTGGCAACGACGACCACACCACACGACCCAACAACGGCCACGACCACACCAGCAACGAACCGAAGCGACCAGCGAGGCGGCACCACAACAATCCACGAGCGCCCACGACAACGACGTGGCCGATCCACGGGCGCCGCCATCAACCAGGGCCCACCACGCCAGCCAGCCACGAATGACACACCACACGCCCACCAGCATCATCAACGTGACACCAATGCAACGTGGCGGCGAAACGACGTGGGAACGAGGTGGCAAAATGACGACAACGACGCAACGTGGGTACGAGGCAACAACGTGACAACGACGACGCGAAGTGGGTACGAGGCAACAACGCGACGATGACGACGCGACGTGGGTACGAGGCAACAACATGACGACGACGACGTGACGTGGGTACGAGGCGACAACGCAACGACGACGACACGACGTGGGTACGAGACGACAACGCGACGACGACAACAATGCGACGACAACGACGACGCGACGTAGGAACGACGACGATGACGCGACATAGGAACGAGACGACACAACGTGGGTACCATTAGTCCCCACCACTCTCTCCCCCTCCATCCCCTCCCCAGGGCCTGGCCCACACCATTGCCTGTCCCTCCTCCCTTCCTTCCTCCCCCCTTCCTCCCTCCCCCCTTCCTCCCTCCCTCCCTTCCTTCCTCCCTCCCTCCCTCCCTCCCTTCCTTCCTTCCTCCCCCCTTCCTTCCTTCCTCCCCCCTTCCTTCCTTCCTCCCCCCTTCCTTCCTTCCTCCCCCCTTCCTTCCTTCCTCCCCCCTTCCTCCCTCCCTCCCTTCCTCCTTCCTTCCTTCTTCCTCCCTCCCTCCCTTCCTCCCCCCTTCCTTCCTCCCTTCCTCCCTCCCTCCCTTCCTTCCTCCCTTCCTCCTTCCGTCCCTCCCTCCCTTCCTCCTTCCCTTCCTGCCCCTTCATTTAACTTAGAAAATAGTAAATTAGATGTAGATTTGAGTTTTAATATATAAATATTATAAGAAAGTGTTCATACCCTTTAAGTCAGTGTGAAGAAGTGCATATTAGTGTAAATGTATCTAGCAAAAAGGAAGCAGATGAAGAAACCAGAAGAAGGTGAGGAGGATAACTTGGGTTTGGATGAAGAAGTCCAGGATGATGAGGATAACTAAATAAGAAGTGTATATTAGTGTAAATTCACCAGATTCCAGTTCCATTCCTGTGGATTCCTGCAGGAATGGGTGGGGCACTATAAAGTACTGGGCCTTTGGTCCCTTTTTGCAAGTAAGGTGCCTCTTCAATGATCATTGTGTCCTTTTTTTTTTACACTATCATTATTACCTTGTATCACTCTTGATTTGTATCTTTACATCTCTATACCTCATAGCTTACTATACCATGACTTGATTTGTATCAACTACTTCACCAATGGCAATTGTATTCTATGTACTTGGCTGTCTAAGTCTACAATGGGTGAGGGGGAGCATGATGGGGATGATGCCCTTGAGCCTCAAGTTTAGCTACAATGATCTCATTATGAAGACGAATCATTTCATCCAAAAAAAAACTGTACTTCACAGGGAGCATCTCCCTGCAGATAGAATGAAAACCTCCAAGCCAAACATTCACCTGTTCAGCAACCGACGTGTTAAAAAACCTGTTTCCATTGGGTCCCTGCAATTCAGGGAAATCTGCAGGGTTACAATGTTCCTGGCAAAAGGCATGCAAGATTTTATGCTTGTTGAGGAAGTGTCAGACGTCGACACACATTCCCATTGAAAGGAAGTACTCATCTTGAGTTGTGAGGACCTGTTGTTGTGCATCACAATTGGTGTCATATACAAGGTGTTCGGGTTTATGGGCTCAAGGAACAGAGAATGCCCACTTCACAAAGATCTTGAACAATTCACATCAGGGGCAGCCTTTTGTGTATGATTCAAGGCACATACCAAGACATTGGAGACAGCCTCAGCCCCAAAGAAAGTTGCACATGCAAATATGACTCCACAAGGTCAGACGAGAGTCTGTTCATTGTGTGTGTGTTGCTGGGAGTAGAGCAACTTAAGTTTAACATTTCCAGTCTCTGACTTTGCTGCCTTGCAGGGAATAAAGCTGGTGTTGTGGGGAGGCACCAGCATTTCAAGATCTTGAACACTGACAGATCCAGGGTTGTTGACTGTGTGTATCCGAATCACACCATCTTTGGTAGTATCAAACCAGTGGTCCTGGTCATCCACATCATTCTGAATGTCATTGTCATTGCTGTTCATGGCCATAGTGGCCCCCAAGGCATTATTGGGATGGGTGACTCAATGGTGCGCAAGTCAATCCCTCAGCGTGAATGCTGCTTTTCCCTTCTGGAACTTCAATCTCTCCATTGTCTGATGCTTGGGATGGGTGCAGCTCTTTGTACCATCAACAATCAGCTCATTGCAGCCTACAACACTGCATACATTGTGTAGTGCATAGTGTATGGGGCAGAAATGATCCTGGTTGTTTGCAAGGGGAGTCATGCAGCAAAACTCCCCACAACAGGGATGTCCAAGTGTGATGCCATCTGAAACAATAACCTGGCATTTGCCTTGTTCCAGGTAAGTCCAAAAAAAATAAAGGCCTCAGCATGACATCAGAAATACTCATGTATTGTCCCATCATCATCTTCCCATGTGCGCATACATTTTTATTGCAATAGTGAGCAACTTTGTCTTGGCCGTTATCAATTACAAATGATTGCGCTCTTCCATGAGCTTCGTGAATCAATGCTTTTGGTCTCTGGTGTGTGGAACCTTAACAGTGTCACTCCATACTTCATGCTATTGAATTAATGACCAAAGAACAAATGTGTCCCACACATGCTCTGTTTGAAGCTTCATACCAAACTCCCATCTGCCATTCTTGACATCAGATTCTTGTCATTGCAAGAGTGCCAAATCATATATTTGTGAACAGTTTGTCACTGAAACCCTAATGCCGACAGCTGTTAACAATTATCTCAAAAACTAGAGAATAAGGACACACCACCCCAATAGCATTGAATGGATTCACCACGAGACTAGACGCCCTTCAACAAATTGGTGTTCACTGTTGGAGCAGCAAGTACGAGGGGTAGTGGTTAAGTGAGAAGGTAATGAATTCGGGGACTCTCAGTCCCCCTTATATACTACAAACATATGTAACTAGAATGTACTACAAACTACTATAACTATCTACAGTGTCCTATATGAGACTAGTACGTGCGCGTATGCACAGGATCGGCATACCGGAGTTGCCGGTCTGCCTTGACTATTCAACATTCACCAACTTGGAGGTAAGCTGGTGAACCTTGATAGTATGTTCGGGTACCATCACAAACCTTGAAGTTATTATGATAGTTTGTGCAGCAATCTTAATATATGGTTTAGTTATATTAAAAGATGAATGGGGAGTACTCACCAGGACAGTAAAGATGTACTGACCATGCTGGACAGGCACTGCTTGCCAGTGTATATATGACCACTTGTCTTTGTTCTGCCTTTTTAAGTTCCTTGGTGTGAAGGCAATCAACATTGCTGCAGCAGCTTGATGGTGGATACAGGGTCATATATGCTTGAGAATGATCAGATAAGTAGGGATAACAAAGCTAGAAACTGTTTATTCAATCCACACTTCCAACCAAGCAGGTGAAAGCTTTCTTTGTCACTTTCACAATTTTCTTCAACAGTTGAAGTAGTCCAGACGTCATCTTTGATTGCAATCCACAAGGATGGTATCACCTCTATGGGAATATTTGTTGCCTCAGAAACAAATTCAGATACAGAGAGTGAAAGGATATCTGGCACATCATCTGAAGACTGAAAAAGAAGTTGAGTGAGCTGGATATCATACTTCAGGACTCTTCTGAGGTGAATTGCTGTGTGAATTTGATTGGTAGACAAGCTACAAAGAGACCAACGTGCCAGAAGCGCCTTCAGAAGCTGTAGAAATAGCATGGCGCGTGCTTGTTTGCAACACGACACGACAATTTACCAGGTCACATGTTCTCGTCCCTTAATCTATCAACTTCAAACCCTGCTATGCTGTGCCAGTCAGCCGCCACACACCCCAGACAAATCCCTGTACTTTTTGGCCCCATACTTTCCAATTCCCAGATGGCCTCAATGGAACTTTGACCCAACTTCACAAAGAATCTCAGATTTGGAATTTCCGCCCGCCATCTGGCAGATGCATTTGTCAGCCGCATCACCAGGAATCCACAACCATGTGCAAAGATAAAAAATCCTGCTCAATCAAAAATAGACCAAAATCAAAGTGAAAGTGCCTCACATACATGTACACCCCCAGCAGGCAAAATATTGATTCCTCTAAACCAAGGTTCTTGAAAATATTGCTGCTAGCCCTTCATAAATTACCGTTTTGTTAACCATTAAAAGGCCTGCACAAGATGTCCTAGCAATTTCAGCACCCCAATTACCTCCAAAGAAAATCAGAGCAGAAAGAAAATGCTGGAAATGCCATAAGTACGTCGAGGCAAAGAGATGCTGTGAAAAGCCATATGATGACTGCAACAGAGTAGATTGTGATAGAAGAGATAGCTGGCAACCTATAAGTCCCTGTCAGAACAAAACAGATGGCCCAGATGCAGGTGGAGATGGAAGGATGGGTCTGTAGCTTGCAGCTCATGTATGAAAGATAAGATAAGATAAGAAATTTTCTCTTTTTTTCGCTTTTTTCCTCTTTTTATTTTATCTGGTATGTAGCAGCTACAAACATGGCCACCCTGCCAGTTCAAACGTTCAACGTTCAGCAGTCCAAGCTTTCCTCAAACACTCTTCCCAATCACAGTGCCTTTCGACAACTTTGATCATCACAAGCGCATCACTCAGAATTCACATTTCGTATAATGATAAGTGTAAGTATAGCTACATATTGTGGTAAGTGAATAATAGTCCCATGCGAAATTAGTAGGTGTCCGTAAGCAAAGGCATAAAGCGTATCAGTAAGCGTAATATCGTGTCACAATGCATGAAAAGTCTAGAAAATAACCGAACAAAGAAGAAGGGAACAAGCGAGAACCTCATTTCCAGAATGGGTTCTTCGAGCTCTTCGGATTCGTAGGTGGCAAAAGGTACTCTCCCGAGCTTAAAGTGCTCGACGAAAAACGAGACGTTAGTTCCTTCTTCACAGGTTGTCGAGGATCAGGCACGCGTCTAGGGACACCCGTCATCTGCGAGTATATCGACGGCGCCGAAACGTGGCTCGTTTCGCTTATCGAACGCTGGTCTACGGGTGTCAGGCGATGGTGATGGGTATGGAACCTCGACGGCTCGGGAGACACTGGTCGCTGGTACGAGCCGATCAGCCTGACCATATCTTCTTCGTCTCCAGTCGAACCGTGCAGCGGCGACGGCCCCGATATATCTGACGTGTGAATCTTGGTCAACTTCATCGATTCGCTATGTGACCCATGCACTGGGAGTACAGGGACCACTCGCGTACTCCTATGATGTCCAAAGAGTTTCTCGCCAAAGCGGATAAGCCGCCAACGCCAACTGGTCTTTCCACGGTTGACTACAGCGCCAGTAGCAAACAACGCTGTTTTCTTGGCACGTTGTTTTCTTCGACGACGACGGCAGCACCATATGACAACAAGAAAGATGAAGGCGCAGCCCAGCGCCATGAGAAGGATCTCCCACCATTCCAAGGGTCGGCGTTTGCTGATGGCGGTTGGGGTGCTGAGGCCGGTAATTGTTGGAAGGGGTGCTAGGGTGCTTGTACCTGATACTTGTGGTACGTTCACAAGGTCTGAGAGGCAGACGCCCAACCCAGCAATGACACTGGTCCCACTTTGGCAATTCGAGGCAACGCATGTACCCTTCCGAAGAACTTGAGTGGGACTTGAGCAAGCAAGACAATTACTGGGTCCAGCGCCAGAGCAACTCGAGCAGCTGGAATCACACGCTTGACACGATGAAGTTGTCGGATCAAAGAACTGCGATTTGCTGCAGGTAGGGAGGCAGCGGCCATTGATGAGCACTGGCCGACTCGAGGGACAGCTTGTGCATTGATTGAACGAAGCTCCTGAGCAAGTGGCGCAATCCGGATGACACGTGAGGCATGAGCCTGAAGCCGAAAAGGTGTTGGAAGGACAAGTCGCAACACATTTACCGCCTGAGGCGAGTTGATTAGAAGAGCAAGTCAGGCAAAATGTTGAGGATCCGGCACAAGTGCTACATGTCGAATCACAAGCTATAAAGAATGGTAAGGATAGGCAATCATGCAGACAGGTGTTTCGGACGTACCAAGACATGTAAGATTATCTTGAGGGGATACAAATGTACCTGATGGGCAGGCGCTCACACATGTACCGTTGGAAAGGAAAAAACCAGGTATGCAGCCAGTACATTGTTTCTGGTTGACAGTAGATGCCACGCTGAAGTTGGCTATAATGCATGATGTGCACTTGGCACCACAACCTTGAAGAACAATCAGGCCAACGTCAAAGAAGAAAAAAGGATGAGACTCACTATCACATTCACGCTTGTTGTTGTCCGCAATGAGGTTCGTTCCCGCGCAGACGCCATTGGTATTAGCTGCTACACATCCTCCTTGGAAAGTGTAATGACCTGCAGAGCAAAGGATACAATCGTTGGAAGTTCCTGCTGTGCATGTTTGACACGACGAGGAACAAGCTGAGCAGGCGTTTCCATTGGCAAAGCTTCCATCAGGACATATTGTTCCGGCGGAAGTAATGGATTGGGGAGGGTTGCACTTGGTTTTGTCGCTGGCATCTTGTGAGAATCCTGTCTTGCAGGTCGTGCACGCCCCAGTACCATCAGCGCATTGAGTGCACCCCAATTGACAAACTGATCACAAATCATTAGTTCCATCAACGTCTCGATGCACTGAATGCAACATACCTTGACAATCACCTGTAGATGTCAGGAAAAAGCCAGGAGAACACTTCGCGCATGCCGTTCCATTAGCAGCGGTCGTGAACCCCGCGTTACATGTACACTGCCCATTAGAGCCACATACACCATTGAGGCAATTACATGTCGAAGGGGCGTTCGCTACGGTCGGTTGCAGACACCTTCCAGACCCCGAAATTCCATCATCACAGCTAGAGCAGCCAGAAGGACATGCTTGACATTTGGGACCGAAGAAACCTGAAGCGCACGATTCACATGAAGACCCGGTGAACCCAGCCGAGCACTGACACGTCCCAGAGGGAGTACAGATACCCGAGCCGGCACATGTGGGGGAGCAAGAGGCAGATTCAATATCGGTGAGTGAAAGAGAACCGAGAGTGCCGGATGGGAGCTGATTGACATCTGGGATTGAGTCCCACAGGATAACACGGTTGCTTGAGCCGGCGTTGACGGAGGCCCATACCCCAGAAGATAGAGCAATAGACTGGGAAGTCAATGGGACTGATGAGTTGCCAACTGGTGCGGAAGGGAGGGATGAGAAAGCGGCTTGGCCCGAGTACAGAGAGCCCGAGTAAACGGCGAGACCCGGTTGGAGGGCTAAGATGAGCGGCAATGACAGGGACGAGTTAAAGCCTGACGAGGCAGCGAGGGTGGCGGACGTGGATGCGAGGAGATTATGAAGGATTTGGGGGCTGGTGGTGGCAGTATATTGGCCAGGGAGTAAGTGGATATCAGTGGCAGCGCCAGGTGCCGATAGTCGTGCACCAACTAGTAGAGTCGTTATTCAACATAAAGAGGAGAACACGGTGAACGCACTGGTTGTGTTGGAATAGCCTTGAAGACATTGGCCTGGAATACAAACTACAGTGGGCGTAGATTGGGCATCTAAGAAGATAAATTTGATACAAGCCAATAACCAAAGCTTCACTGAAACTTACATATTGAGATAGTTGAAAAGGCAAGAATAGCAAAGATAGTCGCGAACATCGCGAAGATAGGTGAACGAAGAAGACGTGAAGGTCGTGGTAGAAGGTAAAGAGCAGTGAGAGACGGAGACGGGACAAAAAAAGGAGGACAAGGACAGTGGATGACTCGACAACGCCATTGTGGCCGACGACCTCATTATGTCCGACAAACTCATTGTGCCCGACGACGGGTGAGGAATCTCAAAGAGATCTTTTGTCGCCAAGAACAATAGCCGCCGTGCTATATCTGTTTGGTTACCTTGTTTGGTCCCATTGTGTGGCTTGACAACAAATGCCAAACAATAGCACAGCCATGCATGCCTGGTCAATACAGATTCAAAATGTTACACCATGTACTAATTTTTCGTTCACTTCCGGCACCAATGAGAAATTCTAGGTATTGTAGGTCGATGCAGAGACGTTTCCTCCACGTCCAGTCCAGTTGACGTCTAAGAAACAGCATCAGTTTCACATCAAAAATAACGAAGAAATGGTACACACGGATATCCGCGCCAGCCTTGAACTTGCTGTTCTCCTTGCCAGGGAGGACACGGAATGTGTGGGCACCGAAGTAATCACGCTGTGATCCGGTAAGTGTGAGGTCATAAGTCAAGATGCACATAATATACCTGGCCCTGAATGAGGTTCGCTGGAACGATCTCACTCCTGTAACCATCAAAGAAGGACAGAGCAGTGCTGAAAGCGGGTGTGGGGATGCCCCATAGAACGGCCTGAGCGATGATGCGCCTCCATCCTGGCTGAGCCTTGTGGACAGCTAAGAACACAAAACGGTCAAGTAACGCAACGAAAGACGTCAAACCACGCTTACCCTTCTTGAAGAAGTCATCGAACAAGAGAGATTCGAGTTGTGGGTTTTTCTTGTAAGCGGCGGTGATGTCTCCAAGGAAGACACTCTATAAAAGTATGTTAATAGCGAATAAAAGACAACCCTTTATATCTGACCTTGATGATGCAGCCTCCACGCCACATTTGGGCAATGCCAGCGTAGTTCAAGTTCCATCCGAGCTAGAAGCAACAACATTCAATGCCAGACTAAAATAGAGGCGCGGTCGTGCTTACTTCCTTGGCGTTCTCCCTCATCAAAATGAAACCTTGCGTGTAAGAGATGATCTTGGACGCGTACAGAGCCTGCTCGAGGTCATCGATGAACAATTGCTTGTCACCTTTGAAGACCTCCTTCTGAGGACCAGCGATGTTTTTGCTCGCACGGACACGTTCCTCCTTGATGGCAGACAGGCAACGTGCGAACACGGCCTCACCAATGAGAGTAACTAGTGGGATGGAGTTAGAAACGCTCGGGGATCTATCGACAAACGTTCTTACCGGGAGTACCGGCATCAAGAGCGGCAATGGCGGTCCATTTACCGGTTCCCTTTTGACCAGCCTTGTCGAGAATTTTGGTGACAACGGGTTCACCATCGTCATCCTTAAACCTAAGGATGTTGGCGGTGATCTCGATCAAGAAGGAGTCAAGAACGCCCGTGTTCCACTTGGTGAAGATATCCGCAATCTCATCCTCGTGGAGGCCAAGACCACGCTTCAAGATATCGTATGCCTCGGCAATCAACTGCATGTCACCATACTCGATACCTGATAAGAATCCGTTGAGCCGACTCCGATAAAGATGCAAGAGAGAACTTACCATTGTGGACCATCTTCACATAATGTCCAGAACCGGTTTCGCCTACCCAGTCGCAGCATGGCTCACCGTTCACCTGAGCAGCAGTCTTCTGGAAGATTTCCTTGATCGCCGGCCAAGCGGCAGTGGATCCACCAGGCATGAGCGAAGGACCATAGCGGGCACCCTCCTCGCCACCAGAAACGCCGGAGCCGACGAAAAGAAGACCTTTGGCCTCAAGTTCCTGCGTGCGGCGGATAGAGTCGGGGTAGTGAGAGTTACCACCATCAATGATAATATCGCCTTTCTCAAGATGGGGCTCGAGCTGCTTGATGAAGTCATCGACGGCTTGGCCAGCCTTCACAAGGAGTACAATCTTGCGGGGTGTCTTAAGCTTAGAGACGAGTTCCTCAATCGAGTGAGCACCCTGGACGTTGGTGCCTATTGCGCGATGGGTCGTATTAAGCGATGTTCGGCGAGATCGATGAGAACGAAAGCAAACCTTTGGCCTCGTTAGCGAGGAAATGATCGACTTTGCTGGTCGTGCGGTTGTAGGCGACGACATTGAAGCCTTTGTCGTTCATGTTAAGGATGAGATTTTGGCCCTACCAACTTACGATTGAGCAAAACAGCTGGACGATAGGTACTCTGGACATACCATGACAGCAAGGCCAATGAGTCCGATATCTCCTCTAGATCAAGGTATGTTAGCAGCGAGCGTCGAGCTGAACGGTGCGCAACGTACGTTGCCATGATTTCTAGTTTTAGTGGGAGGTTGCGATGATGGAGTTGAGAAGGAAAAGAGAGAGGGCGCGATATGGTGAAACTCCAGTGATGATGTTTGTTTGCGGCCCAGACTACGCTGGGTTAATCAGCTTTTGCGTGGTAATCAGTTCACCAGCCAATCGATAGCGTCTCCAGGAGCTGAGCCTTCCACCACGTCCCACGTTTACACGCCGAGACAACCCAGGGAGCGGGGTAAAGCTTTGTTATCTATTCCGATGAAAGCTCATATCTGATAAGATAAAGTGTCCACCACCTATTAATCCGCGCTCGAACATTTGACTACTAACCGCCAGCGCTCTCATTGCGTATTATTCCATACACAACGTCCATCCAAGTCCATCCATCGTGAAGTGGGCATCGAGATTTTCTTTCTTTCAAAATATCGATAAGCCGGCCCGGGTGGCCCCGGAGAAAGTTAGGGGGTCGGGCCGCGAGTCCGAACTAACGTCTTTCTTCCCGTCAAAAAAAATACAAATGTAATTTAGAGACTAATCTTTCCATAAGTAAATGTCCCTCGCACCGCTAAACCCCCGTATTGTTCAATGTCATCCACAGCAGCCTGCGGCGATGCAATTCAGGCAACTTGTCAAACAGCCCCCAAACGTCAGCGTCACTGGCGTCCCCAGACATCGCAATGTGTACCGATTTCAAAGAACGTCGCGCATCAAACAACCCCGCCAACACCTCGTCGACGACTCTCCACTTGCTCCAATCCATCTTTGCAATGGGAGCTTCAACGATGACCATGAAGCTAACTGCCTCAAGTCCATCACAATGATGGATCTGAGAGAGCAAACTCATTATGCATCGTATGGGGCTGTATCCTTCGGATTGGCGTACGTGCGTGAGTTTGAGCTGGCGAAGGCAAATCATGTCGGAAGGCCTCAGGATATGCAGGGGAAGGTTGTCTAGTACACGAATTAGATACCAGTACAGCTCAAGCAAGAGGATTGATACGCACTGCCACGACTCCCAGTAACGGCCACCTCCAATTCTTCCAAAGTAAGCCTCGAGTGTTCAATGACTTTCGCCGCAGTTTGGTAAGTTCCCATCGGCGAGATGGAAAGTTTAGAGAGCCTTTGAAGGCTAAGTGGCGAGTCGCTTGCCAAGAGAGTTGGCGTAAAAACATCCAAGCAGTCATCTCCAATGTGAAGAGACTCAAGGATAGTTGTATGAGCCCGGAATGGGAGGCTGGATATCCACCGAGCCCCCCAAGATACCTCCTTCACTTTCAGTTGCTTAATGTTAGAGCCCGCAATGAGATGAAAAAATTCGTCAAAATTATGAAATTGGCACGAATGAAGCTCAAGCCGCACAACCGTCCCCAACGTCATTGAACGTAGCGGAGAACGGACAAATTGAGATAACCACGCAAAGTCGACGCGCCGGAGAGAGAGAATGGACACATTGTTGAGTTTACCCAGGATCTGGACGACTACGGGCTCTATGTGGTACCAGACCCAATGCGAATATTCTGCGCGATGGATGATCAAGTGGCGGATGTACCCACGCAAGCGAGGTGATGTGTCTAAAATCTTGTTGAGACGGTAGTACTTGTCCAAGACACGTGAAGGGGTTTGGTGGTATTCCGCGCTTGGATGATGCATCAATTGAATCTGATAGAAAAGGTGGACTCGGCTCGAATGAAGGCATTGGGTCGATGTCATTGCAAGAGAGCGGAGGGTGGTAGGATCATCATGCAGGTGATCTATAACGACGTCCAGCAGTTCTGGAGGAAGCCTACATTCACCTGGACTGTCGGACGCTGATAGCATGTGTAACTTGAAGGTCAGGTTGAGTGGATGAGCCTGTTGTAAGTAGACTATAAGCAAGTCTTTCTTGGACAGCCTTGGATACGCACCTTTGTTCATAATTGTATGATAAGCTGTGAGCAGAACTGATGATGTAGTCGGTCCGACTCGGACATATCACCCTCGTGGCAAATATGAGGTACAGCTCGCCTAAATTTTCCATCACTTCAATCGTTCTATTTGTGTATCAGGATTCAGCGCTCAGCGCTCAGCAATGTGGCCATTGTACTGTATACAGCTCTTTGAAGCACTCACGACGCGTCGACCTCACCACCTATCATATCGAGCGCGTCGAACTACAACCGTGTCTCGTCGCTTCAAGGGGTTTGCACAGTAGTGCATACCAGGACCTCAATCAAAACCGCATCAAAAAAAGGTGGCATCATGATACGCTCGCGGCTCAAGTATGAAATGAGAGGCCCAGTGATTCAGGGCTTCCTTGAACCCCTGCATACTGCAAACGTATTGGCTCTCCGGCATTTGGTATACTCTTCACTCTCTACGTTCATCTAGTGGGTCTGCCGCAAGTTGCGAGTCAAGCCTCCAGGAGGTCCTCCTATCCGGGATTCATTCCTCTGTATCCCGCAAGGCCATGCTCCCTTTTGCACTCAAAGTGGTGTGGTTTGTCCTCTCATTCACCGGTATGCCGCGTTGTTATCTTCCCTCAAGTCGATAATTGACACCCCCACGCGTTTGAAAGGCCTTCTGAGCTGCTGGCTCGTACTCGGTGCCTTTGGTCGTTCTGTCGGTGCCCCATGGGGTCCTTTCGTATACTGTGTTGGCTGCACAATTCTTCAAGGGATATTCTGCCTTGGTGAGATTGCTTCCGCCAGCAATTCCCGATGGGCTGCTGACCGCTTGCAAAAACAGGCATGATCTGGAAGATGAACCCATACACCATGCCTAGAGGGTTTTGCATTGGTTCGTTGGATCGGCAACAGTCTTGCAACCCCATATCCTTAATACGATGTCTCAGCCCAGACAGTGATTTCTAGCTTTGGAGCCTTTCTTCTAACGGGCGTAGCTTTTGCGTTTTCTTTCGCGACGAGTCTGGCGGTGTTAAAGCCCAAGACATGGGGAGACTCTCACCAAGCGTATGTACATTTGATATGTCACTTCGCATCATTTATCTTATGCTTTTCTCCGCTCTTTTCCCTCTAGATCTCTGAATTGGCGCCCAGCCTATAGCATTCCCATCATCATATTCCCTATCGTTGGAACCGCCATTTACGTCGCCTTTGTCGTCAAATTTAATTCTGTTCACCCTACCGATGATTTTCACTGCGACTCGACCAACCCAGAATGGTCAGTAGTAGCCATACCCCCTCCAGACAACATCTAAAAGTACCTGTTTTTAGGGTGCGCTTTTTGGGATATTCAGGGTTACCCTTCGTTCTATCCATCCCCTCCTTCTACATATCTATCAAGTCGATCCTTCGAGTTAACAAAACCAACAAACACCTTAAGCGATCACGACACGCAGACGTGGACGATGACGCCTTTACACCCGTCCCCATCTCACGCAAGCGGGATACTCTTCAGATGGTGGAAAGTCATATCATGCCCTCACGCCCGCCATCAGTGCAGTTCTCCGTACTCCCAAATCGTGAACCTATAAGCCCGTCGATATCAAGCCCATCTCTCTCGCCCCACAAATTCCATCTCCCCTTCACCACTCCCGTTCGCGAATCATCTTCATCGCCAGACACCGAGCGTCGCAGTTCGCCTGTCTCTTCCTCCTTTCCGACTTTTATCAATCCTGCGACTGAGGTGTGCTCGATGGAGGAGCCGAAGAAGGGAGTGTCGTCGGAATTCTCAACGCGGAGCGAGGTGAAGGAAAGCAGGGACTGGCGAGATGCGACGGCGCTTGAAAACATAGATGATATTGCGATCGAAACGGGCGATGATAAGTCTGGATCAATGAAGTGGAACGTGGATGATGCTGCAAAGTCAGACTATGACATTGGGAAAGAAGATGATATGCTGTCGAGAGAGTTTGGGAGTGATTCTTACAGTCCACGACCACCCTCGAGGCCGTTTTCCGTCACTGGTAAGTATCTGCAAGCTCTTTCCTGCCTACATACATACTCACTTCACGTAGGTCCACATAAAGGACGCCGTCGTGTACATCCGAACCTTTCTCCCGCTATATGGCGATTGATCATCTTCCAAGTGTACGTGTAATTCCAACCTTGATGACATTTATTTACTGACTCTATTTTAGCGCATTCGCAAGTATGCAACTCCTTACATGCATATCAACGCTCGTCGATGTTATTAGCCGACGTGCTCAGCCTTCTCCCTTGGGTACACAACATTTTACCCTCCTGTTTGTAGCATGGGGCCCCGTCATCGTTTTTGGTAAGTTTAGTCCTCTTCTTTAGACCAGCCGCTGAACTTGCGTAGGTCGTCTTCCTGAGGTTCGCCAACGCATAATAACATGGCCGTGGAAATCATGACAAGAATCCCACTACCGATATCTATACATAGATTGTACTATCTATTCGTCTTACATGAAACAATAAATCCAGGTTTAAAGATAAGATAATCAGGAATCGAGGCTACTGCAGACCACGTCGGGAAACAAAGTTTTCCAGATCTTGTGCTGTGGCTACGGCCAACACGAATTTGCGATCGTAGTCTGTGACTAAAGACGAAGCGATTCAGCAGCTGACGAGTTTCTAGATTAGAGCAAGGGTGCGTACCCAAAGCAAAGATGTTCGTTTTCAGGAATTCTTCAAGATCCACCAACGAGGTCAAAGGCGTTATCACTTTGTAGGGTTCTGACGATGTGCGCTTGAACTTTGTCATGTATTGGCTTACTTTGTCGTCCTGTACGGAGGAAAGTGATATCAGATCCACTGGCCCAAGATAGAAACACACAAGAGACGAACAGGGTTCGCATTGCCTGCTTCCCATCTCTCCTTCAATCTCGCAACATCGACATATCCCAATGGCCGTCGGTTTCGATCAAGTACACTAAAGAAAGATCGGTCAACAGGTCTGAATACTGCAGTAAATAAGAACGCACGGAATGTGCGAGAAGTCGCGCTCATATGCGAAATCTATTGCTCGCGAGATTGCTTCACCTGCAGGTAAGGAGAAGGCTGGAGGTAATTGTAGGTCCTGGTAACGGGATCAGCAATTGAAAATGGCGATTGAAATTGAAATATACCTCGACAACAGCACCACGATATTTATCTGAAGGTAAGTTTGGGAGGTGTGCACTGATTAGTGTTGCCGCCATGAGAGTGGACTCGGAAGTAATTAGGGTTAGGTTCAGTCATATAACGAGCACGTAGTTGGGATCGAATTGGAACCTGTTCCCAACTATCATGTCCTCCTCTTCTGTTGAACCCCGTCCCATCCGCCGTCTCCAAGAATCCCTCATAAACCGCATTGCAGCCGGAGAAGTACCTTAAATTCACTATCCCCGCGAACTCTATCAATGACCAGCGAAGATTATACACAGGCCAGCTTCAGCGCTGAAAGAGCTCCTCGAAAATAGCCTGGACGCTGGTGCCACGTCAATACGCGTCATAGTTAAGGATGGGGGCATGAAGCTCCTACAAATCCAGGATAATGGGTGTGGAATACGCGTGAGTTCGTGTACATCCCGAAGTCAGGCATATTAATGACTCTTGCAGAAAAGCGACCTTCCCATCTTGGCGGAAAGATTCACGACCTCGAAGCTCTCGACATTTTCAGATTTGTCGCGTATAGCTACATATGGGTTTAGAGGAGAGGCGTTAGCGTCCATCTCTCACGTTGCGCACCTCTCTGTCATCACCAAAACCAAGTCGGATACATGCGCTTGGAAGTCAGTACTCTTCCCAATTTCAAGGGTGGGGCTGACACGTCGGTTATTAGGGCCTATTATCTAGACGGAAGTCTCGTTGAACCCAAGCCAGGACAGACACCTGACCCAAAACCGTGTGCTGGTAACGACGGGACTATCATCAACGTGCGTCGTCGCTTAACTCCTCCACTCATCATATCGATGCGTCAGTTCAGATAGAAGACCTTTTTTACAACACTCTGACGCGTCTTTCCAGTATTCGAAGTACCTCGGAGGAGTATGCCCGCATCCTTGACGTTCTCACCAAATATTCTGTTCACAACCCTAAAATTGCCTTCCTTTGCAAAAAAGTGACTCTCTAGATCTCCGTTTTTTAAAACCTGATTCATGAGCTGCTTTATAGGCCGGTTCCGCAGCGCCTGATCTTTCTACGCCTTCAGATTCAGAGATTTCCCATGCGATCCGATTGCTTTATGGTCACAGTATAGCGAAGGAGCTTATCAACGTGAAGGTTTCGTCTAAAGACAAGCCAGAGCCAAAGCTCTCTGGCAACGAGGAAGATGATGAGATGAATGGTGACTCCGAGGAAGACAATGACGAATCTGAATCGTGGAGTGCTGAAAGCTATTTCACAAATACAAATTATCAGGCAAAGAAGATGGTCTTCCTATTGTTTATCAACCGTAGGTCGTCATATTCTGGGACCATAACAATTGATGACGCGTTGTTAGATCGCTTGGTGGAGTCTCCCAGAATGAAACGCTCTCTTGAAGCCGTTTATCACACTATTTTACCGAAAGGCGCGTCGCCTTTCGTATACTTAAGGTCTGTGCAAGTCGGATTCGCAGGTCGGATTATCGGTTGAACTACCCTAGCTTGAACATCGACCCTCGAGCGGTGGATGTCAATGTGCATCCAACAAAGCGAGAAGTGCACTTTTTGAACGAGGATGCCATTATTGAGCGTGTTTCGGACGCAATCCAACAAGCCCTGGCTGCTCAAGGAAAGTCAAGAGCTTTCGAGTATCAAGTAAGTCTCTTTCTGCGGCCTTGTATCTTTCTGAAACTTATTCAGACTCTGCTAAATGGGGGTCTTGCTGGTCACACGAATCCTTCCTCAAAAACTCGTCCAAGCAAAGAACAAGAACATGAAACAGACGGACCTGAGGCCTCAGCTTCTTTATCGTTTAGTTGCGTTCCAAAAAATTCGAAGAGGATGAGTGCTGACCTCTTTGTAGCTGGAATTGTAATCAAGAAAAGGACCTATTCCCAACACAAAGTCAGAACGTCACTCCAAGATAGAACTCTGGATTCGATGTTCCCCGTTGTTAATCCGGCTCAATTGGAGAAATCTTCGGCCAACCCTTCAGATACCCAAAGCCCTACACCCAAATCTCGAGACATCAAGGAATCTGAATGTTTCCTCACCTCTGTTCAAGACCTTAGAAAGGCTTTGGTGAAAGGGAAACACAGACGTACGTTTTCTATCGTGATCTTATTTATTCTACGTCCTCATCACCTGCATATCACAGAATTGACCGAAATTCTTGAGAAACATACTTTTGTTGGAATTGCCGATCTTCAGCGATGCCTCTCCCTGATCCAGTATTCGACCAAACTGTACCTCATTAACCATGCTGCACTAGCGTAAGTCCATCTTAGCCCCCGCTCCTCAAAGTGACACACAACTGGGCAGTGATGAACTCTTCTATCAACTTGGAGTGCGCCAATTTGGCGATTTTAGTCGCCTCAAATTGGAACCTCCACCTATCCTTCGCGACATGATAGAAATTGCCGTCAATGCTGAAAACTCTACGGAGGACAGCCCATTGAGCAAAACTCAGATCATAGATGTACGTTATCCCATCATATGTTACACAATGCGTACATTCTGACTTACGGCAGCGAATCGAAGACATCCTCATGACCCGACGGGAGATGTTGGCGGAATATTTCTCTCTCACCATTTCGGAGTCTGGTCTTGTTGAAAGTCTTCCCCTGCTACTACGGGATTACATTCCAAATCTCGATAACCTTCCAAGTTTTTTGATGCGTCTTGGACCTCAGGTATCTGCGTCTTTCCTTCGAATTCCTTCTACATAGGCTGAATGAGTGACTTCGCGCAGGTGGACTGGACATCGGAAAAAGAATGTTTCGAGTCTTTTCTTCGAGAATTGGCTTACTTTTACACTCCATTGTCTCCATTGCTGCGAGACCCCTCTGAATCTGAGAGTCATGCTGATCAACTGAAAGCTGAACAGTGGCAGATCCAACATATTCTCTTCCCAGCCATGCGTCGGTACCTTGTAGCGCCGAAATCCCTCCTTGATCGAGATGTTGTCCAGATAGCAAATCTCCCTGACCTTTACAAGGTCTTCGAGCGATGTTAAAGTAATGATTACGATACATGGACAGACAGTAAGTATGGATGGGCAGTCTAATTTACAAGTTGCTATGGTACACGTACGATAATGTATAATGTCAGTACTTTTGATGAATTGAGGGGGAAAAATGCAGTTAAATAGATATAGAGCGAATGTCTGAAAATCCTAATGATGGCGAACTCCGTTTGGGGTACTTTTCTGGGTGTATGGGGAATCAAAAATGAATGCATCGACGTCTGAATCGCTGTCGGAATCTTCGTCCGAGTCTACAAAGTATTCCGATCCTCCTATTCGGAACACATCGAGGAATGGCGTTTGGGGGGTGTCATTGACAGTATCTGAGGCTGTCGATTTGGCGAGAATGGCGGCAATGCGAGCTTCTAGTCTTCGGGTTGGCAGAGGGAGAGGGTTCCCATCTTGGGTTGAATCGCCGGCTTGGAAGTAGTTATTGAGGTCATGTAGGTTTTTGACCAGGCCACCAAGATCCTCTGTTACGCGAGTTTCTACGGAAGCCAACGCTGAAACCTCTGGTTCGAATTCAATACGAGACGGCCTTGACGGCATGGAGCATGTATCGAATACTGCCAGCATATTATCTCGGCAATTCCCTTGAAGAACGTCAGCTTGAGCAATGGACCATCCAGACTCTTCAGGAACCCCAAATACTGTCGTAACCGAGTCTGCGTCGAGCTTCAACGGAAGGTTGCCAACGTGCATACTCATGCGTAAAACATGCCGTGCAGCTGGGCCGCCGGACATTGCCATAGGTTCCTCCAAGACGTCAAGGGCCTGAGGGGCGAGATCGGTTTCGAGGAGGCGAAGGAGCGGCATGAGAAGCTCTGAATCAAGAAGTCCCATGGGGTTGCGTGTTCCTCTTTGCTGGAAAAACACCTTCAAGATTTGCATCGCTTGTATTCTCAGCCAGGATTCTTTGTTCAGAACAAGTCCAAGTAGCAAGGTCACGATTTCGGTCCAGTTGTGAAGGCCGTAATACTCTCGAAGACTGGAAACCGATTGGCGAAGAAAGTCATCCCGTGTCCTAAAATGACCTTTTGCAAAGGAATTCATTATCTTTTGGATGCTTTGCTTTCCCTCCTTGGCTGAAAGAATGCCAATGTCCTCCGCAAAGTCACCCAGAGAAGTGTCTTGCTGGTCCATTGCATACAGACACCAAGGCAGGGCTGCTGTGTACAAATCCCGCACACGTCCCTCAGAAGGGTCAACGAGGCGATCGTCATGGACTTTCGCAAGGGTTCGCAAGATGTTCATGGTCATGGCGGAGGTGGTCGATGACCGCAATCCCTTCAGTAAGGCTGGCTGAAGGTAAGGCGAGCCTTTCCAGTCACTCGGGCGCTGAGACAGCAAAAAATCCACAACACCCTCGTCGTGTAAATCAACCTTCCGGAGTAGGATATCGAGAAGAGAAAGAGTCTGCGTAAATTCCCGTTCAACGGTCGTGGACAAACAAGCAGCTGCACACCAGAATAGCTGAGGAAGAAGCGATTTATCAAGGTCATCCGTATTCGCAATAGCACTTAGGGTCAAGAAAATTTCGGAGGTAAAAGATTGGATGTTTTTGTCTGATGCAGCAACAGTATTTGAAAGGCGACCCAGCAGCAGAGCGAGATCGGCCTTCTTGACACGAGGCATAAGTGCTCTAAAAGTCTGAAGAGATCGAAAAGCAATAGCTCGGATTGAGCACGATGTCCCCCAAATTAAGGCCAAGGAGCCCCATTGACCAACCAGGTTTGGAGCTAAAGGTTCCAAGAAGCCAATAACCTGTCGACAGATCCACCTCATTTTCGGTTCAGCCTCAGCACTAGAATCCTCTTCCTTCCAATAGTGGCTTGTGGCGTCCTTTTCTAGCTTAGCTAGTGCTGCTTTGACTGCTGAGCGACTTCGGGTGGCTGAACGTTCGGGGAGCTCATCATACCCTGGTGTCCAGCAGCGAAGTAACTGGAATAGCATACCCCGTGCCCGGTCCCGCAAAAACGGTATCCGGTGATCCAGGTGCGTAAGTAGAACATGGAGGAGAGTGGGTAGCTCGGGTTTCATCTCCCAGTAACGCTGCAATGCAACGTCTGTGAGGAAAAGCCAAGCAAATTGTGCCGACCCCAGTGTCAGACGCGGTTGCTCAGCAAATAAGACATCAAGCTCCTCCCAGAGTTCCAGATCATCGGCTTCAGGAAAGATCAACTTGTGATCAAAAATAGGAAGCATTCGAGCGGGTTCGATGACAGAACACAACTCTCCGAAGACCTGAGGGCCTATGGGTGTCTGAGACAGACATGCAACAATGTTTGCAGCACATCGTATGAAAATGGTACTGCCAACTTTGTGACATTGCTCCAGGAGGAATCTCACTGAGGCATGACCATTTGATTGGTTGGGGGGCTCCACCAACCTTGTCCACAGTGCAAGAATTTGTTCTGAGTGAGTCGTGCCATAGCGCAAGGACAAAGACATGAGATGGTACAGGGAGGTAAGACCCGACTGTGAGAGGCGGGACTTGTCATCGGTCATGAGGTTGATGTTGGAAATCCAAAATTCTAGGCTCTGAAGCAGCAGCAGGACTGCATTGGTATCATAAGCTTCGCCCGGCAAATGAGGAAGCCAGTTTCCAAGCTGCGCCAGCATGATGGTCGCTTGCTCCGGATGTTCCCCGGCAAGGAAGTCCGAGATTAACCGGTGGGCATGAATGTAAGTGCCGGCTGCGAGGCTTCCCACCGTGGCTTCAAAGTTTGACATTGTCAACAAACCGGATGACTGTTGGTGAATAGCTTCGAGGATATTAAATGACTGCATGCGGATCTGAACTGTAGGGTGTCGCAGATTCGTCAACCCCAGGCAAACAACCTGACAAAAGGAAAGGTCATGGGCTTCGTCGCAGACCACATCGCAGATAACCTCGAAGACCCTCTCATTGCTAGTGTCCAGTTTTTCTGTCACTATCGAAGCCCTTCCCAACGCTTCTTGAAGAAATTCACTGTCGGCACCACTTTGGGCTAGAATGGACTTTAAGGCTTTCCTAAGAACAGAGTCTTTTAACCATAGCGCACTTCTAGATTGCGTGAACTATTTACCTTCCCCTAACTTGACTTGGCTGGTGAGGTGAAGCAAGAATGGCACTCAAACGATCCAACAGACCCAAAGGAGTAAGTGGTTTAGTGAACTCGGAAGGTTCGCGATCAGTGGGAGATGTAGAAGCAGTATCTGGAGGAAAGAAAGCCTTATGCTATACATCGAATCAGTCAGATCGTTGTCTACTGAAGAAAATGTACTGACACATAATGACGCCAGAGCCCCAATTGCTGCGTGGGATAACAGCACCGCTTCATGTCTAAACCGTTCTTGCAGTTCAGCAGCTTCGTCCTGGCTCTCAGCGGATTCGGAAACAGCTCTTTGCATGAGGTTAAATCGCCGTTTGACAGCGTCTGACTGATACCCAACCTGACACCACTCTTCACAGAGTCGATAAAGAGATAAATGCATGTGGGGTGGAATAAATCGATCAGAATCTTTCAAGGTCGCCAGACCATCAAAAAGCCGTTCAACTGTACCACAGAAGTAACGACGCAGTCGTTGTAAAGTATGATTCTGCCGCATTTCAGCGGTGCTCAGGAACGCCTGAGTATTGCGCACAAATTTGAGAACGTTTGCGAGAGCCGCTTGCCTTCCTGCAGATCGTTGTTGCTGCAAACAATGTGCAGTGAGGCAATATATGCGAGCAACTGCCGATTGAAGGCGTTCTTGGCGACGGTTACGCTCTACTTGGAGAGGCCCGCCTCCCAACTTTGATCCTTCATGCAATTGTCTACCTGCCATGCCGCCAGGGCCATGGTCCGCGCTGGATCCTGATCCAGGCTTGCTCCTTGGGTCATCGTAAAACTGGCGACCTGCAAGAAGGCTAAGGTCTTCCAGAAGTTGGGGATATGTGTTAGAAGGAAAGGAACTGATGCAAACCACTGCAGCATCACGAAATGGTGTGTATTCTGAGTCGAGAAAGGGAGTGAGGTATCTAAATAAACCACGGGTACTTGAAAGTCGCTCGCGTTCGAAATTTGCATCCGAGGCACCCCGTGAGTGAAGGGGTGTGAAGGCGGGACGTGAAGCGTCAGGAAGTGCAGCAGTAGAACACAAGATCTTGACCCATAGATGCCACTGGTCGACCAGATGCTTGTTGTCCTTGACGAGTTTCACTCCGTCTCGTTCCATATTCGATGTTGAACGAGTGAGCCCTGCTGGAACTCTGCTGCTCAAACCAGCAAGGTGCGAAATGGTCGGATGGTATCTAGAAGCTGCTGAGACAACGATATTGCGGAGTAAGCCCAGCGTAAATCCCGGATTGTTCATGCATGTTTGCAAGAACGCAGGAAAGATATAACGCCAAAGAAATGGATCTCGTTCGTTCTTGCCTTCCGCTATCCGGAGCAGAAGGCTTTCACGTTTTAGCTCCCTCCATTGCTCAAGACGGACTAACTGCGCCTTATTAAGAAGTTCATCGAAACCGAACAAGAAGGAACTGTTTTCTCCTTTCTCATGTAGACGTCCAATAAAGTAGAAGTGCGAGTCATCGGAGGAGAGGAGCGTTGACCTATGGGGAAGAATGAGTCCCAAAAGGCGAGCAACTTTAACTCCAGATTCATGAATCGTGGCCGACTCGTGGGACAGCAGAAACAAGGCGGCAGTTTCAATATCATCACATCTCGTCAGGATAGTCTGTTTCTCCTCTGCTAGTAGTCCAGATGAGGGAAGGACAATGTTCCGGACCCAATCTTCTACTATGGCAACCCAGACGGCAAGTAGCTGCGAGCTCTCCACGAACAGCTTGATGCCAGCTGCTTCGTGGGCGATACGATTCGGGTTGAAGAGAAATGCAGAGAACCGTTCTACGACGGTCATGGCATGACCACGATCTTCCATGAATCGCTTCAGAGCAGCTCCAGCCACCTGTGCCAACGTCGGCTCCACATGAATGACGCCTCGAAGCAGCATGTCGATAGCGTCTTCAAGGGCGATTGAAGGATGCAAGCAACGAGGCCAAGACTGAAAGCATGTTTGGAGCAGAGAGACATGAGGTGATGAATGTGTTGGGTAGGCTGTAGTAACCCCATCCACTTGGCGTCGAACCACAAAGTTATGCGTTTCCTCATACGAGACATTGAGCCGTGAATATGACCACTGGTCGTCAAAAATACACATGTGTCCCACAGCATTACCACAGAATGTGGCGATCGAAGCTAGTGTCGTGCCCACACGGTCAAGAAAATCCTTGATCACAGCCTTTGACTGTAGAGAGGCAGGAAGATACGCCGATGACGACGGATAATCCTCCTTTGTAGGGGGAACAGAGAAATCGCTGATCGATGGCCATGATGGTGAGGTGGCTTCGCTTTCCAATACATGAAGTGAAAGAAGAATAGCCCTAACTGCAATGGATGTCCTCTCAGGCGCCAATGCACTCCCAATATTACCAGACTTCTGCAGAGAGCTAATCGTGGGCTCTTGCATGAGTTCAAGACAAAAGTCTCGCCCGAACTCAAAATGTCGCGAAAGAACAAAATGGATGATGTAAACCAAGGGTGCCAAGTGTTCATCTGGAGGATAAATCGTGAGTCGATTGGGAGGGAAGAATTGCTTCAGCACATTCTCGAGCTTTGTGAGGGTCGTAGATGGGGATTCTTGACAGCGGTAGAGATATGTCCAAATGAGACGCAAAATCCCATTCATCACTATGGCACGATATGGTCTATCCTAGAGAGCAACCTGGTGAATCACAAGTAAGGTTCTTTGAGTAGGTCAATCATACCTTCAACTTTGACATCGAACTCTCGAAACAAGATGGCCAATGTTTCAGAAAATGTTGTTGAGGAGCCATGCAGAGACTGGTGATTGCAAGAGGAAACGCAACATGCCAATACCGAGGCTTGGACATCATTTCTTTGGCCTTCGGGAAGATGATTTCGATTGCCTTTGCCCATTGTGGATTGTTTGTCTCCGCTTGTGCCGTCTCCACAAAAACATCAGTGGAATCTTTGACTACCACAAGACAGAGCTATATACCTTTCCAATAGGGTGAAGCAGCAGGATCAACGTTTCTGCAAACGCTATTTTCAAACGCAAGCCGTGGGCATTGACGTATGACTTTGATAATGACTCCATAAATTCAGCACCCTCTTCAAATGCCTCAGGTGGCCAAACCTGATAAAATATCAGAGATAAGGTATGGAGATCTAATACGTAAAAGCCACCTTGATTTTGATATGTTTCAGACCCTGTACTAGATGCTCGTATTTCATATCAAGGTCCTTTGAAACCTGACCAGAAGCCACAGGACCCAGTTCTGCCAAGAACCGATCCGTAACGGTCACAAATCTGATATCGTAGTTTGAGGAAACGCAAAAAAAAAAAAAAAAAAAAAAAAAGAAGAAAAAGACAATGTCTGTCTCACCGAATATTCGCCAGGTGACCTAGCAGAGTCGCATACAACTCCGCATTCGTTCGATGATTCGCGGACGTAGTCAAAAGCTTCAGATTCGGCTGCCGGAACTGTTCAAAGGTCGTATCTTCGAGACTATGCCCCATAGCATCACCAAGAGCATCCTTTGACAACGATTGCAGAACCGCGACGAGTGCGCGGCACATGATGTAAATCGAAGCGAGGGATTTCCGTTCATTTAGGAGACCAGGAACATCTTGAGCACGGAAGGCCCGGTTTGGGCCTGTCGACTGGGCCAGATGTGGCCGAATGATGTCGGATCCCACGTTGTCGTTCTGTGTTCGCCTCCACCGCATTATAGAGTCCAGAACAGGCTTGGCGTTCTTCTGTGCTATTATGCCTAGGGAATTGAGGGTCTCGTCAAACTTAACGTCCACACCTGGGGCCATGAATACCTCTAGCAACGGATCCTGGTCCTATTAATGGCTCAGTAAGAAGTCTGCTTGACAAATTAGAAGTAAACGAACCAAGGGGTGCCGTAAGAACGAATCAATCTTCCCCTCAGCTGACGTAGCAAAGCGCAGAAAGGTAGCGTGAAGTGCATAGTCAGAGGGAGTCTTTGGATCCATCACTACCTTGTCTTCCTCAAAATCGGATGTGGGAGGCGTGTCACTCCGATGCAGGTTGCCAAACGCATGCGGAACACGAGGAACCGGGGGAGGCGTGGAAGGGAACCCATGTCCAAGGTCACTACCGCCTTCAGACGCGTTGAATATTGACCCAGTATGAGAATGCTGTGATTTGGCGTGAGCGTGACCCTTTGGCCTAGAGCGGCCACCCTTTGACTCAGCAGCCCCGGGTGTGGGAGGCCGCTGGCCAAACGGGCTGATAGTACTTCTATTTGTCGGCTGGTTCAGGGAAGAAGTGGATCGGTTGAATGGGTTTTTTAGCACGGGATATGGCGTGTGATCAAGTTGAGGAACGGGTGGGGGCTCGCTGCTTTTTATTCCACTTTTAAAAGCATTGCGTATAGAAGCAAAGGAGGGTTTCTTGCTAAAAGCTGTACTGGTTGTCGCAATGGATGACTGGGAGGAATGTGCGAAGGGTGTATTCGGCCTGGTGGTGTAGCGAGTTGTCGCTGAGCCCGTAGATTCTATTGAAGCAGAGGAGTCTCCTCTTGTATGGGAGAAGAAACTTCGCTCCCCGAAGCCGCCAAGCGGTGTCGCAGAACCGCCTGCGCCTGGTGAATCGAGTGCTGAGTTCGGCACGCTGTAGCCACCTCCAAAACCAAAACCGGACCGCCCAAAAGGCGTTGGGCCAGCGTTCAGGTTATCATCGTCAAAGTCTACGTAGTTCAGCAATTACTGTATACAAAAGAAAAGAAAACGTACCTGGAATTGTAATTTGAATTCCTTCCGTCATTCTTTGCAGTCATAAAAGTAACTAGGGGACCAAAATGGAGATACTGCAAAGTATTCCTTTGGCCAAAAATGAGGAAGGAGAGGCCTGGAAGAAGTTGTTGGCAGATGAAAGTGTTGTTGCTGAGTCCGTGAATCCCAACAGGAGTGCGTGGGAAAGTAGTTCCAGTTGTCCGATCATCCAGCCACGTGCAAGCACTTTACTTCCTAGGCTCAAGCGCTCAAGAGTCGCCAGGCGCCTGCTGTACTTTACTGGGTTGTGCTAACTGAGTATGTCCTGGGTCATTCTAGTTTGAGTGAGGCAAGGCAATAAAAACCAGTCAATCAAGCCAAGCTCTCAGGTGATCTGAATCGGAGTCAATCCAACTTTCAATGCTCAATAATGGCTCGAAAGCTTGTTATTTTTAACCTTTCTTTTTCTTTTATTCCTCGAACTCACTATCGTATAACCACTTTCTTGAGTCCTTTTCTCGACTTCCATTGTAGCACTCAATTTGGGATTTGAGTCGCAAATTCCGGCAACCAAAGAAAATGCCGTCCAGATGCGTGGGAAAACGAACTTGGACGCGCGTCGTCGCGTTCGAATCAAGGCTCAAGTCGTCCGCACGTCCTGCGCTCACCCTCTACCATGACAAAGGCCCAAGAATTCACAATCAAAGTACAATCAGAAGACCCAAAAAAGAAGGAAAAGCCAGAGAGCGACAAACCCGACTTCGAAGGCTCCTCGAAACTCTTGAAAGATGGCAAGAAGGATGCCAAAGAAGGGGAGGAGGGTGAAGAACTCGTGCGTTGTTTTCTATAGCCTGAGTCATTGTATCATTGACCATGGTATCGCAGTCGGAAGAGGACCAACAGCTGAAAGATCAGCTGGAAATGCTCGTTGAGCGATTGAAGGCAAGCTCTGCAACTTCTCTGTAATTGAATCTAATGCATGTCCGTAGGAAGCTAACACCGAACTGTATCGGCCTGCCCTTGAAACTCTACGGACGCTCATAAGAACATCAACATCCTCTATGACCTCAGTTCCCAAACCACTTAAATTTTTACGACCTCATTATCCTGACCTTCAAGTACTCTATGAGTCCTGGCAGCCCTCCGAAGACAAGGTGGGACCTTATCTTCTATGATTCGTTTCTTCGACCTTATTAGCATCTAGAGTCTTTTCGCGGATATTTTGTCCGTTCTCGCCATGACTTACTCCGATACTCAACCCCGAGGAACTCTACGCTACCGACTACTATCTGCATCTCTTCGCCCATCCGATTCACCTTTAGCGGACCCAGGTACTTGGGGTCATGAATACGTCCGCCATCTCGCCGCAGAATTGGGGGAGGAATACACTGTTCGTGAGGAGGGGGAGATAACGCCTGCGGAAGCTGGCAAGGAAGTTCCACCACCAGTGAAGCTTCCAGGGACGACAGAAGATCTCCATGCTCTGGCGAAGCAATGCGCTACTTTCCTTCTAGGGCATAATGCTGAGCCAGATGCCGTCGATCTGTTGGAGGAGATGGAAATCGTCAACGAAATCGCTACCTTGGTTGACGAGAACACTTATAGTCGAGTGTGCCAATACATGGTGCGGTAAGACGGATGACAACCCATTCAAAACTCCAATACTGATCATCTATAGATGTGTCAACCTCTTACCACCCCCAGACGACATTTCATTCTTACGCACTGCTCACACAATATACGTGCAACACCACAAATTTCCCGAAGCCCTCGAGCTTGCTATCCGCCTGGGCGATCCAGACCTCGTTCGAGAAGACTTCAACGCTCCTGGAAATCCGTAAGTAACATTGCCTTCTGTCTGATTTGCTTCTTAGTTGATTATCCGAGAACAGACTGATGAAACGGCAACTGGCGTTCATTCTCGCACGGGCTCAAATACCTCTGGAATGGCTACACCCGCCCTCGTCAGACGTCGATGGCGATGTGGATGTTGAATTCCAAGAAGAGCTTCCTGAAGACCTTCTCGATTGCCTCGGCAACACACGACTCAGCGCTGCTTTCCGCGAATTTGGGAAAGAACTTGGTGTAGCTGATGCCAAAAGCCTGGAAGACGTCTACAAGTCGCATCTGGAAAACACAAGTACGAACATATCACCTTTTCTTAAACTCCCGTATTGACGTGATCTGCAGGGCCTGGAGCTACGGCTAACGTGGACTCTGCGCGCGGGAACTTGGCCGGAACATTTGTGAACGCTTTCGTGAATGCTGGGTTTGGCAACGATAAGTTGATGGTTGAGGCCGAGGAGGGGAACAGCTGGATTTACAAAAACAAGGATCACGGCATGATGAGTGCAGCCGCTTCGCTCGGGTTGAGTTTGCTTTGGGACACCGATGTTGGTCTCAGTCACGTCGACAAATACACCTACTCTGCAGAGGAACACATCAAGGTGGGTGATCTTCATGTCTGCATATAATCTCCCAGTGACAGCTTCCCCAAGGCTGGTGCCCTGCTCGCTACAGGAATATTGAATACTGGTGTAAGGACTGAAGCCGACGCCGCACTCGCACTCCTTGCAGAACACACGGAGAACAAGTCAGTGCCCTTGAAGACAAGCGCCATCATGGGTCTTGGTTTGGCATATGCCGGCTCACATCGGTCAGACGTATTGGATTGCCTTCTCCCTCACGTCACAGACGAGAACGTGACGATGGAGATCGCCAGTCTTGCTTCATTAGCCCTTGGGTTTGTTTTCGTTGGAAGCGAGAATGGTGAGATCACGGCGGCTATCCTCCAGGTCTTGATGGAGAAATTTGACCGAAACGACAACTCCCTCAATGAGAAATGGGTGAGGTTTATGGCTCTTGGATTGGGTTTGGTATACCTTGGTAAGCTGGTTCCCTTCGCCCTATCTTGCACCTCTCGCTCATCCTTCTTACAGGCCTTCAAGACGCGTCGGATGCGACGATCGAAACCCTCAAAGCCATTGACCATCCCATCTCAAAAACGGCTCAGATTCTCGTTGAGGCCTGTTCTTTTGCTGGAACGGGAAATGTGCTCAAGATTCAAGGGATGCTCCATCAATGCGATGAGCATATTGATACTAGTGAAAAGAAGGACGAAAGTAAAGAGGGCGAGAAGAAGGATGAGGAGCCAAAAGAGAAGCGTGACGATACATTCCAATCTTTCGCTGTTATTGCCATCGCCCTCATTGCCATGGGCGAGGATATCGGCGCGGAGATGTCATTGCGCCAATTCAACCATCTTGTGAGTCCCTTATTCTTGAGCGGCCCAGAAATACCCAATGCTCGTCACAGATGCACTATGGCGAGCCCACCATCCGGAAATCCATCCCCCTCGCAATCGGTCTCGTCAGCGCATCAAATCCTCAACTACCGATTCTCGACACCCTCTCAAAATACAGTCACGATAACGACCTGGCGGTCGCTCTCAACGCCATCTTCGCCATGGGTCTCGTTGGTGCTGGTACAAATAACGCTCGATTGGCGCAGATGCTCAGGCAACTCGCTGGGTACTACCAGAAAGAGGCTGACTGCTTGTTCATGGTTCGCATCGCACAGGGATTGGTCCATATGGGCAAGGGAACCATCGGACTGAACCCCTTCTTCTCTGACCGGAGTATCATGAGCCGGCCAGCTGTCGCCGGCCTTTTGGCAACACTGACGGCGTTTACAGATGCCAAATCATGTATGTGCGTTATCATATGTGCTGATACGTTGCTGATGGCTGGTTTAGTTATTCTTGACAAGTACCACTGGATGCTCTATTTCTTGGTCACCGCGATGTACCCGCGGTTCTTGATCACATTGGACGAGGAGCTGAATAACCTTCCCGTTACTGTCCGAGTGGGACAGGTAAGCATTCCCTACGTCGTTCTCTTTGATACGCAGCCTAAAATTTTGACCAAAGGCAATCGATGTCGTTGGACAAGCTGGAAAGCCCAGAACGATTTCAGGATTCCAAACACATCAAACACCAGTAAGGCTGGGGACAACTGAGCGTGCAGAGTTGGCGACAGAAGAATACATCCCCTTCAGTCATGTTCTGGAAGGCTTTGTTATCCTGCAGAAAAACCCTGGCTGGGAGAAGGAGGACAAGATGGAGCTGTAGCTAGGATGCTTGTAGACATTTGTTGGGGCCGTGTTTAGAACTAATGATTTGAACAAACAACATAATTTGCTTGCTTGTTCTGAGTTGGAAAGTATCTGCGAAATGTTGAGGACGCGTTTACCGCAAAGTGAGTTGAACCCTAGCTACAATTTTAATGCACCTAACATCTATCAGCCTGTCGTTCCGTTGTATCGACGTCGCAGTGCACGTACAACCTTCACACCGCCGCCGTCTTGCGGGCACAGGCTTCACGTCGGTCTGGAGGATCTACTCGTAAGGTCAACCTCGCTAACAAGGAAGGGCGACGAAAAGACGCCCTCGCGAATCGCCCCAGCTTTATCTTGGGCACCCGTCCGAGTGACGAAGCGGAAAAATGGCGGAACAGCAACCTCGCCGGCATTCTCGTTGACGAAGTAGTGCTGTCACCCAAATCGGAGCTGCCAACGACCACCGAGATGGAACTGCGGATTGGCAAAGTTAGCCTGCCAAATCAGATTGGTTTTGGCCTTGGGGACTCTGAAAAGAAGATGCTATTCAATGACCTGCCCGTCTTGTCAGCTCAAGCAATGACATTAGCAACCGTGTCCCGACCCTACGATGTAGCCAACGACGCTGCAGCATCGCACCAATTTTGGGAAGAAACCGAGCTGCGGAAGGCTAATATGTTTGCGAAGGTCCTTGATCTACGAAATGCCAACGCAGCTGGCATTGCGTTCGAGAACCGAAGACGGATTATTGTTGCCTTCTCGACACCCGAAAACCCATTCAGCCCTGGACGAGCTGAAGTGCAAGGTATGGTTTACTCAACATCCTTGGCCATCTGATTGTTTCACCACGTTCCTCTCAGCTGCCCTTAAGACCTACAAGATACGGAAGCTTTGGTCACATCTTCAGAAATTCAAACGGGATTCAGGGAACCGTCTTGGCCTTCGAAAACTGATCCATGAACGCGCGAAAATCCTTCGTTATCTCAGGTCAGTGGACAGAGATCGTTACGAAACCGTTCTGGAGCGGCTTGCCTTGGAGCCGGAGAGTGTAGAGGGAGAGTTGGTGGTATAAGGCTCAGCGCTACAAACATCTCAGTATTCGATAAAGCCAAAAACGAGAAAAACATATAATAACACATTTTGGCAAGACAATACACGATATTGGTTACAAAGAGGAAAGGTGGGAGTGGTCAAATAAATAAGTCCTCCTCGAAATCTGGAACCTGTTCCCTGCTAAGTATTTTGGAGAACGACGAAAACTTCTGCACATAGCTCTCCATAAGACGAACTCTCTCATTGAAGACATTCTTCGCTTCTTGGATGGCGTGCTCGTCTTCTTCCTCGGTCATGAAAGTCTCCTGAGCGAAGGCCTCGGCCTTCGCTCTCCCAGCTTCAACCAGCGACAGCACGTCCTTCTCAATGAGGATGGGTATAGCTGTAATTGCCTCAGATCGAGCCAGTGTGGTGCTAAGAGCGCCACCTTTAACGGCGAGCTGATGACGAGTGAACAAACCGAGAACGAAGTTGGACCTAGACCCACAAACCTTGATATTCTCAAACTGCAAGAGCTTGATCGCATATTCCACACCCCCAGCTTCGAGAACAACCACTGCACCCGCCTCTCCTTCAAGAATGAGCCTACGAAGGCCATGTGAATTGCCCCAGATCTCTTCCTGTGCATCAGCATCCTCATCAGCCAAGGATACCTTTAGCGCTTCACAGACCGCCAAACGACCCTCTTCCGAGCTTGCGATGACATAGACAGCATCAATAAGCATTGCCATGTCCCCAAAGGACGTCGGGAATCTGCACAAGCCCTTCACTAGGGATAAATGGAGGCCTGACGCTACCAACAGGCCAATATGCTTGGGGAGGAACGCTTTGATAATTTGCAAGTTAGGCAAAAGAGGTTCAGATTCGCCGGAAATCAATTCTGCCATTCTTGGCAAGATATCAGCGACGAGTTCAGCATATCCCTCGTCCACTTTCACAAGGCCTTCGACGAACTCAAATGCATATGTTAGCAGATCTTCGCCTGAAGAGGTTTGGTTGAGAACACGTTTGGCATCTTCGACGGCCCCACCATAAACCAACGCCCGTCGAGCAGGAGACGTCGTTTTAACAAGCGCTCGAATGCGTCCCCAGACTTCGGTCTCGCTAATGCGAGGACTGAATTTCTTCTTCTTTTTCTTCTTCTTCCCCGCAGGCATTGGAGCATTCGCTGTCTCCTGTGGTGCACTCAACTGAGTGAAATGCGATCGCACCATTTCTGCGAGTTTTGCAGGATCGGCTTCGCACAGGATTCCAACAAGTCGGCTAACAGTGTCAGCAGGGGCATCTTGATGATCGAAAAGCTTGAGAGCAGCGGAGAATGCATCCTCTTCCTTGAGAATCGCGAGGCCTTCGGGATAACCTTCCACTAGAGGGGCGAGATCTGAAGCCGCAGAGAAAGCAGCCCAGATGCCGTCCTCATCCTTATACTTGATGATATCTAACGTGGTCTTGGAGGCTATTGGGTGTGCGAAGAAAGCTGATTGAAGTCCTGCAATGCTGTTTTTGTCCTCCAACCTGTCGGCAAGAGTTGAAAGAAGAGAGAGAGCCTGTCGCTTGTCAGCTTCGTTCTCATTTTCTTCCTCGCCCTCTTTTGGATTAAAAATCTCCAGCAGCTTCCCAGCGAGGCCGCCTGCGTAGAAAGCATCAGTCAAAGTGGAACCGTTACAGATCCAAGACGGTATATTATTCAGGCCGGGAGGAAGGGGGCGCTCCAATATCTGACGAACGGATGCCACAAGGGATTCCTTGGATGCCATGTCAATTTCCGACGCAGCCAGTTTGTTCAAAAGTTGAAGGAGAGTGGAATTGTCGGACAAGGTAGTCGAGCGAACGAGCAGGAGGCCTAGCAACTTCCCTGCCTGTGGAACCAGAAGTGGAACAAGTTTATCCAAGAGCTCGACCAATATATCGATCATCCTGAGTGCGATATTTTTAGTCATGTGTGCAAATGAAACAGACAGAAAAACCTCACAAGTTGTTTTCCTTTTCACGTTTTGCGACGGCTTCCTCGTACTCAGCTTGAGCGCTCGCAAATTCCTCCTCCGTCATACCTTCTTCAACAGGCCCATCTAAGGGCTCAGAAACCGTGTTCAATATATTGATGAAGTGCTGAACTGTCTCAGGCGTCGAAAGTTCTGTCCAAGCAACAAATGTCGTCGGATTTTCTTCATCATATAACAGACGAAGCATCCAGTTGACACCCATGAGAGATTCAGAAGTCTCATCTGCGATCAGTGCGGCAAGAACAACAGGCAGCCTCGCGCTCATGATTGCAACGTTCTTATCAGCCGAATCCGCTGCGAGCAAGACACGGTACCCTTCCACCGCTACTCGTCGAGCTTCAACCGTTTCCGCCTCCGCTTCTAGTAATGCAACGGCGCGAGGGAGAGCACCTGCCCTGACCGCAGCTTCAGCAACTCGACGTCGTTGACGACCTGCATGCCTGCTTGTGTATTCTCCATATAAGGATGCGAAGAAGAAGACGTCCGCTTTAGAGATGTAAGGCTGAAAGCCTTGTTGCACAAGATCCAGACCTCGAGGATAGCCCCAGCAACACTGGCAAAGTAGATTTAGCGCACCAGCTGGGCAAATAGGGTTTGTCAGAAGACTGATTGAGCGATCGACGAGGTCAGGAGTAACGATGGCATCCTTGTTAGGACAGGGAGGAGGAGGGTTGCCCGATTCCTCCTCGTAATCCCATGACTCCGTCCCAGATTCCTCCGCCAAAATCTCAGCTAGCAGCTTGGCAGCTGCGGTGGCGGTTGTTGGGTAATCAGCATACAATGCAGACATTACGCGCGGCAAGGAGTTGGAAGAGACAAGCGCGGCTGTGACGACGCTTCGTAGTGAAAAACTTTCCTCGCCAGCGCTATACGAGTCCAAGAGTCGGGAGAGAATAGAGCCGGCGAGCTTCGTCCCTGTAGAGGATGGTCCATTGAGAACGGTTAAAATTTGATTGATAGCGTCTGTCTTGAGTAGAAAGAAACCAACTTTCTGCTCTTCCTCCATCAGCCGATCCAGGACTGTCTGGAAGAAATGAGTAAGAATAGAAGCCATCAAGAGAAGAGACCCACCATAGCTTCAATCTGCTTTTCCCCGTCACCAGTCAATCCAATTAAGAACTCGCATAAGCCTCCTTTCAAAGCCGCCAACCTCAGGTCGACAAAACTATCTGCCAGTCCAACGATAATTTTGAACTTCGTCTCAGTCAAAATATCACCATCCTCCCAAATGCTACTGAACGCGCTAACCACAGCGTCTGCAGTCTCACCGTCGGTGTACTTCATCAAAGCCCATTCACAACTGACTCCAACAAGCTTGGGCGGTTTTTTAGCAAGAAGCAGCATCAAAGGGATCATCGCTGTGGGGTCTTTTAAAAAGATAGGTTTGGCCTGGTCGCCTCCATCCCCTTGTAAAAATTCCGCTGCGGCTCCCGCAACCTCTGGATCTTCATCTTTCAGGCTCTGGATGAACGCGCGAACAATGTTTCCCTTGAGGTCGCTCGTACCCTCAACTTTCGAAAACTCGTCGTCAAGCTCACTGTCAGCGTTGAAGAGCTGCTGCATGCAACTCTGGCTCGCGCGCCGAAGAGATTTACTAGGGGCCGAAATTGTCGACAGAGTGTAAGACACAGCTCCTGCTTGCACGAAAAGCTTCTTGCACTATTCTCTTCCCCAAAGTAGGGTGCTTTCAAAGGCAGCAATGGCACTGGCGGCCTCGTCCATTTCGTGAGACGTGACTCCATGGTAATCAGGTCTCAGAGTAAAAATGGCCTGGAGACACTCCAAGATCAACGGCCTGGAAGTAGGCTCTTCCTCAGCCAAGTCCTCGAGAATGTTGAGTGTGTAATGCTGATCCATAGCGTCGGAATTACAAAGGAAAGGAACCAAGTCATTGATATTAGATATCAAGAGAGCCCTGGCGCTGGGGAAGAGCGTCGGAAAAGAACTGAGGAAGCCAAGGGTGCTGCTACGTAGATGGTCTGCGTTAATCTTCTTCGCGACATCCAGAAAGTACGGGGTTTTGGGAATGACATGCTCCAAAAAGAGTTCTGGCTCTAAATTCATCATACCAACCAATTTCTCATTGGCCTAAGAAAACGATGAGTTGATGGCAAATGATCACAGGAGACTTGAATAGCCATACTTCATTCCAAAGCTCCTCTTCAGAAGATCCAAATTTCTCGATAATTTCTGGTATATCATCGACATTCGTTGGGATGGCTGGTATCCCTTCAAGAGGATCCGCCTCTTCATGTACATCTTGGGGATCCTCTTCGCAGCCGGAAATAGCGTCAGAATCGATATCGTCGTCGCTATCGCCGTCGGTATCTTCCTCACTGTCGCCATCGCCATCCCCCTGACTATCTTCATCTACAGCTTCTCCGCTTTCTTCCAACTTGATCTCGGTCAAACCTGCTCCCACATCTCCACCATCAGTCGCAACGGCATCGGCTGGAGTATCTGAGACCGTAGTGAGGCCAGGGAGTTCCGGGTCCATATTTTCTAAAGATCATTGTAGCCCATGTGTGCTTCTTATTCAAAGTCGATGAGAGGTGTCCTGAATTTCCCCGATTCTGACTGAGTACCTGCACCAGACCTGCACTAAGCTGTACAATGGGGGGAGTTGTAAAGAGCTGTCCGTTCCAAGCTGTTCCAAGTCTGTTCGGTGGCTTTTAGTCGGCGTCCGTCGTGAACCCAATAGAGATGAATTTCAAAGCCAAGGAACTCTTGAGTCTTGGGAGAGATTGCAGATACAGGTTGCAATTATCTGACATTGTTATCAAGACCAAGAGCATCAATTTGTTCATTCAAGTCAACCAACTACTTATTCGTGACACCGGGCCGGGACAAGAGGCCACAGAGCGTTGGACGTCGACTAGCTCAGCAATGAGGAAATCCTCAAGCTCAGAAGTAAGGTCCCAAACACCGTGTCATTAGAATGACGCTCGGCACTGTGGCAAAGGCTTCCCAAGACTTGGACGAAGACGCTACAGATGCCACAGACGCAAACGCATTCATCCCTCTGTTCAACTATTCCCGTCCCACGCGTCCGCCGTTTTGTGAGCCGCCAAGGAACTTCTTGATCGCCATGGACTCCATACTAGGTTCAACACTACTTATCTAACGTTTGGCGGAAAGTCTACGTGGCTTATACATTGCGCCGCTACGTCCGTCAACTCCTTCGCCTGAAAGCATCTGCGACGACGCCACCTGACTCATGGAGCGGGAATTGCATGCGGATCCTTGGCGAATCCCATATCTTTTGTCAAGTTCAATCTCACCGCGACCCATTCGCCTCGTACTTTCAACGATCGCCACCGGTAGCGATGTACGTTAGGAAGGTGCCTCGAGATGTCCGCTCGAGGAACGAAATTACGGACCGCTCGTTCTGACACATCAGGACCTCAACATCATCGTAGGCGATGATGGTCGCCTTTGGATCATTGATTGCGCATGGGCAGGATAGTATCCGCTGCGGTTTGAGTATGTGGCAATGGGGAGACTGAGAGGATCAGCGGAACAAATGGAAGGCTATGGTGCCTCTCATTTGTGGACCATATTTCAGACAGGAAAGCTGGCGTTGAGGATGTCTCCGGGGTTGTGCTTTAACCAAGCTCCAACTGAAGGAAAGCGGACTGTGTTGTCGTGAGATGGCTTATATGCGTTCCAATACAGGACAAACCGTGTCAACAAGAATCCACATCTCGAGGAGTCCTTGTATGGAAGATGTTCTGGTATTCGAATCAGAGACCTATAGAAACATTTTTGTTCTTGATGGTCTAATGCAATGAGTTTCTCGTAAGTGAGTTTCTGTCTCCAACTCTGAGTCGGCAGAAATGACCTGCGCATTCAGATACCAAGGGATGCTCACCTATCTTCTGCTCGCGAGCCGTCCGAACTCTAAGAAGGTTCTCGTTATGGCCATGGTGACGGAGGGGTCGGTTGTGAGGTTTTGAAGCACGATACCGCTGAACAAGCCGTGCTATGCGAATATCGATGAGGTCCGTTGCTTCCATCGACCTTACAGTGATTTGACTCAAAATCTCAATTCCAGGCCGTGGCGCGAGCGTCGAAGCGTCGTCATTAGTGATGGTTTTAGGTTCCTTGCGGACAACGAGCCACATACGACATTATCATCCCCGACTCTCCCAACCCAGCTGAATCCCCCCCGATCTGTTTCATCATCTGCGCCAAGACCCCAGGACGGGATTTTGAGACTCTTGTCAGAAAGTGGAGGAGACTAAACACTATAATGCCGTGCTTCACTCCTCTGACTACAAGCTCCCTCGATTTGCCTGTGTTCTCTTCTTGAGGAGGGCAAGAGTATCAGGCCCACTTTCGGTCAGGCTGCTGCTGTGCGAGCCTCCAAGAGGCTCGTAAAATAGGTACTTCTTATAAGCAGTGGGCACGTCGCTTCCCCATGCGCAGAATACGTTGTCCGTGATCCTTCGAACGAGCTCACCATTGGTACGAACATTTGTTGTCATTCATATTATTATTATTCAGTGCATTTTAGCTTGCCACAGCGAGCTCCAAGGCTCTGAGCCGGTCTCTCTGCCATCTCACTCGACATGAACAATGCCGAAGCTCTAGAAGTTGCCGTGGCTGCTCACGACCCCGTCATCTTGCTCACTCTAAACCTAAAGGTGCAAAGACGGCACCTTTGGTGATGTGACTTGTGAACGTGGTCATCAAGAAAACGGTTTGAGGGTCTTATCCCAGTAAATGGGGCACGGTGGTGTGTGATATATATATAGTAGCAAAATGAAGCACTGGCACCAACACTGCGAATCTGTCTCACCATGTCTACCACATCTGTTTACAATGAGCCCAATTTCGAATCGAAAACAGTGGAACAACTAGCTCAGTTAGACTAGGTTAGACTGGAATTTATTTGGCAACTGGAGAAGAATTAAGTATCCGCATTCTGCGGGGGCTCGCTTCGCCATCCGAGCTGTGTGGTAGCTATACATCACAGTTTTACAGAGATCAACATATACCGTAGTACGTACTGGACAATACTTATAAGATGAAAGCTGTAAGGAAAGACAAAAATTGTAACATCATCACCAACAAGAAATCATACCACCTACAGGGAGAACATGGTTTGGATACATACAATGCAGTGCGGAGAACAACTCGAGTAATGCTGGCAGTCGAAGTGAAGCATCGAAGAGGCCGTGCGAAGTTAAATAACTGTATACAGGCGGATTGCAATTGGCAGCGGTTCGGACTCTCGAAATTCGGACCTACTCGCAATTTCATAACAAGTTCTGCAATGTATCTAAACTGACGAAATGAAGCTCCCATCCATCTTCTTGCGTAGAACTTCCCTCCATAAAAACCCACACCAAAGTCGCACAATGCTGCAAAGCGGCACCCTGACTGGGTATCCAAGCCATCGCTTCCACGTCAGCAAAGTGAGCACCAGTGACACCACCCCAACCCCAATTGACAAGAAGAATCTGAAAAGAGGTGCTCCAGGTAGGATAAAGATTCCCAAACAAGCCGCCCATGCTACTGGACCCAAAAGAACGCAAAAATATACCACGAGTTCAAAGGGGAGCTTAATGATCGACGACCATGCTATAGTCAACTCGTCAGCTGGAAGGGAATGGGGTGAAAAGGATTGGGCGCACGGTAGAACCTAATGATGCACCACAGATCGGGCACTCCTACATGGTAGCCAGTGTGACGACCGTCGAGAGATGCCGGCACATAATGAATCCAGTATACACCAATAAATTTGATGTGTTCTTGGCGGGTGATGATGGACTGCCAGGTCAACGTTGTGGAGCTAGTGTGAGGTATTCGCTCGAGATCCATTCCCTCAAATTGTAGCTTAAGTCGAAAAGGCAATATTAGCGACAACGCTCACAACACATGAATGATTGCCAAGAACTCACGATATCTCCAGGGACCATGACATTCCCCAAGTCGACAGATTCAGTCTTCCGATTGAAATCTGTCGCAACCACCTGACAAGGGCTGGACGCAGAACGGAGGAGAGAATCGTATTTGAGCGTGAGTATACCCCTAATATCCAACCGACAATCAGGTCGATGGACAAAGGGAGGAGGGAGTTCTCACATGGCGTAGTCTATTGCCATGTTGGCAGGCGGATATAATCTATAACCGTGTTCGCCCCTCATCCCAGGCCCTAACCTTGCGCTTGGCCTAAGTGGATCAAGAACGGTTACTTGAAATGGAGGGGTTGGTTCGGTCATTGGAAGAGACGACGGAAGTGAGGAAGTAGTAGAGGTAAGCAAGGGGTCGATTCCTGTTTATAAAGGGCCGGATCCATGAGTCTGCGATTTATAGGAGGGGGCTGACATTTGTCTCGCAGAGGTTCTGCCCTTGGTTAGTGACAGTACTCCAGTTGACCGTGCGCGTGATTGAGCTGAGTCCGCCACACGTGGCTATGAAGGTGTAACGCACGTGACTTCTCATGGTTCCTGGTTAACTCGGGCATTGACGCGCACGACGGGAGCATTGGATTCGTTCGTGGCGGAACTGGGGGGTGATATTAATCTACGAGAAGAGGTGTGTAGGAAGCCACCATCCACAATTCTCTTCTCTAAACTCGTTACCTCGCAGCTTATTGGTTCCGCCCGATTTTTAAAGACTGTTAAATGCCGACATCGAAATGGATTTCTCGTTGCCAAAACTCAGACCCTGGATTATCTCTGAGAAATTACCACCGCAAGTTAAAGAGTGAGCTTCACTGTAAAAGTGCCTGAACTGGACTTACGCGTCTAACCAGTGGACAGGGAAACCCTGTCAGATATCGCGAACATCTATAATTATCAGTCGTTCGTGGAGACAGACAAGACGGGGTACATTATTCGGCAGTGGGTTGCGTGTAACCTTCATGATCGCATAAGGTGCGTGGCTTTCCTCTATTTTTCTCTTGCGCCCACTGAACTCATGACCTGTTTAGCACTCGTCCGTTTCTTACAATGGTAGAGAAAAAATGGATTGCCTTTCAGTTGCTTAACGCTCTTCGTGATGCACACAACCGCAAGATATCCCATGGCGACATTAAGTCCGAGAACATTCTAGTCACCGATTTTGCCTCATATAAGCCCACATATCTTCCATTTGACGACCCATCTGATTTCTCCTTCTTCTTTGACACGTCCGGACGGCGGACATGCTACATTGCACCTGAGAGGTTCTACACTCACGTCACCAACCCGGAAATCACTGCAAAGAAATCGAGGATCGCAGACGATACTGAGGGAAAGAGGGATGGTAAAGTCACGGAGTCGATGGATTGTTTCAGCGTTGGCTGTGTCATCGCTGAACTATTCTTAGAAGGTGCACCTTGAGTCAGCTCTTCAAGTATAGGGAGGGCGAATTCAATGTCGACAGTCACCTCGCACCCATAGAGGATGAAGGTGTCCGCGTAAGTGTCCTTTAGCTTCAGCTATCAGACCCATGTCTTACTAGTGGTAGCTCATCAAGCAGATGGTTAGCCTTGGATCACTCAATCATCCTTCGGTCCCCTTCCTCCCTGTTAGAGAGGAATTTCATCCAAAACGAAATCAAGCACGCCAGAAGCTCGCTACCCTACCGACCTCTCGCTTTGAAGACGTTTCCAGTGATGTTTACTTTGAGTTATCCCAAAGATACCCAGAATTTAAGGAAGAGGTGCGTAGCCCTAATCATGCTAATGGTCACCTGCTGACTATCTAGTCTTGTCTGGTAGAGTGGTAGAGCCTCGGATTCGGGGTATGATGACTATCCTGCTCCCGACTTTCCGTCAAATTCGCCGCCTTCTCCGCCACGCAACGCGAACCAACGCCCGACCAACCTTCAATACTCTCTTGCATACCTCACGAGGATCCACCTTCCCAGAGACTCCCTTTCTTGCATAACTATGTGTCAACCATCAACGATTGTCAAGCACATTCCCTAGCGTATCTCCACCGACCTCCACACCGACCACCCCTCGATATCTACGACGAGCCTGATCTTCTTCGTCTATGGGGCTTACAGCCAACCCGAGTGTACGGAAGTTCTGCCTAGTGACTCAGATAACCGATTAGAAAGAATCTGGGCGGATTATGAGAGCATCGAGCCGTATGTCATCATGGAGTCAACCCAAATCCCAAAAATGGACATGAAGATTGACTATGTCTCCGTAACATTGCTTCGAAACCCTTACAGGACGTATTGCCCGTGGAGCTCAACATACCGAACCGTGACTCCAAGCTTCGTGGTGCTCTACGTAATGGAACATCACGACACTCGCACTCATGAATCGAACAACGCACCTCAAGTCGTACTGCACTCTACGCAGCTCCATCTGCTTAATCTCTTTGGTTGGGACGGAACATCATAGAATCTTCACACGTCGCGATAATCCGCGGGTTTAAGCCATGGTTTGGCGCATTTGTAGTGACGAAGGTAGGCCTAGGGAAATGCCCAGGAGGGGGAGGGGGAGGTAGAGAACCCATTGGTCCTTCGTTTTCCGCCGTTTAGATGACAAGACGCCCGCGTTCACTCCTATTGGCTCTTGCCCTCCCTCATCGTCTTCGACATACTGCCGTCAAAGAGCGAACAATTCCCGCTCCCAAACCAAGGATGCCATGGCGCTTATGTTCAAGAACAAGGAACGAGTTTCAGAGAAAGGTGGGATTTCCAAACTGGAATCTGGTGGCTGACATTTTCCATAGTCCGTTATAAACAGGAATAGAATATTTTTACTACTTCCCCTACCTCCATGGCAACCTATCCACCGAACACCAACAATCTCGTCCCAAGCACGACACCGGGTCCTGGTTTTCAGGGGGAGAACGCCTACGGCATGACCCCAACCACCAATGCCACGGGCATCGTTCTCCAAAGACTGTGCGTATCAACCATCTACTCTGCTCTATGCACCACGCTGATTGCCAGCCACCAGGTGCGTCCAGTTACTGCGCTACGGATCCTTCCTCGACGATCGCTCAAAGCCCCGCAATTCATTCCTCGCCGAATGGGATCGCGACGTACCCGCAATAAATCTTAGCAGCGTTTTCAGCGATAACGATTTGGTAAAATTTATGCTTCCGCTGAGCGCTGTCACCACTAACCATAACATTGATCTAAGGTTGAGTTAGAGACAGGGAGAGCTGAACAAAGACAGACGAGTCTTTCATGGATCGACCTCAATGCCCGCCATGCCGCCCGTCGTTCTATACCATTTCAAGCTGTCGCTTCCCTCTCCCAACCTTCAACGTCACAATCTTCAATGCCACAACTTTCCACGCCCTCTCAACCATCTCTGAGGACCGATACTTGGATTACTTTGAGGGCATACTGTGAGTCTAGTTCGTTTTCTTTCGTTGGAATACTAAGCTGACATTAACTAGCGATGTGGTCAATACTTCTCTTTCCTATCCAGTTCATTCTGGCAATTATCTTTTATTCGGGAGCATCGGTGGGAGCGGTGTGTGTCGTGGGTTTCGCTCTTGAAGACCGTTCAACGCCCAAGGTTTTGGCCTCCGTATTCATTGGAGTGCTCGGTCAAATATTCCTCATTTATGTTTGGACCAACACACTTGGACTCCCATCTCTCGCAGTCATTCAAACCGTCATACCGTTCTGGTGGCGAACGTCCTGGCCAATACTACGAAGGTTGGTGGCGGGGTGGCTGACACGTGCCAAGCAGGCTATGCTGTGGCCATTGCACATATTGCTTATGGCACGTCAATTACTACAGGGCTTCCCTCTGCTTCCCTGAGGTCATTATACAGTTCATTTCCTTCAAATTATAGCTCGTTTTGATCAGAGCGCCTGACAAGTTGATTGGTTATTCAGATGCAGATGGGCAGAGTCCAGTGAGGATGATATGCATTCTGGGACTGACGTCGAGCATGAGCCGTTGTAACTCCGCATCAGAAACACGAAGACGTTCCGTATTTTGAGAGACTGAACTGCCGCCAACTTTCTACCAATCCAAACAGCACATGACGGTACTCCCTCACGTGTCGTCGTGTTTCCATTAACATCTTTCAAATTGCCGTTCTCCCTTTCATCTTCAGCACCTTGTTCTTTTCAATCAGGATGTCCCAACCCCATGAAACGCTGTCCATTCAGTGTATCAATACACCTGTGAAATCAGATGGCAATGGCAACAAGGGGTGCCTTCTCGTGAAGGTATGCGCAATTTTCGATCTTGACATGACTCTCACACTGTTATAGTGTCTCCACACCGACCCCGACACCGCCACTTTTTTCATTGGCTAGCAGGTTCTCGGCCTTCCTCACTATCACCCCGTCCCGCCTCAACAAGTCAGCTTCCCCCCGTTGATCCACCTGCGTTTATGTCTGTTCCAGACGCAGCGGGTGCACTCAGGCTGCTAGCTCTTTGAAAGCAATCTTGCGCCACTACGGGTTGCAATTCAACTTGAATTCACGAAGCCTGTAGGCTGTGGTTAACGAATGTGCAAGGGTTGTGTTGACCCGGCCCACAAACCCCCACCAACTCCCATCCTCCCTAAAACACACAACTCCCATCGCAGCGCTGCTCTCGATCCCTGCCAGCTCATCAGACCCAACCCATCTAAGAGTCTGTCCCAAGGCCCTCCCAATGTCGTTGCCCCTTCATCACGTGTTGCAAGGAATGCCCGTATGGAACCAACTTTTGGCTCCCACATGACCGAGCTTTACACCGCACAATTGGCTCGTGAGGAACGGATGCGAGAAGAAAGGCACCTGAGCGAACCTACTCACTTGGAGAGCAAACGGAAGGTCCAGCAAACGGCGTTTGTTTATGCCTGGATGGAGGTATGTTTTCACATAAAAGTACATGTTCATTTTTTCTTAGGATGGTGTGGGCCCCGTTCCTTTAGGTCCAAGAAGGCTCCGCCTGCCCCATTTCGTTCTGAACGAGGCCGTTCTCGAGTCTGCGGGTTTTGTAGACATTTCCGTCACTTGAAACCAAGCAGGCCGTACTGTCTGGAGGTCAAACTTGAACTGCCGGCTGCTGGTTGGACCTCACGTCAACAACTTGAACACGAGCGGGCACACATCAAGGCCCTGCATCGACATGCTGCAATGTGATAGGGTCGGGCACCATAGAGATCTCATCGGACTCAGACTAAGCAATTTGTCGCTTTCCCGTCTCTTCGCATTAGATTTGTATTGCAGTATTATTATTCTTAATCTCTGGTACTTACCTGTATCAGTATACATAGCCTGTCTCTGTAAAGAACTGTTCATCGTTTTGTAATTCATCCAACGTCTGCTCAGCGACGGAAGAATTGAAGTACCACGCATTTCTGTTTCCTCAGCAATTCAGGTAGTCGACCGGGTTGCAGTTGCTTTGACACCATAAATCTTTGATGGAGTGTTTGCAATTAAGTATAAGAAGCATATGAGTCGTCGACGATGTTCAGCGGTGTTGCATCACGTGTTTAATACCGCTCAGTTTTTGTACAATAGAATTATTGTCAAAATCGGGACGAAAACCCAAATTTTTGCTCATATTATCGTAAACGCTATCAGCCCCCACCTGATTCTCAGTTTTCTAAGGAGGAGGAGCAGTATCCATTCAGTTATAGCGCGTTTAGGAAAATCCCCGATACCAATTTACGTGTTTAAATTTTTACTTGTTTGTCCGGGCCTTTCACCCTTAGTCAATGATTGCTCGCTGCGCTCGCAATGAATTGCAAAAAGCTTGTCATGAACCCAAATATCATCAGCTCGTGAAGTGTCAAATTTAATAAAACTACCCAGGATTGTGTAACAATCACCCTTGGGCTTTCGTTGAAGGCAAAAGAGATGAGCTAAGTAGCCTGGACCTTACATTTTCGCCGCTATGGGACGGCAGGACTTCTACTACTCTATTCTTATACAACGTCCGAGTCCCTTTCCATGATTGTGAAGCAAGCACGCCGAAATGGGAGTAGGTCACTCTTCCCAACAGTAACCTTGCGTCATTGCCAAGGGTTGACGGAGCCGCACACTTTGCTCGCGTAATGCAGTTCTTTTCCTTCTCCTTCCCCAATGTATCGACCTCTGGGGGTATCAAAATCGACCGATTGGTATCGTAACGGCGTGGCGACGGGGTATCAGCGTTCGGTGACCATCTACCAGAGACGGGAGGATGGATTATTTGCAATATGCCCAACTCTAGATTTCATTATTTGCCAAGTCCTGTAAGATGGGCCGTCCTCTCAACAGTCCAGCGTCCGCTGTAGCCCTAAGTCTTTTCTGGGGTCGCTCGGGGCTCGAGTTCAATGGTTTGTTCTCCTCGGACGAACCCACTGCGTCCACCGCAGTCCTTTTTGAGGGCGTCGTGCATACTTCAAAATGGGCGGCATAAATGGTATGTGCACCTGGGGGCAACTTTAAGATCCAGTGCCGGGACTCCATAAGAGCAAAGAACTGGCTCAGGAGGGGGTCGGCCTGCAACGTCTTACGTGAACCAAAGATAACTAGCTTTGATCGCGCTCGCGTAAAAGATACGTTCATCCTACGCCAATCTTTCACAAGGTCACCAATCTGGAAACAAACGTCAGAAACTGGCGTTAGTTCCAAAACAACCCAACTCACTTGACCTGCATCGTTCGACCTCACCAGGGAGACTATGATACAGTCTTTATCCCTACCTTGGCTTCTATCGGCCGTCAGGATCTCCACACCCTTCCTCGCTTCAAGCAGATTAGACAAGAGCTTGACCTGTTGGCGGTAGAGCGAGATAACGCCGATCTGATTCTGCGATACCCCGCACCGAAGGAGGGTCTCTGTAAACTGGTGGACGAGAGTAGCTTCCACTTCGTTCTGTACCAAATCTCCTATGCGAGAATCGTGGGCAGGAATCTCATCAGTGTCGACAAAGATAGCTTTACAGCTAAACAGGGGCCATCAGCTTGTGTAAACCCAACAACGGGAAAGATATCACCTCTCGTCAGCCAGTTTTTTCAGCCAGCAATCCCCCGAGCTTTTGAATTTGAGTTCCCCCACATGAAGCATCTCCAGAAAAGAGCGATCGGGAATGACCAAGCTTCTTTGAGCAACTTCGTCAGATCCACATCTCAGTCGATCGTGGTATATGAGACGGTTCGAGAGCAACATAATGTCCTCGTTCATCCTGTACTGGTAAGTAAGGTCCACAACTGAATTTGGGTGCGAATCTGACAGTCGTCGGAAAAGAGACACGTCGAGCCCGCCTTTCCGGGCTTCAGGATTGTTAACCTACGGAATGTTGGGATTAACGATTCAAAAAAGAATGTGAAAGCACGTACCAAAGGAGGCAGCTGGAAATGGTCGCCGACAAGAACGAACTTGGTCGCAAATCGCAGGGGACCAAGGCACGTTGGGAGAGTGATTTGAGAAGCCTCATCCACGATGCAATAATCAAATTTCCTGCGGGAAAAGAGGGGACTGCGTCCATTTGTTAGCTAACGTAAATCAAAAAAAAAAAGATGAAACCTCACTGATCAATTGACAAGCAAGTCGTTGCAACAACTGGAGGAGTCATAAACTGTTGCTCCAGTTGTTCAACAGTCGTCGCCGTCTTCCTCGCAGATATCGTGTACTTTCGAACATCCGGATGAATCTACACGAAGCCCTGAGAACCCTCTACAAAGCAAAAGAAGAGGAAGACAGACCTTATCCATATTTCCAATCCTCAACACCCCAAAATCCACCCCATCCAGCTTCATCAAGATCGTGTCAACGGCAGAATGCGTGAACGAGCTCAAGAGCACCGTCTTGCCCATCTCGACTAAGGTTCGAATCAACGCTGCGATAACAGTGGTCTTTCCCGTCCCAGGCATCCCCAGAATCAGTGAATAGTCCTCTGCCGATAACACCTTTGTCATCGCTGCCCGCTGGCTAGGGTTCAGATGTCTCGTGTGCAGCTCAGCCTCAGCCGGTAAGGAGGACACTGGTGAAAACAGAGGCGTTTTCAAGTCAACCACGAGATCCAGAGTTCGCGAGTCCCCGTCTGCGTAGAAGAGCTGCGCCAAGTTGTTTCGCATTCGGCTCATGCCACCGAATAACTCATCCTTGTCAATCCGGAATATCACGTCTTCAGTGCATCTGCGCTGGGGATTGCTCAGGGATAATCTTTTTTTGATCGTAGGTAGATCGATCGAGTGGTCAACGCCCACAATCACCTCGTACGACGTGAGGGAAAGAATAAAGCCCCTCGCCAGAGCCAGGAAATGCGGCTCCACGGAAAGCGTAATTGCATCTCCAGGAGAAAGACTCCCGCTAATCAAGCTCCTTCCCATCTTTCCAGGTGTCTCCAGGAAATCCGCGGAACGCACAAAACAATACGAGAAGCTGTGGATCTTGCTCTCTCCAATTTTGGGCGCCTCCAACGGCAGCGAGGGCGAAAATACGTCGCCCTCGCTTTTTTTCAGCACCATCTGTGAAAAACAACGGCCTCGCTTCTCTCGTTCCTCCGCTCCCATAGTCCACAGTTCTTTCCTGAATCTGACCAGATTCCGTTCCTCCAACGTCAGAAGCGCTTCCCACTTCTTGAAGAACTCTGCCTGCGAGTCTGTCAGGTGTCCAGTCTTCATCAAATATGTATCATGCAAAGGTGAGTCCACGGCTGGTGGTGTTTCCATCGTCCGACGATAGATCATGCAGGTATCCAAAGCATAACACCTCTTGCACGTCCTCTCATCATCAATAGCTGGTGGAAGGAACGGCTCCTCAATGTCTCCCTTTTTACGTATCCTGCGCATCATATACGCGGCCAACTCATTCCGAGCCACAACCAATCCCCTCAACTCATTCCTGCCCCTGGGGACACGTACCACCTCGTCGCTTTGCGTGTAATACAGCAAACCCGAGGGAACGTCGACACCATAACGTTCGCTCGCAAGCAGGGTGTACAGCATAGTCTGCGCGCGATGTTCCATACCCGCGACAGCTCGACCCGTCTTTATTTCAAAGGGCTGAGGACCGGACGACATCTGTGGAGGAGTCGGAAGGGGTTTGGCCTTGAAAAAGTTTGAAGAAGGTCGAGGGGGCAATTCGGAGATGACGGCGTTGACTGTAGCGTCAAGTTTTCCTTTGAGCCCGTAGGTAGGTGACCAAATGTCTTCCTCGATGTCCAGAAGCTTTGAGATCGCAAGGAGGGAAGGGCCGTCGTTCGCTTTTGAGCGTGTATTGGTGAGAATTGCATCAGGCTAAGCACCATAATATGAACTTCGCAAAGCTAACGACGTGACCACAACCACCGACTTACCTTGGGCGTTTCAGAAAGGTATCGTTGAGAAAAGACTTGCAGCCCTTTAGCTCTCCCGATAATCTCCCGTTTCGCATCTTCTACCGACACGTTCAGCTTGAACAGATCTCCCAAGCTGGCGCGCACAGCTTCGTCAATTCTATCCTCAATCCACCTTTCGTCCCAGCAATTTTCGCTCAGGCATTTCTGCATCACTTCATGAAGAATGCTACCCCACACTAGGGACGGTGTTATGTCGCTTGACGAATGCACCAATGACGACAATAAGGGTTTCCGCCGACATTGTGGGGCGTTGGACATTGCGGTTGCTGTGAGCATGATATCGGGGTGGAGGACAAGAAGATTCGTTTGAGAAGATATTGTTATACTGTTGGAGGAAAAAGTCCCAAGAACGTTGAAAATATCCTCTGAGTTTACGTGAGTTGTGAATGCAGCCACACAAAAACTTGAAGCACACCTATTCGAATATCGGTAAGATACCAGTCGTCTTGTAATATTACATCTACAAGCCGTTCAGTCGAGTCAATTCTGGCCCTTAGTCTCTGGCTGAAGTGTGAAAAAGTCGAGCTGCAAGAGAATATGGCACGTCACATACCTTAACCCATCGACCATTAATGTGTTCCTCATCCACAGACTCAACAATGCACCTCGTACAACTTTCGGGGACATACAAAGGTTGCGTGTTGGGTGAGACCTAAACCCAGTCAATCACTTGAAAAGACGCAGATTGCAAACACCACCTTCTCTTTCTTGGGGGAAGGTTTCCTCGGTGAAAGTTCTATGTCCAAGTCCCAATCCTCTGCACCTTCAAGGAACGTCGACATGTCAATATCTCCAGCGGAGTATACAATTTTTGACGGGGTAGCAACCAAAGCGACAGGTTCTCTCTTCGGTCGTACAGGAGTCCGTGGTATCTTGAGCGGACTCGATTTCGCGACGTGTCGAGGCTTAACAGGTGAGTTATCTGGAGATGGTACGGCGTTCCAGAAGGAATCATCGAGCCCTTCCATGAGACTAGCCATAAACGCAGCCTCATCTGCTTCAGATCGTTTAACGGACGCCATATATATTTAACGAGGAAGGCGGCGAAAGACTCGGTAGCCTGGGGTGATTCTGAGCCAAAGAGAGTACGAGAGCAGTTTATGCGTCGTAGACGACGCGTGGCACGTCGGGAAGGCTAATACAAACATCAGTTATGACAGTACGAAGAGAAAAGGAAGTAAACACATACAGTTAGTGAGGGAGTTCAACGATGATGCTGTCACGTCTCCATTTTGTGACGCGACGCGTCCGTGGCTGTGCTCAGGGCGCTATGTTCAAATTTGACTTTCAGATCGAGGACATCGACGACGATGAAACGAATATTTTGTCTGCGTCAACGCCTCAACCACAGGAGGACAAGCCTACGCTCGGAGAAAATTCATTCGAAGAACATCTACTGAAGGATCTTGTGCGCCTTTTTTACTTTGTTCAAAACACCTCCCGACTAATCTTCCGTTCTAGTTAAACCGCCTACCTTCCCGTATATCATACTCGCCTCTACACGTCCCTCTGACGGGTGGGAGATCTCTGACACTCGTCCGACGTGACCTCTTTGATGCCCGATTCCAGTTGATATCAGAAGGAACTGGCGAAGAAGCACCCGCGCTTGTATATCTAGATGCCCCATCCGACCTGGTGCCAGGCGTATACGAGGGTGGGCTCAAGACCTGGGAGTGCAGCCTCGATCTCGTACAGTACCTTGATACTGCTTTGCCTGACGAGACATACAGAGGAAGACGGATTCTCGAGGTGGGTTCTTGGATTTACAGCGGAACCTGGTTTAACAGTTTATCTAGCTAGGCTGCGGTACGGCCGTTCCATCGCTATATATCCTACGAGAGCTCTTTTCTTCTACTCCAACTGCCCCCCAAAAAGGGGCCCACGTCCACTTCCAAGATTTCAACCTCTCTGTGTTGGAATTAGTCACGCTACCAAACATTCTCTCAACCTGGTGTACGCCTCCGTACCTTTCGTTTACTTAAATCTGACCTATTTACTTTACGACAGACGCATCCCCAGCCTCCCTCACTTTCCGTTGTGAACAAGGCTCCGACGACGACCTTCCAACCCCAATCGACCCCTCAACCCCCTCCGAGCTCTCCATAACACCCGAGCTTAAATCCGCCTTTCTCACCTCTCTCCTCGATCACAACCTCTCTATTCGCTTCTTCTCCGGATCTTGGTCTGACTTTGACCACCACGGTATAGGCGGGAAGTACGATATCATATTAACCTCCGAAACGATCTACAGCACCAGCAGCCTTCCTTCCCTCGTCGATACGATGCAATCTGCCTCTGCCACTGGCGGGGACAAGCCTCTGAACGCGCACACCTCACCTCAGCTGACAATGTCCCAAAGCATTGTACCTGCCAAGTATCTGTGTCTCGTAGCGGCGAAGGTGTTGTACTTTGGAGTTGGAGGTGGGGCGTCAGAGTTTACAAAACTCATCGAAACACCCGCGAATACAACCGGCCGCTCACGGGGCAAAGTCGAGACAGTTTTGGAGCGAAAGGTTGGGGTAGGAAGAAAGGTTATGAGTGTCCAGTGGGCGTAACATACCCTATATACTCACCAGTTTGTCAACGGCCACCATGTCTACCACATCCGTTTACAACGAGCGCGATTTCGAAGCGAAAACGACGAAACAACTAGCTCAGTTTTACATTCTGGGTCAAACTGCCCTCCACATATTCCAATCTCGTTTTGATCCTGAGACGCTCCAGAACCACAATGCCCGATTGCCTCACTACACGATGGCAGAACAAACATGGCACCAACATCCTGAGGTAAACCCGGTCGACTATCCGGTGTCACTCACTTCACAAGCGGTCGCTGGCTTTTACAAGAAATGCACTGACCTGCTGGAGAAGGCCGGAGAAGAATCTACTGCGATCCAGTGAGTAGTACGTTTTGATATTTTCAAGTTATGATCTTCCTGACTTTGCCCTGCCAGGCTCATCTAGCAACGGTGCACAATTCATACACACAATAACAGCAGATCATGATAGAGGGATGTCGAGTCGCATTGCTCGAGCGGCGGCAAAGTTGGCGTAAGTTTTTCAGACTTACAAAATTTCTGATCTTCAAGTTTCGGTACTCTATAGTGAGGAGACCTTGAAAGCTTCACAAATGCAAACGGCCATCACCCAAGACGCGAATCGCAAGGTTTGTCTTGGGGACAGACTTCGGTTTCGAGATAACAACGGGATCATCCACACTGTCTACATTAAAGACAAAGGTTCAACTCAATTGAGAGGACAATTCTACATTGTCACCACCATCCTTGACCGCGAAGCTGATGATGGCAACAAGGACTGGGAAGTCTCAGCTGAGGAAATGGCGGACTGGGTTCTCGCGGCGTGTTAATGTACTTCCAATGTACTTCAGTACACCGCCAAACGGCCTGACGGTGGAAAGTTGTAATTTAGCTGACAGTGATTTTGATAGAACAGTTTAGTGAATTTCAGCAGCCCGACAAGGCTGTGATGTTCAGTACCCTGGGACAAAAGTGAAAGTCAGAGGCTCTGGCTTCCTGGATAAGCAAGGTTTTGAGCTCTTATAAAATGCACAAATTTGGGGAGGGAATAAATGGTGAGATCTGGTCAATTGCGTTGCCATTGAGATAACATATAATACAAAAAATGCCTTCTATAACTTCTTCCCCATGTACAACTTGTTATATTTCGTCTCTGCTTGTTTGGAGGTCAAGGTAAGTGCATTTTTCGTAGCCTTCCCCATGGCTTCAAACTCTTCGTTAAAGCTCGAGAACTCAATCAACGACTTTTTCGATTCGAGATCCAGGATCGTCGGCGCTCACTCGTGAAGAGAAAGATAAGGCTGAAATCCGCGTATGCTAAAGCGAACAGCAGAGTATTCTTTAGTTTTTTGAAATGCAGGCCACTCGGTCTGGCCCTTTTCAGCTTCACACTTCGTGACATCAACATGTCCTTGAGTGCCCTGGAAGCAGGACGTGGTGCCGAGATCCATGAGGATGGCCATGTACTCTGGCTTCCAGCGCTCCGTCTTGTCCTTGAGAAATGGGCAAGTAATTGTCTTAACCAAATTCAAACTTGCAGGCGAAATCCGGTTTTTAATCTGCACCGGAACCAAAACAAACTTCTTCAAGTCAAAAGGCTTCGATAGCTCGCCGCGATAACCGATGAGGAGGTTGTCAATGACGGGCTGGCCATTTACACATTGCAATGCCAGACCTCGCCGCCAGCACAAAAGAATAAACTCATAGGAAAAGTAGGATCCTATGAAGTCCTCGAGTTGGACGAAATGGGTGAAGTTCATATAAACTTCTGACGCCCATTCCAAGCCAGACTTATAAGCATCATTGACCACGGTGAGCGAGCTTATATCCACCAGCTGGGAGAGGTAGGACTTCAAGAGAAACGGTCGTACAGCATAGCGGAATTGGCTGTGTGGCAAGTAGGGCAGCGGAGATATGTGGCGTCGCACGGGGTCAACAACACAGATTTGACCCCCTGCCGCGTGGACAGTGGCATCCCGATTAACGATGAGGATGATCCTGGCGTATGTTTCCCCATTTTCGCCTACAGCAATGACTTTCTTGTGCAAAAGAAGTTGCTTGACGAGGATGTTTATGGCACGTTGGTAGATTTCCTTATTTCTAAGGAGGAGGTCGCCAGCAGCTACAGCCAAAATAGGCTCAGACAGGACCTCGGACTTTAACATGCGTGTTGACGCGTTGTAGTCCGTGAGAACGCGCAAATGGCCCCTTACGGAGTCGACGGCCATCTGGGACGCAGCGCCTGCGGCAGTGAGATTGAGGATGAACCGTGTCGAATGCACCGCTAGAACCTGTAAATTGCGCTTGTCGGGGTTGCTGCTGGGAAAATCCTGAGGATCATCGCCGAGCAATTTCTTCTGAACTGCATGGATGATCTCATGGTCACTGTACGTCGACCACAACTACAATACAAAGTCAAAGATCAAAACGGTCCCTCGTCAAAGAATTCAGGATTACACACCGGTCGACCGTAGACCCGAAGACGCTCCAGTTGGAGGGCTTCTAAAGGCGTCTTGGGTAGACTCTCTGGCGCAGGTACCATGACATCAAAGGCCATGTATAACCAGGGTGGAAGTGGCTGCAAGGCACCCTGTAGGCGCCACGACCGCATCTGCCATGCAGCGGCTGTGAGGGCGGCAACTTTACCAGAAGGTCACCCTGTTCGCGTGTTGATACGGAAATACAGCAAGACCCCCGCTAAGACTCATCTCCCCCCTCTTCAGAAGCTGATAGAGTATTTTAGGATAAAGCCCAGGCGCATGGAAACAATTACGCCGGTTCCCTGTCCACCAACGTATCGGACAGCTTTCTCGACGGCCATTGCTAGTTCGAAGGAGGAGTCGATTAAGGATGAGGAGAAAGACGACTCGGACATCAGGATCTACACTGATGGGTCAGGTTTCGAAGGAAATGCCGGGGCAGCAGCAGTGTTGTACAGGAAGGGATCAGATGAGCCGGAAAAGGTCCTGCGTCTACATTTGGGGACACTGAAGAAGCACACAACGTTCGAAGGCGAGGCGGTGGGCTCGATACTCGCCGCTTGGATGCTGCAAGGCCGTCCAGAGGTGGGAGAGGGAGCGATTACCTGTTACACTGACAACCAGGCGTTCATTAGAGCAACGGGCACCAGGAGGTCGGGGCCAGGACAATACCTCGTGTTGGAGTATCTGCGGCTAACGGAGGTAATGGGCAATGGAACTGACAATCCTAGGCCTGCGGGTTCATTCAAATTCGTGCTCAAATGGATCGCTGCACATAAGGATGTCAAGGGGAATGAGAGAGCGGACGAGGAGGCTAAGAAGGCAGCACAGGGGGAGTCTAGCCCACCAGAGGAACTGCCACCTATCCTGCGGAAATGGCTACCTTACAGCGCGGCGGCAATCAAGCAAGATTACAGGGAGGGGTTGAAGTCCAGATGGCTCGAGGATTGGGGGATGTCGCCACGATACGCGAAGTTTCAACACGTGGATCCAGACTTCCCATTCAACAAGTACCGGACAATCAGCGATGAGATAACTCAAGCGTCCTGTGAGTATGGAGAAAGGAGGGAGTATTTAAATACAGCAAATATTTAAATACAAGAAATCCGTGAACACGGATAACTTGTTTGTGCCTAGGGCTTGCCCGGCTCGCGTAAATCAGATCTTAAATAATAAATAGAATGGTGAGATCTGAGGAGACAGGCAAGACCTGAGCGTCTGAAAGCTTGATTGTGTGCCAACCAACCAGCTATACAGACGCTAAGAGGGATGGTGGGTGGGTTCGAAAATTTGACTGAGGTTGGGAAGACTCTTTTTACCGCGTCAGAACGATGACTGAAGGACAAGGAGACGACAAGGAGACCCTTGTCTAAGACTCAAAGACATCCATAGGTGTTTGTACTTATGAGTACAAACGCAAAGTCTCGTTCTGACGCTCTAGCGTTATCTTATCCGATAATGAGCTTGCACTCGTACCTCGTGCTTGCTCATCGCGGAATGAGATAACTCAAGCGTCCTGTGAGTATGGAGAAAGGAGGGAGTATTTAAATACAGCAAATATTTAAATACAAGAAATCCGTGAACACGGATAACTTGTTTGTGCCTAGGGCTTGCCCGGCTCGCGTAAATCAGATCTTAAATAATAAATAGAATGGTGAGATCTGAGGAGACAGGCAAGACCTGAGCGTCTGAAAGCTTGATTGTGTGCCAACCAACCAGCTATACCAACCAGAGTGTAAGCTCACAACGAGCAGGTTGGTTCAGCACCGAGGAACTACCCAATCAAGCGTCACTCTGGAAAGAATTTTGAGATTAAAAATACAAATACAGTTACAAAAATAGGGACAATGTAGAGTACAGATGAGGATGAGGAGGTTCACATTCATCAGCAAAACCTGGGTGAGCTAGGCAGCACGTGGCAGGGCTGTGCAGTGCCATAGCACCATAGAAAGGGGTATCACCTTTACAGCTCAGGGCAGTTCCTACGTAGCGCTGCATAGGAACACATTTCTGCTATGTCGTGCTATGGAGACCTATGTAGAAAACATAGAGCAGTGCATAGTTCTCCATATGGGCTCCCTAGTATTTTATAGTAAGGCTGGTAATCTATGCAGCTCTGCCAAGCTTGAAGGAGAGTCTAGGAAGAAAAGAAGTCCTCTCTCTAGCTCAGTCAAGCTGGCTTTCGTATCTATACAGGTCTATTGGAATGGGCTATATTTTTCTATTTGGGTATAAATTGACGAAATATTGTGGGGATAGCAGTCCATTTATAGGCAAATTGATCTGTAATGTAATTATCTATTTCGCATGGGTACTGATAAATCCTCTCCTCTAAAACAGAATCAGCCTACTAGATAATGAAATGTATATGGTGATGGCCAGGAACCAGTGACGAGGACAGCCAGCATTTAGCCACTTTTAATCAAGGGCAATGGTGATGTCAGTATTGATCATAGGCTCTGCCGCCGCTTGTAACCTCCTAGGATGTTCGAAAGGTTAAGCAATGACCAAAGCACTAGACAAACGAAAGAAAGAGACTAACATCCCATCTTGGGCCCATCGTTGTCGGTTACTAAGCAATTTCTGGGCATGATATGGGTTGGCTTTGATGTCCTCCATGTGTCTGAGTAACGCGTTGACAGTAGGTTGATACGCGGTACCAGAAAATTGGATCTTGGCCCTCTCTCCAGAGCAAAACCGTTGGAATTCATGAATACAATTCGTGATCTGTAGAAGAGCAATGAGCATGGTATGATCTGAGGTAAAAAAATCTTACGCAGGTCATGACAAGCACCATACAGAGTTCTGGGACGCTGTCTTTGAAATTATCAGGGAAATGGTGAGCCAGACAGTCGTTCCCAGTATAGAAGAACTCAATGCATAGAGCACGAATGCAAGGATGTGAGAAATTGTTTGTTTTCCCCTATTCAAGCAAAATGAGTGATAAATGATGGAGAGACGACGCTGAACATACATTGGCATCCTTGCCACCTTTTAGGTACTCTGAATCTCTGATAGATAAAAGTCTATTGGCATTGGCCACAATATCGCTTTCAAGCTGTCCTTGATCT